ACGACGCGCCACTATAGTGGCTTGCTCTAGTAGCTCACTCGCTCATCGTTTGAATCAAATAATCGTCTTCATATGCATTGTTTCACACTTCTTTTTATCTTCACATCGATTTACAACAGTCTACAGGGTGTCCCAAAAATGTCTCGTAATCTGGAAATAGCGGGTTCCTCGGATCATTTGAAGCAACTTCTTCCTTTACAAAAATTTTCTCCGAGGCACCGTTAACGAGTTATTAACGAAAAACGGTGACCAATAAGAATCGAGTACGGCCGACGCGAGGCGGCCCAGCCAACCAGCGCACGAAGCCCAGTTCCGCTCATTGGCTCGATCGCCTCGCGCCAGCCCAGCTCGCCTCTCATTGGTCACTGTTTTTCGTTGATAACTCGTTAACGGTGCCTCGGAGAAAATTTTTGTAAAGGAAAAAGTTGCTTCAAATGGCCTGAGCAACCCGCCACTTTCGGATTCCGAGACATTTTTGGGACACCCTGTATATACAGTATCAGACTCTGTACAGTACAGATCAGACTCTGCCGTGCAGAGAAATAGCCTCGCGCAGAATTCAGCCGTACCTAAAAGGTTAATCGTCCCGAAGGCGAAATTCTCCTACGACACGTCAAGATTCGGAAAATAAAGAATCGCCGCACGAATTTCTCGCGCGATCTAATAAATCTGGTCTATCAGATTAGATAAATCGGAGCTAGTTAATTGCGCGACAGAATTGTATTTTCAATTAGAACGCCGTTATCATCGTTAACGTCGAAGATCGGTGCGCGCACGTGCGCGATCCGTGCGGCGGATCAAAACACAGCCGGCCGGTGTTTTTTGCGTAAAAAGCCGCGCGATTATGGCATTCGCGCGTGACGCGGCGGGGCGGAGGAAAGGAAGGAAGCGGGGAAAGGGGCAGTTTCCTTTGGGAACGCGGAGTAAAACGCCGAGATAACCGCGAACAATGCCCGGCAAATGAAAATAAAATGAAAATAAAATGAAAATAAAATTGCCGGCGAGCGTAATCGTATGCAAAGGCTCTTTCCGCGTCCGTACACGCGTCCGCATATTAAACGACGCGCGACGGTCCGCGACGAGCGAAAAATCTCAATAAATCCGAGCGGGATCGATCGGGGCAGCGCGGCCGAGACCTCTAACCGCTCGATCGTCGATCCCCCGCGAGCCTCCCTTTTCCACTCTCGCGGATCTCGGACGAGAAATAAAATGGTTCGTTCCGCGCTATTTTCGGTGTCCGGCTCGCGGTCTGCTGGAAACAAACTAATTTCGGCCCGGGAAATCGAACGATGGAATGAAAGTAACGAGAGGCCACCGATCTCCACGGATCGATCCCCCGATACTCGTCCCGGTCCGTGGTAGTATCTTCGACATTCCGGCCGGCGCGGCAGCGTGTTCGATCGACGACTCTTTTTTTTTTTTTGCTTTTTTTGACACAAGCTCCTCCCGTGCTCGACGATTGGAAATTATTGACAGGCATTGGTGCTTCCGTTTTCGATTAACTCGACCCGCTAATTTTCGACCACTGTTCGCTGCCCGGAGAACGCGTACGAGAGGTTGCGGAGCGGTGTGCGCCGCACAGAGAGATATGCAAATTCAAAGAAAATTGAAAGGGAACACGGTGTCGCGCGTGCTCCAAAACCGAAAGAATTAAACGAACGTGTTCCCACTATTTCTCGTTCGTCCCGGAAATGGAAGTTTGCGGAAGTTTCCGATATATTTTCTCGCAACCGATCGAAAAGTAATCTAAAAATAGGATCTACGAAAGAACGTCCAGGCTAGAAAAATCTCTCGAACACGAAAACGGACAATGGTTGAAGCGACGCGCGCGATCCAGCTCGGTGCTACGTACGAGTCCTGAGAATCACGGCGCTGTAACCGTGGGCATTTAATCAAAGACAGTAATGTAGCTCGCCAGTCACGTTACAATGATTACACGGTACAGATACGACGAGGGCGTAACCCGGAAGATTTCATATCCCGTTTCGCTTGCTTCTATCGGGGGCACGCGTTGAAAAATCGACGAGGATTCGCGTGGCGAGCGAGCGGCACGTAAACTGCTGTTGCGCGTGTATAAATTCCGGGGGTCTCTAATTCAAGGGGGTGGGATCGGGTGGTTCGCCGGGAGGGGCGGGTGGGCAGACTGTGCGGCGGTTTCCGCGTAAAAAGGCGGCGCAATAATGGCCCATAGAATTCTCGAAAGGATTATCGTGGCCGGTGGTACTCGCCGGTTCGTTTTGCTCGTGACTGACTCTCCTTATTCGTGCCAGCGGCGGCGAATCGTTCCATAAACAATCGGGCACTTTCACTCGGGGGGCCCCGGTGGGTGCACCGCACGGAATCCGCGATACACTGCAGCCGTGTGCGCGGTGTGCATCGTTTAACCGTCGCGTCGCGTAGCGTCGCGTCGTAAACAGAGGGCTGCGCGCACCAGCGAACGAAGGCCTCTCGCGAACAGAGAAATACCTTCTCGGTTTTTGCCGGTTCTTTTTATCGCAGTCGCGCCGGCCCTTTTCGTAAATAGGAACAGCTTCTCGGTCGATTGTTCGCAGTCAGAGGCCGCTCTTATCGGCGCTGTTATCTGTTCGATCCTTTTACCTCGTCCCCTTTACCCACCCCCCACGCCCCCCGTGCCCTCTCTTGCCGCTGTAATCGTTGGAACCCTCGACGAAGCGGCTCCGAAACATTCCACGAGCAATTATATGTCCCAGCTGTTCCCGAAACCCTACTCGAACCCTAGTCGAACTCCTCCGAAATGCTTCCTGGAAAATGAAAAGTCCCGCATTGTTGCCAACCCTCGTCGCAACCCCAACGGAAGCATTTCATCGACGGTGCCTTATCTGGACCTCCTGGGGGAGCACTTTCGCAGTGCTATCACTGAATTGTGGCCTGTTTTTTTCAAAGCACATACTCGCGGTCGAAATTGCCGTTCCTCGCATCGCTTGTACGTACTTCAAATCGACTCGAAGCTTGCCTTCTAAATCGAGGCATTTCTTTCTTCGAGTCGGCTGTCAGGAATTTCTCGAAATAATTTCGCGATCCTTTTTTAAGCCGAGATAACTGATCTTGGATCGGACGTTTCCAGCTTTAATTTGAGCCAAGCTTCGTTAAAGAAAACAAGTCTTATAAATATAAATATAAAATATATTTCTAATAAAGAAATACGACTTAACCCTTTAACCTACAACCACGTCTGTGAGACGTGGTCAGATAGTCGGGCCAGAAATGATTATCACGTCTGAGAGACGTGGTCAAACAATCGAGACAGAAATGAGAGTCATGGTGCGTCAGTCGAGCCAAATATAAATATAACTAGTTTAGGCTCCTGTTAGTCTAGGGGATACGCGTTTTGTGGTTTTTATGTTTTTCGTCATTTAATTGTTTTATTAGTAGCTAAGGAAGGTGGCGCAAGAACCAGCTAGACGCGTGCTGCGATTTTTGCGATCTTTAATTGTTTACAGCTCATACGATGGTCAGTCGATTTCGATGAAATGTTTTTAACATATGCAATTTACCGAGATCTACAAAACAAATTTTTTACATTTTCGATGTTGGCTCAGATCAAACAGTTAAAAACAAGAGTTTCTTATTTTCTTTTATCATTCTAAGCAATAGCGACCTTTAAAAGACGCATTCTAATTATGATCTAATAGACTGATCGCTCTATCATCTATGATAACATCTCTGGTCGCTCTATCATCTAAAAAGTCATTTAATCCAGTTCTAAAAAAGTTATTGCGTTTCGAAAGTTGACCGATTATTAACGAAAGCATTAATTTACATTGCGTAAGAAGTTCGCGATTGGCACAACTTCAGACATTTCGCGCAGACCTGAAAAAAGCTTGACGCGTGACCGATCTTGTTGTTTGTGGCACATTTTCTTGAAACTTAAATCGTAGGGCAAAGGGTTAAAACCGACTCGAATTTTTCCTTTCAAACGTTGAGCGCCGCGAAAATTCATTTTCATTGTAATATATTCGAACAAACTGAATTTGATGTTTCGGATGCGAAAGAGTTCTGTCATGTCGTTCTAGTTTCGGTTTGATCGATTAAATTGCTTTAACTTTGTGACAATTTTAGTGATCGATCGTTGGCGCTGAACGCGTAAAGACGAAACGGCCTAACCTCTAACTATCGCAGCTTCGGCGTATGTTTATCGGCGATGGGAAATACAAAAATGTCAAAAATGTCTCGCAATCCAGAAATGAGAGATTCCTGAGGTCATTTGGAGTAACTTTCTCCTTAGCGAAAATACAATCCGCGGCTTCGTTTACGAGTTACGAACGAAAAACACCGACCAATAAGAGGCGAGCTCGGCTGGCGCGAGGCGGCCCAGCCAACGAGTGCACGAAGCCCAGTTCCGCCCATTGGCTCGACCGTCTCGCGCCAGCCGAGCTCGCCTCTCATTGGTCACTGTTTTTCGTTAATAACTCGTTAACGGTGCCTCGGAGAAAATTTTTGTAAAGGAAAAAGTTACTTCAAATGACCTCAGGCACCCCCGATTTCCGAGACATTTTTGGGACACCGTGTAGAATCGAAAGGTTAGCTATGAGGTAGAATGAGAAATATGTCGCGTCACGAATACTCGGTAGCTCGGACGTCCGTTTTCGAGAAACGGATCGGGGACCGAGAACACGTGCAGTCGGAAGGACTTCCGTCGGCCGTCGTATCGCGGTGCGACGAGCTAGCCGGAAACGAACCGCTCCCAGACACCACCGGTGTACACCTTCTGATTGCGAAACAACGTGTTCTCGGTGTGTACGGCACGAGGCGGCCACGTACTCAACATGGTCACGAACATGAATTGCAGACGGGAAGGAATGCGACGCTCTGGTCTGCTACCACGAGAAGGACTCCAGCCTGGTCATCGGTATAGTGATACCCACCCTGGAGACCAGGCATCGATACAAGTGCACGCCGCTCGAGCTCTCCCACCTGAACCAGAACTGTAAGTCTCGTCTTTAATTAAACGAGAGCTAGCCACTCGCGCCCCTCTCCTCGACCTCGTGGGAAGCTCTCGCTAATGGCGTTATTAAGTTCCCTTGCTCCCCGCACAAGCGAAGTATTCTTTTCCGGCTGTTTCAAAATACTACGAATCGCCGGACTTTTCAGCAGCGGAAACACCTGGACACTGTGTTTTAACACGTTGAATGCCACGGGGGTCACCGGTGACCGGCACTTAACTCGGCGGTGACGCCATGGGGGCCACCGGTGACCGGCGCGCCCAAATTCATAGAAATATATTAGGTCTACCGGATGCTGAACGGAAAAATATAATAATATAATTATTTAGATATATATAAATAACCTCTATTAATTATCTTTTTTATTATTGTTATTATATATATATAATTATTATTAATATAATATATTGTTAAAATAATATTATTATATATATATTAGGCCTATCGGAAAGTTCTGTCGGCTTTTGAATTGAAATATAACACAATTTTCATACATTTAATAATATTTATTGTAGAATATACTTTCCATCGTTACTTGTGACTTCTTGCCAGCGTGATGGCAACTTGAAAATGACATTTTTAAAAAATGATTTATTTTTAGAGGCGAATAACTCAACTAGTGCTCGATTGACATCAGCTTCAGTTTTGAATTTTTGTTCCTGTAAAAAGTTTTGCAAAGAGAGAAACAAGTGATAATCGGAGGGTGCTAGGTCTGGGGAGTATGGTGGATGCGACAGAATTTCCCAGCCTAGCTCTGCGATTTTCTGACGAGTCGCCAAAGCAGGATGTGGTCTGGCATTATCATCGGTAGCCATGTTTTCACGATCGCGTCTCACTTAATAATGACATGAGACATCCTTGTTTCAGTTTATTTAGGAGAGTACATGTGTGCAAATGCAATGATAAAGAGAGATAGTCATATATGTCTCAAATCAACATGTGCATATGGATTGAAACTTGAAGTGACACTATCGGACGGAACTTTCCGGTAGACCTAATATATAATTTAAAACAAATGTCAATATCTAAAATTTGGTATTATTACCATCGTCGATTCAAACAGTGACCCCTGTCGCAATTAGCATGTCAAACATGGTTATACACTGTAACTTATCTATTGCAGATAATATTTCAACGTTATATGTATCGCATAAAAGGAAATTCATCGTGGCGCCACGGACAATTTCTGTAAAACCGGCGTGGCATTCAACGTGTTAACCATGCCGAACATGTAGAAAAATGGCTTCTGCTCTGAAAGACTGTGCTTATTGGTCCAAAGTTGTTTCAGTAGATTTCTCGTTGATAAGTAGACTGCGAATTTTATGCATTTTTGGCAAAAATGAACTGGCGAAACTGGAAATCGAGGAAAGATTAAATGCAATTGAGAAAACGTTGACGTATTAATTTAAACTTGTTAAAATGATCTAAGAAGGAGAGAGTATTAGCACTTTGAGTGACTGACACTTTCATCCGTATGCAGATGACGAAATTATTTAAAAGTGAATTTCTATGACGATCCATAAATATTTCTTAACTTCATTAAGATTCGCAAGAGGTAAGAATGTTGAAATAGTAATCGATGTGTCATAGAACTTCGCTTTGCATGTGTTTAATATAATTGATTAAAATACTTGAATTCTATGAAATATTGAGATGTTTTCAGCGCGGCCGTCAATGTGTTAATAATTGTCACGTTCGTCTTGCAATCGATTCAGACAATTTGTATTTTGCATAAAGGTCCGCAGTCTGCTAATAAATTCTGAAAATAAGTGTCGTACGAAATAAACCAGTTAATGAATAGCACGAGAAACAGTCGAGAAAGGAGTCGTACTGTTATGAATTCATTGCACGATCACATCCATTCGCTCATATAAATTTGCTTTGCATGTTTAATTTAGTCGATTAAGATATTTTAATTCTATGAAATATTTTATCGTGTTTTCGTCGCGGCCGTTAATGTATTGATAATTAGCACATTCGTCTTGCAATCGATGCAGACGATGTATGTTCTGTAAACATCCGCGGTATATTAATCAGTTCTGAAAATAACTGTCATATGAGATAAACCGGATAATAAATGGTACGAGAAACGGACGAAAAAGGTGTTGTTCTGCTACGATCGCATCCATTTGTTCACAGCACACTCTAACAATGTCTCATTGGAAACATTTCTTTAGGAAGGCATGCTTCCAATTTCAGGAACACACACAGCAAAATGCGAAATCTTCGGCGTTCTTTGCCCGCGGGAAAGCCGAAATGTCAAAAAGCCGGAAAGCGAAAAGCGACGGTCGTTGCCGGAGAAGAAAACGCGAATCAAAGAACGAAGGAGCGCGTTATTATCGCGGATCCGGGGCGAGCGGGCGATTCACAGGGTCGGTCGTGAAGCGTAAATCATAGAGCCGCGTTTGACAGGGGCGGCTGATGGAATCTTCCGCGGGATACGGTGCAAAGGGGTCGCGTAGGAGGACCACCGAATGGACGACGCGAGTGGAGCACCGGTCTAGTTTCGCGGGCGCGTCGCATCTCATGAATATCAACGGCTAGGTGCGCAGCGTGATAACGGCCGCTCGACGAAAAATATTCAGACACTAATTTCCTTCTAATTGGCGGGACAGAATTGGGCCGTGTAGGTGAGCGAGCAGCCAGTTGGAGCGCGCGCGCGCCCGCGCGTCGACCGCGATTTTATTAATGCAAATTGCTGCACGCCGCCCGGCCCCAATCCGGCGATGCAAAGCAACCTATACATAAATTTCGTTGCGCGTCCTACCGGTTGGTTCCTTTCTTTTCTTTCTCTCTTTTTTCACGCCCGCGGAAACTCGTCCGCCCGGCCCGGCCCGGCCGACCCGGCGCGGCGCACTCGATAATCGGAAATTTACACCCCTGTTCGGCAGTTGCTCACCTATGTCGACGGAGTTATTACATGCAAATTAAAAGGCGTGACAACTGGACCCTTGGCGACGTTCGAGTGTCTCGGAATCGCTCTTGTCCGTATTAACCGGTGGAAGTCGGTTCGATCCTCGCAAATGTAATCCCGTGGTGCGCTTACCCCGGCCCCGATTAATTCGTTGGCCACTAAGCCACGCCCCCTCGTTCATTCTCCGAAACTCCTTCAGCCGTCGTGAGCCAAAATTCGCTCGGATCTCCGCCGAGAAGAAAGACGACCCTGCCTCGGTTCCTCAACAAGTGTGCGGCTAGGCAAAACGCTCGAAAGCGCGTCTGAAAAATGGTGTTTGCAAAATTGCCAAGACGAATGTGCGGCGCGGCAACGGCACGATTCGCAGGACCGCTTTAACGTCGTTAGCGGGCATCTGGATAAAATATGTGCGCCACGGAGAGAGCCGCGTTCGCGTCAGAATTTCTCCGTCCCTTGGAAAGGGGCAAGCGTGCGTCCGGGCGCGCAGCTATCCCCGGGGATGTTCCACCCGGTTTCCGTGCAACGCGTGTCGCAGGCTCGGAATCCCGTCCCGGAAAATAAAAAGTGCCTCCGCCGGCGAGCCCCGAAAATCGCGTCTCCCTCGGCGCGGTGCTCCGCCGGAAATGCATATACGCGCGGGCGAGATAACCGAAAGATAACGGTGGATGCCTCGGGATCACGGAATCACAGCGGGGAACTTGGCAAATTGAATTAGAAAGTTGGCCGCTCCCTCGGACGCGACGGCGAGCGTCTCGTTTGTCTCCGGTAGACAGCCCGCGGTTTCGAATTAGGTGTGTACAAGGCTGCACCCGCCGACTCCGCGTTTTCGCTCCGGTAACTTCTGATAATGCGCCTCCGAAACGGAGGAACTTTTGCGATCCTCTTCCTTCTGGCTTCGCCGCCGCCGCCGCCTTCGTCCTGCCACCCGTACAGACATCTTTTGACCTAACCGGCTGATGAACGCGAGACGCCTGCATTTCTCGCGCGGCAATCTTCCGGCAATCGAGGAACTTGGGCCCGGCTGAAGGCTGAATCTTCGCCGGGATTCTGCGATTTCCGACATCTCCGGCTTCGCTAACAATACCTACGTGTCCCGTAGTACCTCAGTGGCATCATACGAAAGGCCACTATAGTGGCCCGTAGTACCTCAGTGACATCTTATGGAGGGCCACTATAGTGGCCCGTAGTACCTCAGTGACATCTTATGGAGGGCCACTATAGTGGCCCGTAGTACCTCAGTGACATCTTATGGAGGGCCACTATAGTGGCCCGTAGTACCTCAGTGGCATCATACGAAAGGCCACTATAGTGGCTGTCTCTTATACACATCTAGATGTGTATAAGAGACAGCAGTGGGAGTGTCACGGCGGACAACGCGCTCGTACCGAAAGGGGTACTACGCACTAACAATACCGATTCTCCCTCCACATTCTGTCCCGTTGTCAGCGACGCAAGGGCAGCTCGGTCAATTTCTTCTTAACACTCTATCGTCCGGTCGTGGTTGAGGCTGCCACTCAGTAAGGACTGGCTANTAGTTATGGGGTGTTCTTGTAAATAATTGGTGCGTGCGGTGTAGTTACTAACTTTATTGGATAAGTCGCGTAGAATCACTTTCGGGTAGCGTGTCGTCGAAGCAAGGGTAACGGCGTTGCGAGAGTACCACTATATTACAAGTCTCCTTTTTTTGTCAGAGGTATGAGAGCGAGCGTCTAACTACTGCTCTTTTTATACTATCCTGTTTGCCCCCGGCAAGGGCTCTGGACACCCCCTGATTGGTTGACCCGCGAATGGGTTTTCCCAATCAGCGTTGTCCATCTCCTTCTCACCGCCTTGTCCCTTACGCCCTGAGCGCGTCCTGTTTTGGGACCGCGTGGTGATCGGAGTGGGTGCGTTTCTTATGATGTAACGGCCTGGGTTTTCCTCAGGGCTGTTGCGCTCGGACGTCCGGCGTCCGGGTCCGTTTTGCGTGCCCTTCGGAATTTCCGCTTATTTATGACGGTCTCGTTGACTATCGAGAATCAGGTAAAAAACTCTACTGGCTTATTGCCATCTGGACAGGAAACAGTTCACTCAAAAATAGCCTTTTCGAAGGAGAGTCATAAATATGCTAGTCGTTTGCACGAGAAATAAATCTTTTCTACAGAAATATGGCTTGCATGGATGCCAGATGTATATCGGCACTCGTCCATATTGGTCATCAGATGGATGCCGGATATATCCGGCGCTCGGCCACACAGGTGACTAGATGGATGCCGGATATATCCGGCGCTCGTACCGAAAGGGTTAAAGCCGGTCGTTCGATCGGCCACACGTTCCCTTTCTAAAACGCGGTCCTGTGGTTTCAGGGGGCCTGGAGATCGGACCGCACGCAGCATCCAGCCGCAGGGTGATCGTAGTCCTGAGCCCAGCATCTTTGAGCAACGTGTGGAACGAGACGAGCGTGGGAGGAGTTCTGAAGCAGGTGTCGTCGCTGGCGACGCGAACGATAGTGGTAGCAACGAAAGAATTGCCCAGCGTGACAACGATTGCGAAACGATCGACCACGGGATGCAACGACACCGGCGAGCTGTCGCTGGATCGTTTGAAGATCCTGACCTGGGACGAAGGAGGCGGCACCAATAGCAGCGCGGACAACCGGAAGTTCTGGTACCAGATTCGACTGGCAATGCCACCGGTCCGACCTATCAGTAAAGAGACCGGATGCCAGCTGGGCGCCATGATTGTACAGGCGAACGGAAAATGCGGACAGCAGAAGGCGCGGTCGCGCGAGAGCCTCGAAGTGCTTGTTTAAAATGGAGGCGTTCGCGGAAGAAATCGGTGGAACGACGACGAAAATCGGTTCCTCCGTTTCTTCGTTTCCTCAGTCAAGTTGCTTCGAGAGATCCGCCATTTTCCCCGAAGCGTTCGACGTTTGAGAACGGATCGCGCGGGTGTCCGGGTCCGCGAGTCGCGAACGAAGTCATACACGGCGACCGCCCTTCGGAACTTCGTCGATGCCCGAAGTTCTCCAAGGAAACCGTTCCGAATCGTTGAATTGTACGCGCGAGCTCTCCGCCAATGTTCGCAACGACTTCGAGGCTGAATTGTTAAAGTCGCCTCGACTGCGAGCTCGAAAAACGTTACCGGAAGAGGTAACGACCGCCGTGTAACACGGCGGTCCGCTCTCGCGACGGGAACGTTCCATTTCCGAATTACATTTCGAGACTCTGGCTCGTGCCGTTACGTTCGTTTTACGGCCGATAAGCTGCTGCGAAATTTTGGCGTGAAACGAGCGCGACCGTAGAACGTCTATCGAAGGCCCTCGGGATCGAGAACGGCGATTATCCTTTTCGCAAACCAGCATTCCAGCGGTTCCGATCTCGAGCGTGCCGAATTCGACACGAACGAACCATAACCGTATATCCCTCGGATCGGCGAACGTGTTCTTTCAATCCGATTTCAAAATGTCCCGACAGTTTCGCTTCGTTTCGTTTCGCTCGGCCGGCTTTATGAGACGAAACGCTTTTCCGATCTAAACACCGAAGTAATAATCGTTCGTCAGAATTTCAAAAGACTGCAATTGATCGTTCTGAACCACTGTGGAAACTACTTTCTCTGCGATTTTAACGATGTAAGATTTTAATTCGCTTTTTAAGTAGAAAGTTTATTCGAAGCCGACGCTCTCCTCGGTAATCAAAAGCGAGGATACATAGGATTACTTGTAACGGTCGGTAACACAGCAAGTTTTAAACTGGTCTCTGTCGGTAATGATTTCCCACGAGACGGATTTCAATTTTAAAACCAGCCTCCATCGGTAACAGTTTCCTACGGTACCGACCTTTTACCCGCGTTTAACCGTATTTCCTGTCACGCACAATCGTTTTCCCGTTTGATCGAGAAAGATTTGAAAGTTTGAGGAAGGAGGAAACGGATGAACGAGGGCTGTCTTCCGTCTTGCGAGATGAAACTTTAAGGCAGAGCTGCCCCCCAGCATCGCGCGTCATTTTTTGAATTTCAAAACGTTTATCGACCGGGGCCAACATGGCGGGCAGAACTGGCTTAAATCGCGGCAAGGCAAAGAACAAAACAGAAACAATACGAGAAGAAAGTGTGTCACGTTGCTCGCGTCGCGCAATCGCCGATTGCATGGGCTTTTAATTGTCTGTTTGTAAATATTGGATACATATCGGTGCTCCTTTATTTATTTAGTTAGTCGTGTATTTTATTTATAACCGTTTAAGGTTCACCGGTTATTCGAAATGTGTTCGCGCAAGCGCCCTATCAGTCCGCGTTTCCGGTTGTGCGCGCATCTCTATGTGCTTTGTCGCACGTGTCCACAAGTCTTCACCGAATACGTAGATATTTTATACTGTTTTTGTATATACACGTAAAAGGGGGATAAGGAGAGGATATATAGATATACAATACATATTCGTATACATATATGTACATATATTGCCGGTCCGAATTAAGATTACAGCAGAATGCTGCGAAAGGTGTGTTACCTTTTTTTCGACAACATCATGCTACGTAAATGCGAAATTCGTTGTCTTTCTTTTACACTTTGTATGCACGATAACAAAACTGTGTATATTTATGCGGTCATTTTAAATTACGTAATAAGAGATTTTCAATATGAAATAACGATCGCGTTATTTATTTATTTGAATTTCTGCTCTGTTTCGTTTCCGAGTGATCGCGCGCGAATTACGTATGTTGAATATCCGTAGCAAAAAGAACGAACAGCACGCACGAAAATGAGTGAGCTTTCCATCGAAAAGTTATTGCGGTCGCATAATTACTGTAATCTTAGATCGAATACGAACAATACATAACACACACCCGCGTTTGTTTTTATATAGAAGGGATTATCAGTTGCGCCGACGCGACATACGAAAAGACTTAGAAAAATTGTATATCCATGCGAGATACGTGACGTAAACGATAATCCCATCGTTTTAGTAATTAAGGTGATTATTACGTGTAATTGTATGCAGTGTGGCCCGTTTTAATCTGCGAAACTCGCTTCACGATTTCACACCACTAGACACGTGTAATATATATATACACTGCATATGAATATGCAACATGTGCGCGATACGTCCCGCGTGTGCGAACAGATTAAGATGGGTTACCATTAAGCCACGTTCCCGCGTACGCCGCGCATTATGCTAGCCGTTTGCTCGCGTGTAAGTGTACTTTAGGTGTCGCACCGACAGAACCACGGGGCGAGCTTAACTTTAATATCATATGGTAATCTCTTTACTGTCAGTATTACGATACACTAGTGTACTTGTCTTGCGGGGACGCGCTCGCCATTTTGAAGCGGTCAGATACGCCGCCGTTCGTGCGAGCGAGATCTTCGCGAGCCGGGTAAGCAGAGTATAGATGTAGAAGTTGAACCCGTTTGTTCGTTTAGCGATAGAGCACAGGCACATTATCACACGAAACGATTGAACGCGTTCACAGAAAATAATCCACGTTTCTTTTCTCTCTCTTTATTTCTCATGGTTTTTTATTTTCCCCCCTAACGTATACAATATCCTCCCCGTCGTAACGTCCAGCAACAGGAGCTTATTAATCGCTCCCTTATCGACCGTCACCTTGTTGCTGTCTTGCGATTGGTCGCACCACGCGAAGGCGAGAATGTAAATGAAAAAGAAAAAAAACGCAAAAAGTCGCAAAGGTCTCTGTTTCTCTTCGCGGCAAGACGAAAAAAAAAACATTGTTGTTCCGTGCAAAAAAAAACCGATAATAAACGAGAATATTTATATTTCCAGAAACCGTCGGTCTCTGTTGCTTTTCTTTACTTACACACTTATTACACTTTTGAACAGTGTTGATACTCTCGTTCACGAACAGACCGTTGTACAACGCGCTTCGTAAGCCGCATGAATTAACAGGAAGTCTCTCGGTCGTTTCAGACGCATAAAAAATGCTCCGCATCTATATTTTTCATTCTGTTACAAATTCAATTACAATAGGCACTTGTACGTAAGGCAATCGTTTCTCATCCAATAGTACAATATATGTTTGTACGACGAACAAAAAAAAGTATAGCACCGCGATGTGATCGAATACACGAGTACGCGGAATGAGAAGGCGCTCCTAGNCTTAACGCTTAAGAAAATCTTCGTACAAAAGTGGACTGACCCTGCGTTATGTGCGCATTTTCGGCGCGGCACCCCGTACAGTGGGAGTGTCACGGCGGACAACGCGCTCGTACCGAAAGGGGTACTACGCACTAACAATACCGATTCTCCCTCCACATTCTGTCCCGTTGTCAGCGACGCAAGGGCAGCTCGGTCAATTTCTTCTTAACACTCTATCGTCCGGTCGTGGTTGAGGCTGCCACTCAGTAAGGACTGGCTAAGTCGCGCGCGCATTTGCTCCCAGTACCGGCTAAATTTTCGCTATTCATTGTGTTGTGCTTATTCCTTTAAAAATAATAATAAATAATAATATAATTATTATAATTATAATTCATAAGGATATGGGGAGGTCAGCATACAGGAGGTCAGCTACTAACAAAACGGTAAAGAAGCGAAAACCGTCGATAGCTAAAAGTCGATTAATAGGCTATCGGTCGATAAGCATTGGCAATCGAAAAGCCGATTAATAGGCTAGCGATCGATAAACATTGGCAATCGAAAAGCCGATAAATAGGCTAGCGGTCGATAAAGTGTTAACCCGTCGCCTGTAACGTTTTCTTCACGGGGGAAGAACATTTGCATGCCTACATTTTCTCGAGCGCTTGAATATCCGTGACAGGAAAACAGGATGTGGTTCACGCCTGACAGGTTGTTACCAGAAATCAATGCTAGCGATCCTTAGAGTTTCGATCATTGTAACGTAGAAACTTTAACCCTTTCGGTACGAACGCGTTGTCCGCCGTGACACTCCCACTGTACGGGGTGCCGCGCCGAAAATGCGCACATAACGCAGGGTCAGTCCACTTTTGTACGAAGATTTTCTTAAGCGTTAAGTAATGACTGCTGTCTCTTATACACATCTCTATAGTGGCCTTTCGTATGATGCCACTGAGATACTACGGGCCACTATCTGTCTCTTATACACATCTCTATAGTGGCCTTTCGTATGATGCCACTGAGATACTACGGGCCACTATCTGTCTCTTATACACATCTCTATAGTGGCCTTTCGTATGATGCCACTGAGATACTACGGGCCACTATCTGTCTCTTATACACATCTCTATAGTGGCCTTTCGTATGATGCCACTGAGATACTACGGGCCACTATCTGTCTCTTATACACATCTCTATAGTGGCCTTTCGTATGATGCCACTGAGATACTACGGGCCACTATCTGTCTCTTATACACATCTCTATAGTGGCCTTTCGTATGATGCCACTGAGATACTACGGGCCACTATCTGTCTCTTATACACATCTCTATAGTGGCCTTTCGTATGATGCCACTGAGATACTACGGGCCACTATCTGTCTCTTATACACATCTCTATAGTGGCCTTTCGTATGATGCCACTGAGATACTACGGGCCACTATCTGTCTCTTATACACATCTCTATAGTGGCCTTTCGTATGATGCCACTGAGATACTACGGGCCACTATCTGTCTCTTATACACATCTCTATAGTGGCCTTTCGTATGATGCCACTGAGATACTACGGGCCACTATCTGTCTCTTATACACATCTCTATAGTGGCCTTTCGTATGATGCCACTGAGATACTACGGGCCACTATCTGTCTCTTATACACATCTCTATAGTGGCCTTTCGTATGATGCCACTGAGATACTACGGGCCACTATCTGTCTCTTATACACATCTCTATAGTGGCCTTTCGTATGATGCCACTGAGATACTACGGGCCACTATCTGTCTCTTATACACATCTCTATAGTGGCCTTTCGTATGATGCCACTGAGATACTACGGGCCACTATCTGTCTCTTATACACATCTCTATAGTGGCCTTTCGTATGATGCCACTGAGATACTACGGGCCACTATCTGTCTCTTATACACATCTCTATAGTGGCCTTTCGTATGATGCCACTGAGATACTACGGGCCACTATCTGTCTCTTATACACATCTCTATAGTGGCCTTTCGTATGATGCCACTGAGATACTACGGGCCACTATCTGTCTCTTATACACATCTCTATAGTGGCCTTTCGTATGATGCCACTGAGATACTACGGGCCACTATCTGTCTCTTATACACATCTCTATAGTGGCCTTTCGTATGATGCCACTGAGATACTACGGGCCACTATCTGTCTCTTATACACATCTCTATAGTGGCCTTTCGTATGATGCCACTGAGATACTACGGGCCACTATCTGTCTCTTATACACATCTCTATAGTGGCCTTTCGTATGATGCCACTGAGATACTACGGGCCACTATCTGTCTCTTATACACATCTCTATAGTGGCCTTTCGTATGATGCCACTGAGATACTACGGGCCACTATCTGTCTCTTATACACATCTCTATAGTGGCCTTTCGTATGATGCCACTGAGATACTACGGGCCACTATCTGTCTCTTATACACATCTCTATAGTGGCCTTTCGTATGATGCCACTGAGATACTACGGGCCACTATCTGTCTCTTATACACATCTCTATAGTGGCCTTTCGTATGATGCCACTGAGATACTACGGGCCACTATCTGTCTCTTATACACATCTCTATAGTGGCCTTTCGTATGATGCCACTGAGATACTACGGGCCACTATCTGTCTCTTATACACATCTCTATAGTGGCCTTTCGTATGATGCCACTGAGATACTACGGGCCACTATCTGTCTCTTATACACATCTCTATAGTGGCCTTTCGTATGATGCCACTGAGATACTACGGGCCACTATCTGTCTCTTATACACATCTCTATAGTGGCCTTTCGTATGATGCCACTGAGATACTACGGGCCACTATCTGTCTCTTATACACATCTCTATAGTGGCCTTTCGTATGATGCCACTGAGATACTACGGGCCACTATCTGTCTCTTATACACATCTCTATAGTGGCCTTTCGTATGATGCCACTGAGATACTACGGGCCACTATCTGTCTCTTATACACATCTCTATAGTGGCCTTTCGTATGATGCCACTGAGATACTACGGGCCACTATCTGTCTCTTATACACATCTCTATAGTGGCCTTTCGTATGATGCCACTGAGATACTACGGGCCACTATCTGTCTCTTATACACATCTCTATAGTGGCCTTTCGTATGATGCCACTGAGATACTACGGGCCACTATCTGTCTCTTATACACATCTCTATAGTGGCCTTTCGTATGATGCCACTGAGATACTACGGGCCACTATCTGTCTCTTATACACATCTCTATAGTGGCCTTTCGTATGATGCCACTGAGATACTACGGGCCACTATCTGTCTCTTATACACATCTAGATGTGTATAAGAGACAGCTTTCGGGTAGCGTGTCGTCGAAGCAAGGGTAACGGCGTTGCGAGAGTACCACTATATTACAAGTCTCCTTTTTTTGTCAGAGGTATGAGAGCGAGCGTCTAACTACTGCTCTTTTTATACTATCCTGTTTGCCCCCGGCAAGGGCTCTGGACACCCCCTGATTGGTTGACCCGCGAATGGGTTTTCCCAATCAGCGTTGTCCATCTCCTTCTCACCGCCTTGTCCCTTACGCCCTGAGCGCGTCCTGTTTTGGGACCGCGTGGTGATCGGAGTGGGTGCGTTTCTTATGATGTAACGGCCTGGGTTTTCCTCAGGGCTGTTGCGCTCGGACGTCCGGCGTCCGGGTCCGTTTTGCGTGCCCTTCGGAATTTCCGCTTATTTATGACGGTCTCGTTGACTATCGAGAATCAGGTAAAAAACTCTACTGGCTTATTGCCATCTGGACAGGAAACAGCTTACTCAAAAATAGCCTTTTCGAAGGAGAGTCATAAATATGCTAGTCGTTTGCNTCTGGACAGGAAACAGTTCACTCAAAAATAGCCTTTTCGAAGGAGAGTCATAAATATGCTAGTCGTTTGCACGAGAAATAAATCTTTTCTACAGAAATATGGCTTGCATGGATGCCAGATGTATATCGGCACTCGTCCATATTGGTCATCAGATGGATGCCGGATATATCCGGCGCTCGGCCACACAGGTGACTAGATGGATGCCGGATATATCCGGCGCTCGTACCGAAAGGGTTAAAGCCGGTCGTTCGATCGGCCACACGTTCCCTTTCTAAAACGCGGTCCTGTGGTTTCAGGGGGCCTGGAGATCGGACCGCACGCAGCATCCAGCCGCAGGGTGATCGTAGTCCTGAGCCCAGCATCTTTGAGCAACGTGTGGAACGAGACGAGCGTGGGAGGAGTTCTGAAGCAGGTGTCGTCGCTGGCGACGCGAACGATAGTGGTAGCAACGAAAGAATTGCCCAGCGTGACAACGATTGCGAAACGATCGACCACGGGATGCAACGACACCGGCGAGCTGTCGCTGGATCGTTTGAAGATCCTGACCTGGGACGAAGGAGGCGGCACCAATAGCAGCGCGGACAACCGGAAGTTCTGGTACCAGATTCGACTGGCAATGCCACCGGTCCGACCTATCAGTAAAGAGACCGGATGCCAGCTGGGCGCCATGATTGTACAGGCGAACGGAAAATGCGGACAGCAGAAGGCGCGGTCGCGCGAGAGCCTCGAAGTGCTTGTTTAAAATGGAGGCGTTCGCGGAAGAAATCGGTGGAACGACGACGAAAATCGGTTCCTCCGTTTCTTCGTTTCCTCAGTCAAGTTGCTTCGAGAGATCCGCCATTTTCCCCGAAGCGTTCGACGTTTGAGAACGGATCGCGCGGGTGTCCGGGTCCGCGAGTCGCGAACGAAGTCATACACGGCGACCGCCCTTCGGAACTTCGTCGATGCCCGAAGTTCTCCAAGGAAACCGTTCCGAATCGTTGAATTGTACGCGCGAGCTCTCCGCCAATGTTCGCAACGACTTCNACTATATTACAAGTCTCCTTTTTTTGTCAGAGGTATGAGAGCGAGCGTCTAACTACTGCTCTTTTTATACTATCCTGTTTGCCCCCGGCAAGGGCTCTGGACACCCCCTGATTGGTTGACCCGCGAATGGGTTTTCCCAATCAGCGTTGTCCATCTCCTTCTCACCGCCTTGTCCCTTACGCCCTGAGCGCGTCCTGTTTTGGGACCGCGTGGTGATCGGAGTGGGTGCGTTTCTTATGATGTAACGGCCTGGGTTTTCCTCAGGGCTGTTGCGCTCGGACGTCCGGCGTCCGGGTCCGTTTTGCGTGCCCTTCGGAATTTCCGCTTATTTATGACGGTCTCGTTGACTATCGAGAATCAGGTAAAAAACTCTACTGGCTTATTGCCATCTGGACAGGAAACAGTTCACTCAAAAATAGCCTTTTCGAAGGAGAGTCATAAATATGCTAGTCGTTTGCACGAGAAATAAATCTTTTCTACAGAAATATGGCTTGCATGGATGCCAGATGTATATCGGCACTCGTCCATATTGGTCATCAGATGGATGCCGGATATATCCGGCGCTCGGCCACACAGGTGACTAGATGGATGCCGGATATATCCGGCGCTCGTACCGAAAGGGTTAAAGCCGGTCGTTCGATCGGCCACACGTTCCCTTTCTAAAACGCGGTCCTGTGGTTTCAGGGGGCCTGGAGATCGGACCGCACGCAGCATCCAGCCGCAGGGTGATCGTAGTCCTGAGCCCAGCATCTTTGAGCAACGTGTGGAACGAGACGAGCGTGGGAGGAGTTCTGAAGCAGGTGTCGTCGCTGGCGACGCGAACGATAGTGGTAGCAACGAAAGAATTGCCCAGCGTGACAACGATTGCGAAACGATCGACCACGGGATGCAACGACACCGGCGAGCTGTCGCTGGATCGTTTGAAGATCCTGACCTGGGACGAAGGAGGCGGCACCAATAGCAGCGCGGACAACCGGAAGTTCTGGTACCAGATTCGACTGGCAATGCCACCGGTCCGACCTATCAGTAAAGAGACCGGATGCCAGCTGGGCGCCATGATTGTACAGGCGAACGGAAAATGCGGACAGCAGAAGGCGCGGTCGCGCGAGAGCCTCGAAGTGCTTGTTTAAAATGGAGGCGTTCGCGGAAGAAATCGGTGGAACGACGACGAAAATCGGTTCCTCCGTTTCTTCGTTTCCTCAGTCAAGTTGCTTCGAGAGATCCGCCATTTTCCCCGAAGCGTTCGACGTTTGAGAACGGATCGCGCGGGTGTCCGGGTCCGCGAGTCGCGAACGAAGTCATACACGGCGACCGCCCTTCGGAACTTCGTCGATGCCCGAAGTTCTCCAAGGAAACCGTTCCGAATCGTTGAATTGTACGCGCGAGCTCTCCGCCAATGTTCGCAACGACTTCGAGGCTGAATTGTTAAAGTCGCCTCGACTGCGAGCTCGAAAAACGTTACCGGAAGAGGTAACGACCGCCGTGTAACACGGCGGTCCGCTCTCGCGACGGGAACGTTCCATTTCCGAATTACATTTCGAGACTCTGGCTCGTGCCGTTACGTTCGTTTTACGGCCGATAAGCTGCTGCGAAATTTTGGCGTGAAACGAGCGCGACCGTAGAACGTCTATCGAAGGCCCTCGGGATCGAGAACGGCGATTATCCTTTTCGCAAACCAGCATTCCAGCGGTTCCGATCTCGAGCGTGCCGAATTCGACACGAACGAACCATAACCGTATATCCCTCGGATCGGCGAACGTGTTCTTTCAATCCGATTTCAAAATGTCCCGACAGTTTCGCTTCGTTTCGTTTCGCTCGGCCGGCTTTATGAGACGAAACGCTTTTCCGATCTAAACACCGAAGTAATAATCGTTCGTCAGAATTTCAAAAGACTGCAATTGATCGTTCTGAACCACTGTGGAAACTACTTTCTCTGCGATTTTAACGATGTAAGATTTTAATTCGCTTTTTAAGTAGAAAGTTTATTCGAAGCCGACGCTCTCCTCGGTAATCAAAAGCGAGGATACATAGGATTACTTGTAACGGTCGGTAACACAGCAAGTTTTAAACTGGTCTCTGTCGGTAATGATTTCCCACGAGACGGATTTCAATTTTAAAACCAGCCTCCATCGGTAACAGTTTCCTACGGTACCGACCTTTTACCCGCGTTTAACCGTATTTCCTGTCACGCACAATCGTTTTCCCGTTTGATCGAGAAAGATTTGAAAGTTTGAGGAAGGAGGAAACGGATGAACGAGGGCTGTCTTCCGTCTTGCGAGATGAAACTTTAAGGCAGAGCTGCCCCCCAGCATCGCGCGTCATTTTTTGAATTTCAAAACGTTTATCGACCGGGGCCAACATGGCGGGCAGAACTGGCTTAAATCGCGGCAAGGCAAAGAACAAAACAGAAACAATACGAGAAGAAAGTGTGTCACGTTGCTCGCGTCGCGCAATCGCCGATTGCATGGGCTTTTAATTGTCTGTTTGTAAATATTGGATACATATCGGTGCTCCTTTATTTATTTAGTTAGTCGTGTATTTTATTTATAACCGTTTAAGGTTCACCGGTTATTCGAAATGTGTTCGCGCAAGCGCCCTATCAGTCCGCGTTTCCGGTTGTGCGCGCATCTCTATGTGCTTTGTCGCACGTGTCCACAAGTCTTCACCGAATACGTAGATATTTTATACTGTTTTTGTATATACACGTAAAAGGGGGATAAGGAGAGGATATATAGATATACAATACATATTCGTATACATATATGTACATATATTGCCGGTCCGAATTAAGATTACAGCAGAATGCTGCGAAAGGTGTGTTACCTTTTTTTCGACAACATCATGCTACGTAAATGCGAAATTCGTTGTCTTTCTTTTACACTTTGTATGCACGATAACAAAACTGTGTATATTTATGCGGTCATTTTAAATTACGTAATAAGAGATTTTCAATATGAAATAACGATCGCGTTATTTATTTATTTGAATTTCTGCTCTGTTTCGTTTCCGAGTGATCGCGCGCGAATTACGTATGTTGAATATCCGTAGCAAAAAGAACGAACAGCACGCACGAAAATGAGTGAGCTTTCCATCGAAAAGTTATTGCGGTCGCATAATTACTGTAATCTTAGATCGAATACGAACAATACATAACACACACCCGCGTTTGTTTTTATATAGAAGGGATTATCAGTTGCGCCGACGCGACATACGAAAAGACTTAGAAAAATTGTATATCCATGCGAGATACGTGACGTAAACGATAATCCCATCGTTTTAGTAATTAAGGTGATTATTACGTGTAATTGTATGCAGTGTGGCCCGTTTTAATCTGCGAAACTCGCTTCACGATTTCACACCACTAGACACGTGTAATATATATATACACTGCATATGAATATGCAACATGTGCGCGATACGTCCCGCGTGTGCGAACAGATTAAGATGGGTTACCATTAAGCCACGTTCCCGCGTACGCCGCGCATTATGCTAGCCGTTTGCTCGCGTGTAAGTGTACTTTAGGTGTCGCACCGACAGAACCACGGGGCGAGCTTAACTTTAATATCATATGGTAATCTCTTTACTGTCAGTATTACGATACACTAGTGTACTTGTCTTGCGGGGACGCGCTCGCCATTTTGAAGCGGTCAGATACGCCGCCGTTCGTGCGAGCGAGATCTTCGCGAGCCGGGTAAGCAGAGTATAGATGTAGAAGTTGAACCCGTTTGTTCGTTTAGCGATAGAGCACAGGCACATTATCACACGAAACGATTGAACGCGTTCACAGAAAATAATCCACGTTTCTTTTCTCTCTCTTTATTTCTCATGGTTTTTTATTTTCCCCCCTAACGTATACAATATCCTCCCCGTCGTAACGTCCAGCAACAGGAGCTTATTAATCGCTCCCTTATCGACCGTCACCTTGTTGCTGTCTTGCGATTGGTCGCACCACGCGAAGGCGAGAATGTAAATGAAAAAGAAAAAAAACGCAAAAAGTCGCAAAGGTCTCTGTTTCTCTTCGCGGCAAGACGAAAAAAAAAACATTGTTGTTCCGTGCAAAAAAAAACCGATAATAAACGAGAATATTTATATTTCCAGAAACCGTCGGTCTCTGTTGCTTTTCTTTACTTACACACTTATTACACTTTTGAACAGTGTTGATACTCTCGTTCACGAACAGACCGTTGTACAACGCGCTTCGTAAGCCGCATGAATTAACAGGAAGTCTCTCGGTCGTTTCAGACGCATAAAAAATGCTCCGCATCTATATTTTTCATTCTGTTACAAATTCAATTACAATAGGCACTTGTACGTAAGGCAATCGTTTCTCATCCAATAGTACAATATATGTTTGTACGACGAACAAAAAAAAGTATAGCACCGCGATGTGATCGAATACACGAGTACGCGGAATGAGAAGGCGCTCCTAGACTCTTCCGAAGCTTTTACGTACAAAAAAAAGAAAAAAATAAAGAAAAATTCTGCACCGTTTCGACGCAGTACAAAAACTGGCCAGGCGTTCCCTGCGCGGGTTCAGTAAACGCGCCGAACCCGCTGGTTCGCGTGTCCGTCCGCGCGAGTTCAAACAGGGAAATGCATTTGGGCCGAAGAGTTCCGTATTCTTCGACGATTATGTACATATAAGGCTGATACATCGGTGTTTTAATAAAAACTGTTTCGACATAGCACGCATCGGTCAAAGTAATTCTATCTTAGGAAGTAAAATCACCTGCCGTCCCGACTTAAGTACGTTTATACTATTATGCAGCACCGACTTGCTAAGACGGTGGAGAATTTGATCCTGTATAAAACGTTCCTTTACGAATCGCATAAGTCCCGCTTAGTTGTGCCGTGTGTGGTACGTGTCTCCGTATCCATGGATCCGTATTAGTACGCTTGTGACTAATATACAAAAATAGTATACACAATGCATTCGAGTCTAGGAAGTCGCAGGACGATTCTCGAAGGCTATCGTAGTTTCCGAGTAAAAGGACAATGAACCAGTTACAAAAAATCTACAAGATAATACTGTATCCAGGAACAGCTCGGCGGCTGAGCGAACCCGAAAATGGCGAAATTATGCTCGACGGTGTGATGTGTATATTCTTACAATCTTCAGGTATATTCGTAGAAAATGATTATGCGTTAAAAATTAGAAACTACAGCCTATAAGTAACGGAACTGAATGCATTATCCAACTTGGGCACTTCATTAATTCCTCGTACGGGAATCAAAGGGCGGTGGATGTGCGGTTTTGATAGCTTTCACGAGCCACTTCCTTCAAAGCTTCCGCCATCAATGGACCAGTCTCATTCACCATACTTTGCAAGAATCCAGTAGCCTTTTGTAGTAGTATGTATGGAGCATCGAATTCCTGTAATGATACACACGTGAGAATATGTAGAGTATATACAAAATCGAATCCTCCAAAAATGAGTACAGGAAATGTCGCTGTATTGTTCGAGAAGAATTAACATTTCCAGAAACTCACCACTGAGTTACCAGCGTCCATCACTAAGATGCGATCACTGTCCATGACAGTGTTAAGCCTGTGGGCGATAGTTAACACCGTGCACTGGGCGAACTTCTTGCGGATCGTCACTTGGATGAGCTCATCAGTGCGGGGATCCACGTTCGCCGTAGCCTCGTCAAGAACGAGAATAGGGTTGTTCTTGACGATAGCTCGAGCGAGACACACGAGCTGACGTTGTCCCACACTGAGGTTAGAGCCACCCTCGTTGACATGTGCGTCCAGACCCATCTCCTTCAGCTCGACCTCCTCTAACGCCTTCCAAAGAACGTCGTCATTGTAGCTGCTAAAGGGGTCTAGATTCCTTCGCAATGTGCCGGAGAAGAGGAACGGTTCCTGAGGAATAATACTGATCTTGCTACGCAGATCATGAAGGCCAATCTCATTGGTCTTCACCCCATCTATCTCAATCACACCTTCAAGGTCCGACAGTCGGAACAACGCTGAGATCAGGGACGATTTTCCAGCACCTGTTCTACCGACAATTCCTATTTTCTCTTGAGGATAGATCACGAAGTTCAAGTTCTTCAGCACTGGTTCTTCCGCGGGGTCGTATCTCAGATGGAGGTTCTTGAATTCAATCTTGCCTTCTTCTGGCCAAGAATCTTTCGGTTCCTTGTCAGGGGTACTCTCTAGTGGTGGCTCGCTGTCCACTTTGCTGAAAGATAATCATAACGCTCGGTTTATATTCATGAAAATTGCGGCAGAAATTCGGAGTACCTACATCGTTCAAAGACTTACCTATACTCCAACACTCGCTCAACAGATGTCATCTGATTCTCGAGCTCAGTGCTCTGTCGCATTCCCCACTGAAACATGCCAGTCAACCCAATACTCTGCGTGATAGCCAAGCCCACATTACCTCCAAGCGACGCACCAAGACTATCTTCCAAGAGCAGGAAGCTGTACGTAACCAATATAATGTAGACGACACAGAAAAGATCCAACCAAAAGCCGAAAGCTCTCGAGGTCGCTATGAATATGTACCACGCGGACGAATGCAAATCTTGATGATTGTCGAACTCCTTGGTCAAGATTTCACCCGCCTCGAATGCGCGAATTGTTGGCAATCCTTGAAGAGTTGCATTCAGGTGTCCGAAGACCGGTGATCGAGCTAGAGGTGAATATCGGGCGTTAGTACATAGTGCGTTAGTACATTTATCTCGATTATCTTAAATACTCACTGACTCCTTCAAGACGTTTGACGCTTCGACTAGTCGCCAGATAAAACACTCGAAGGTAGAAGAATATAATTCCTATGACCACTGTGGGTATCAACAGCCAGGGATTGGCCATAGCTACCACTATTATGATACCGATGAGAGATAAACCAATCTGTGTGCAATCGATCATCGCAGAGGGTAACAGCTCGTCTATGGCTCCCATGTCCTTTGAGAATCGATTCAGAACACGACCAGAAGTATTCGTGTTGAAGAAACGCATAGTTGCGCGACTGATGCTGCGGAACATCCGATCGTGTAGCTTGGTAGATGCCTTCATACATGTCGTAAAGAATGTAAATGAACGCATCAGTGTAATAACTATTGTTAAAACGGTCAGAGCACTGTACGTGTATATGCAAATTTCACGACTGAGGGGGCCTTCCCAGTCCGTTGTCGTTATCGTATCGTTTATTTCTTTTGTCTGAAAATACAATTTATTAAGAATTACGTTGTCATCACGAACGTCCATTTTCTGAGCTTTAAAGAGCTTACGTATTTCTCTTCCATATTGACCCATTGCGAGATGAAATAGTCACCACCGCTCGCAGCTAACTGCGCCAATACGCACAGAAGAAACACAATAAGTATGAGACACCAGTTTCCGCCTGCCCTCAGGTATCCTGAGTAGACCTCGCCGGAAATTTTGCCTTTTGAACGTGTTTCTTCCACCTGCGCAAGTTTCGCAAAATCTTGTAATTGTCTCTCGCATCTAATAACATTATCATCAATACAATTTAACGAATTACCTCAACTGGATCCAGTTTCTCAGTCCCGCTACTCATGTGCGAACTTAAAGATGTGATACTAGCATTCCTTGAGTTACTTCTACTAGGTGGAGCTGACACCTTTCTTTCCTCTTCTTCGACAGCTTGATTTTCTGCCAACCTTCCGAAATCTATTCCCATCCTAGTGAGCTCTTCGTAAGAACTGTGAAAAATAATACAAAGATACATTTTGAATGACAATAAGCGACTCTAAATGACCTTGGACCGCGAATATATGAAACCCACCCTTCAGCATGGATTTGACCATCCTTCAACACGATTATCCTGTCGACGTTTGTTAAGTATTGTAACTGATGAGTGACGAGTATCCTGGTACTTTCTCTCAAGAATCTGTCGATACACTCCTCAAACATATGCTTGCCCACATGAGCATCGACAGCGCTCAACGGATCATCCAATAAGTACAGATCAGCCTCCGCGTATACTGCTCTGGCCAAGTTAATCCTACATTGACAAAATAGATGGATGAGTCATGATCGTTTCACATGTGTCCCTTCAGCCATCGGGTAATTACCTAGCACGCTGACCGCCGGACAAACTGATACCTCTTTCGCCAACAATAGTTTTATCGCCATATGGCAGCAGGCTGAAATCCCTCTTCAATTGACAGACCTTGACTACGCGATCATATCGGAACGAATCCATCTTTTTGCCAAATAGTATGTTCTGTCTGACAGAGCCGGCGAACAACCACGGTTCTTGACTGGCGTACGCTATCTTGCCATTTATCTGTGAAATAAAGGGAAACAACGTTAGAACTAAATGGTAAACATTCGTGTACCGATAAGAATACATACTTGAACGCTGCCACCGTTCACAGGTAGCTCCTTCAGTATCACGTTCAACAAACTAGTTTTGCCAGCACCGACTTGTCCGACGATGGCAAGCAGCTCGCCCCGCTTCAATTCGATGTTGATGCTCTTCAAAGTGTCTTCCTCGTCATCAGGTATCCACCGGGCGTTGACATTTTTCAGCATCACGCAAGGCTCCTCGTTGTTCAAGTTAATCTTATCTGTCTTGTTTATCGCGTTGTTCCATTCTTTCGTTTTACCGTTCATATCACTTTTATTATTCTCGGTACTCAAATTTACTTTCTTTACCTTCTCTTTATTACCATGATCTTCGACCTCGTCGTACATCATGAACTTTTCTAGACGCTTTATAGAGACCATTGCCTCCGCTACTTGTGTTATACCTGTACGGATAAACGTTCTTTTTAGTAGTATTACTCACAATTATACTGTCCAATGAAGAGATCCATAAGAATCCACGCCTATTGATTATCGAGACGAGGTAACGATATACTTACCTTGAGGGAAAAAGACTGTCATCGTCTGACGTAAAATATTGTAGTAGGCGGTCAACATGAACACTTTCTCGGCAGTTATGTTTTTACCATATAAAACGTAAGCGAGTATAGTGATGAAGAGTGACAGTCTAGTGCTGAACATGATGAAAGACATAGTGACACCTCTGATCAGCGACGTGAGTCGAATAACATTGATCTCTCTCCTGCAATAATTGCGTAAAGTGAATAAAGTCTTTAGATCATTTCTAAGAGACTATATTGTGTAATTACTTTCTTGCTTTCTCGACTAGAGCGCTGAAAGGCTTCTCCCAGGTGTACATTTTGATCGCTTGGATACCACTGATGATTTCGTTTGTCAATCGAACCCTCTCATCCGTCCTTATAGCAGTTTTTAATCTCAGGATTGAAGACTTTTTACCCAAATAACCTATTGTACACAATCTAATGTTAAACGAATCAACAGTTATCGATAACACAGATTATGGTGTTTACCTTGCAACGGCACGAACATCAGTAGCACTGCGACCCCGATGATAGCGGATATTTCAACTTCTCTGTACATAAAGTACAGAATAATAATAGTCTCGAGTGGCCCAATCCATAAATAATGCAAAAATATAATCGCTACATCGAATCTGTTCACGTCGTTGGACAACAAATTTACCGCTTGCCCTACTGTCGTTTCGCCTAGCGCTGTCCTTGAGAGCTTCAATGCTTTCCTGTATATCAGCGTGCAACAAGCCACACGCATCTTCATACCCATGTGAAGAATGGCCATCATGTATGGATGATTGACAAATACTAAGAACGTTGAACACAGTATCACGCCAGTAGCATATAAGTAGGCTTCGTCTTTCGTTGTATTATTATTGTTGCCGTAATAACTCAACAGGCTGCCAAGGAATAACGGTTGCAATACCCTATATATGATAAAGAAAAATTAGTAAGACCCTTAACGAATGTACATGTTCAACTAGCATGCCCAAAAATCCAAACTAAATTCACAAATCAGTGCCTAGACCTCGGACGGCAGTGACCAAGTCAGTTGTGAGGTCAGTTGTTAGGTCAAAGAACATGATGTGAATCTATGTAGGCACGTCTGCTTATGAAGTCGCAAAAGGTCTCCACCGTCCGAAGATTAAGTTACACTATGCAACGTTAGGACTGTGAACTACGTATATGCATATAATCTCGAAGCTTAGTAGGATCGCAAAATGTAAAACTTCAACAACAATCGTATTTCTAAGAAATCGGATGCATAAGAGAATTATTGGATACAGGATATAGGGAGGTTTAGGGACTTAACGATCTCGTCGCATCTTCATTTTCATTAATTTGTAATTCGGACGAGTTGTATGTTCTAGGCAGTAGCACACTATGCACGGAGACATAGCGTCTACCTTTTGACTGATTATAGTAACGAATCAGAAGGCCAAGAAACATGGGCTGGGATAATCTGAACAGGTAAGAAATATACTTTTAGAAACTCGATAAATAATAAAATGATGCTTATACTAGCTTGTGTATTTGGACATTAAGTTGTATTCCCGCTATTCTATTTACCTGAATAAAATGTCCAAAACGGCTAGAATTAGTCCATAGACTAATAACTTAAAGCCGAAACATTTGACAAGGACTTTGGTCAAACTAGGAGGTTTCACTCTGTTTTTAACATCGTATTTTTTACTAGTAGCGTTTTTCAATTCGCTGAGCTGTTTCCGTTTCTCGTATGCTGCTAACTCTACTTCCCATGCTTTTGAAATTTGTGCACCTAAAATGCTACTTGTATGTTCTTTTAGAGGTTTGAATAGATCCTCTACTTCTAAATCCTTACGGTATCCATCCCAGAAGGTACCTAAAACCCACCTATTAAAAATAGAAATAAGATAAGTTCTGTTATTACATGATTTGATTGAGTAATTCGATTTTAGATTCGATTATCTTGTAATCAAGGACTGCCTCACATTGTATGTTAAACCAAGCTTAACTCTTTGTTTTCAAGCTTTTGCTATCAACGACAATTGACTAGAGATAACAATCAAGTTCCTATAAACAGTATTTTAGATTGTTCACCTTTTTTTTACCCAAGGTTTATTTGTACATGATATGAAGATTCTTTTAGATCGTTGATCATTTATTACCTTGATTTCATGTTTTTATTAGTAGGTAGTGTTACGTTAAATAGCGTAAAGTTAAGTCATGATTTTTTTGTAAAACTTACGTAAATGTCATAGCACTGAAAGGATTTGCTCCTTGACGTGGATTTTTCTTTTTCTCTGCCTTTAATTTCCCATCCATGATTATTTCTTTTATTTGTTTGTCTATCCTGCAAGAATTTTATGTCTAGTGGAATGTAGCGTAAACAACATGAATCATTTTGAATGATAGTCAGAAAGAACATAAACTGATAAACCCAACTGAATCATATACTGATTCAATGACATCGATAAATCAAGGAACTATTATAAAAAAATGAGATGACAAACATCACAGTATGCAGTTCTTGTAAACTTCATGTTTATTAATATCTAATAAATTACAGATCTGTATAATAGCTTAAACATATAAAAAATCAATTACAACAGTATGACAAAAAGATCATGTAAATGTAACATTTGAAAACGCATACTTATATGTGATAAGGTCTTTAGAACTTTGTAATATAAGTGATAATAAAATTTGCTTATCTTTGTTTTATAAACCATAATTCATAGAGTAAATAAAACATACTCATTCTTAAAGAGATTTCACTCACAGTGATAAATAATGTACACAGTGATAAAGTACTTTGGCAAATAGAGAATATGTTCTGGAAACCACACAGTGGCCTGATAAACCACTATAACCATTCATTTTTAATCACTTTTTCCTGGCAATAGATATTAGACATTAGATATTAACATTGTAGATTTGAAGGAACACAGAACTTTATTTCACTTCGTTACCTAAAAATACTTTATATGACAATCACAAATGATACATAGGAGTGACAGTTAGTCATAAATGTCAGTGACACAGAAACGGTACAAATAAAGGCATAGCAAATTTCATCGTGTTGTATAGTCAATGCTCTGTTTATTGTCATGAATATTACATCATTTGGAAGCGCAAGCATTGTAAGATTCTCGTATAAATCAAATAATTCGTCCAAACGAAACCGACTCAACAAAAGCCTTTCGCCGAAGTAACGGTGTATTTTGAATTACACAGAAAACCATTTCGCAAAAGAATGTGATAAACATTGCAATAAAGTGGATCTGTCATCATATTATTCAGCAAAAAATCATGTAATGAGAAACGATAAGCTTTATCCGAACCTAAGCGCTGAAACAAACATTAAATGAAACGAAGTGAAATTTGTTCCTACGAAATGCAACCTGCCGCATTAACATTTTACTCTGTGTATGCACACGTGGTTATGTCAAGGTTATTATTTTTGACATTTCTGACATTTTTGACAGGAAACCAGTTGAATAAACCTTGTTTTCTTAACCATTTCAATCCGAGTCTTTTTTATTCATATTTTAGTTACTTTACCACCAGAAATCGATAATATTAAGCTAGGGATAGATACATATCGATTTTGGAACCTGCGCAACAATTTTGAAAATTGGGACATATGCGTTCTATTAGTCTTCGGTAGGACAGCGGGGACCTACGTGTCCCGATAACGGTAAGAATAAATATATGTATTCAATTCTTCCTCCTCAATTCTTTGACAGTATGATATATATATATATATGTGTGTGTATATATGTATATCTATTGTACAGATTGTATAATGATAGCACAAGATTCGTATCTCTTTATATCTTTATAGCTGATGATGAAACAATCTTTGGAATTTCGGAAATAATAATAAAAAAACCAGATGGGGCATATAGATATGACCCGGAAAACGCTCAGGCACTTCAGTGTTCGATAACATGAATAAAAATATAATTTAGAACTTGTTTACAGGAAATAATCACTTATATCATAATCACTGCAAACTGAAAGCCTATCATACTAAAATCATGAAGAATTCTCAATTGATGCGTATAAAGAACGAAATGTTTACCATTGTAATATACAGTCAGACAAATTAGATTAGTGCAAAATAACGCATCCATGGGACACGTATTATGCTCCTGATGATCGGAGAAGATTCTAAGAAGATCTAAGCTCGAAATACTTAAATCATATCAACAAAAATGTCTACTTTGTGGGCTTAAACTGTAATATAGCAGCGAAACGCTGAAACTAGAAGCGCGTGTTATTCGTGTTTTAAAGTTGGATTTTCACGAACAAGCGGTACACAATAAAGAGATAAAAACATGCCGTCTGTCGGTTATCTCGCTTGTCTGCTTCACAATTGTGGGAATTTTGAGATAGACGATAATAACACCTTACATAGACACCGAATCAAATGTGCAATAGTGGCATTCGATTCGCTCGAATTTGCGATCATTACTGCGAAAGTAGCAACAGGAAAAATTCCCGGAGTGGATGCCACCGGATTTCATGGAAACATGTGTCATACAATGAAAACAGAACTTATGTAATGGGAAAAACGCAAGGAATTCCGTTGCGTCGGTATAATACATTGCGATCGATTGTACGACGCGTTTTCATGTTTGACAATAACAGTTGACATTTGCGGCATCGCGTGTGATGTTCGATCTATTCGAATTTCTTTGTTGATACGGTCAGTATAGTATTGGATCATGGAATGATCGATTGAATGAATGATAGAGTGCACACGAGGCACAAAGAAATGTGGGCGCGACGTGTTTCATCAAACTTACGATCAACGACGACGGCGACGACGATAACGAATATACGGTCCTGCCTAATTTCCAACACGTTAATGTCCCATTACTTTCCGATTGCTCAATTCGTTGGTTCTGGATGACAGGCAACATCCAGTTAAGTAGAAGGCCGTTACTCGACTGGCGCACGACTGGTCGCTGCTCGTATGTGTCATTGGTTAACCTTAAATCGACACGTGATCAAGAACAACGGCTCAGATTCGATATGTACATCCTCAACTCCCCGCGATGTGAATCCGTGTGGCTCCTCAAGTTTTTCCGTATTATCACCCCTTATTTACCGCACGTTTCGCGATTCACGCGGCATCTCTCGTGGAAACGATGGAAATTGGATTTCCTTATCTAAGCAGACCCGCGACAACCGCGACTTATCTAAGATCTTCGACGTCTCGGCAAAAAAGCATTGTCATCAAGATAAAGCAAATTGATAAATGGATTACGTGGGAATTTTGATGTGACGTCATGTGAATGACTACACAAAAATTCCAGTTTTATAGTTTATAAAACACGAAGCGGGCCTCGTGGGCCCACTACCACGGAGCAAATCAGGATTATAATATTGCTTTTTTTGTTTATTTAATTCAGTACGTGCGTAGAGGAGGTTTGTGTTCATGTATATTGCAATTGTGCTCCAAATTTGTTGTTTTATCAATTTCAAAATCTACAGACATGTTCTCGTTTGTGGGGGTTGTGCAGTAAATGTCTCTTTTTCGCTTTAAACGATTAGTCTCTTGTGTGGTAAATCTCTATAAATAATTAATGTTCCTTCAAATATAAAAATGGGAATAATTAGTATGTAAATGGCAAAACCCTGAAATCTGAAATTGTTATCCAAAGCGTCACAAAGGTAGATTAGATTGAATTAGCACCTATTGTGGCGAAATCTGGAAGCTCTGTACAGGGATCCATACAGTGCCAATTAGTAAATGGCAAAATGCTGAAACTGCTAACCAAACAGTGGCGCCTATTGTGGCGAAATCTCGAAACTTCATTCAAGGTCCGTACAGCGCCAATTAGCATTGCGACTAATGCTGAAATTGATAGACAAAATTACCAACAATTGAATTTGGCTAACAGTTTCAACGTTTTGCCATTTACTAATTGGCGTTGTACGGATCCCTGAACAGAGCTTCCAGATTTCGCCACAAGAGGTACTATTATCGTTTACATATTTCCACCGTATAAATTTAAATTAAATGAATTTTAATTGAACGAGTTTGAATATACATAGAATATGTTTGATGATAAATTGTATGTAAAATATCAATACATGCTTATTTTTTCAACTCTTTATTGCAATGTAATTATTCTGTCAACTTGACAACTCTTTACAAAGTGTTGAATGTCAAAAACAATTAGTTTAATAATGCAGTGATTGAATTTGTTCAAATGTAAGTAATTCGGTTTTTTTTTCACGCAAGAAGAAAATAGTGAGAAGTCTTACTCAACTTCATTTACAATCAAGGAACAATGTCATAAAAATCTGTGTATATATTATTGAATAAAATTATACCGCCAACAACATATTTACACGGATAAGGCATTTATTGTTCTACTTTGTATGTGGTCGTGCTTTTGCTTTTTGTCTGGAACATTGAGCATGACTATGTGCTCTTAAACTGTTGAACACTTTATTATTTAATTTGACATCAAATCCTCCTGTGTCACCAGTATGAATGCCAGGAGGGAACTTTAATACTCTGCAAGCATTTATCCTCGAGGACATCAGCATGTCATGTTTCGTAACAATTTGAGAGCCTTCACCTATTTTTTTGTATCCACAACGTGGAATTGAAGCATATTCTTTCTCTATGCTCTACAGAAATTTAATAACCAATATTTAATTATCTATTTCCCCTATAAATGAATTCTATATTTTATATTAAATTTTATTATATATTAAATTACCACGAATCGATCGAAATCTCTTGCTGTGTCCTCTATGTCTGTATTACTTTCTTCATCCTTATCGACTGACACAGATGTTCGATAGTTTGTAAAGGAAATATTAACTGCAACAAATAAACTCCCATAGGTGATCCCATTTAGTTCAAATACTCTGTACAATAAAAAAATATATCTTGCCTTTAGCATCTCCATTAAATTTTTCTTCTGTGCGTTTAATCATAAGGTCATATTCTTTGTTGAATTGATTTTGTAACATGTGTGCAATCACTTCGTCGCTGTCTGTATCATGAGCTTCAAATAAAGGGCAATCTTCTATGTTGGCATTCTCTATTGATTCTATCTGACATTTTTTTATTTCTCTGTTAATGGAAATGCAATACTTTTTATTTTCATTCGTGGGAAATTAACATAGTGACCCTATCTGGTGGCTTACTTTTCCTGTAAACTATTTGCAAGCTGCTCCGAAGTTATTTCCAGAAGACTTACTGGACCTTCCACTGGTTGGATTTTTGCCCACGGTGTCGACATTTTTACAACGTAAATTATATACACTGAAAGATATACTTTATCCAGAAAACTTACAATTAAAAAGTAAAACGTATGATTTGTATTACTAACCGTGAACAGAACACTTAAGGTTAAATTGCACAAAAAGATGCAACTTCTGAATAATACAAAATTAGACCTTAACATGCAATAACATGTTTTAGAACCTTTTAAATACTTTATGGTTAAAATATCCTGACAATAGAATTTCAAAATTTTTCTTTTTTTGAACTATTTCTGAATCACTCGATTGATAGAATGTCATTGCAAGGTTGTATCATGATCAAAGTTTATACAATATAATTCACAGCGTTCTATTTAATGAACAGAAAAAGAAGATTAACAAATGTATACGTACCTTAAATCTAGATGGAGTAAATTAAAAAATTTGGAAGACGAGTGAACTGATATACGGATAAAGGTGTGAATAAAAAACAATGAACTATGTGATGTGAAGTTGGATTACATTGTGAAGTGAATCAGCAATAGCAATGGGATCGATAAACGGGTGCATGTACGCGAGTACCAACAAAAAGATTTTATCTCTCACTTTACTGTAAATTGTGATTAAAATTATTTCTATATAATTAAACTTTGTTTACTGTACAAAGCTTGGTAGATGTTAAACAATGGTATTAGTTCGAAATTTGAAATGAAATGATAAAATTCGTACGGATGTACTTATTCCACTTACTGCTTGAATATTAATAAAAATATCTTATCGAATAAGGATTTTGTGGAATATGATACACGTGCCTTAAATTATTTTATTTTTTATACATGGTCCTAAAAATATAAAATTCGTCGTAAGTTAAAGTGGACGTTAAGCAACCTCAATTTCACCTAGATATATTTGTTTGTCACTAGATCCGGAACAAACTGCGGAAAAATATATTTTACGATTACTCTGCTCGTAGATAGACTTAAAAATATTTATTGTTTAATATGAATTACCAATTGGTTCCTTGGGATGAAAATCAATGTCATTAACAGATCCATTATGGCCAGGCAATTTATATAATATCCTACGACTTGTAGTATCCCACACATAATGAAACCTGTCCGATGATCCAGCTGACACTTTGCTGCCATCTGGTGACCATGCACACCTCAGGAGATTCTATCACATAATTATACAAATAAAATTATTTGCGATAATGATTAAAATAATGATGTAAGAGAAAGTTAAAAAGTAAACCTTCTCAAAGTTATGTTGATGTCCAGAAAGAATTTTAACACATCGTTCATAGGGAGCAAATGGTCTCACATCCCAAATTCTCAATGTGTTATCCATAGCATTAGAAAGTATGTATGATCCGTCTGGACTTAAATTAAGTCCAGTAATTGTATCAGAATGTCCTTTGAGTTTATAAAGGACAGCATTCTTTCTTAGATCCCATACTTTTATGTCATTATCTATTCCACCACTTATTACTTGCTCTGCTGTGTCATTAAATGTAACAGCTGTGACCTATGTAATTTATAAAAGAAAAATAATAAATTAGTTGAAACGATTAATTACTTCGAGTTGTTATTTTTATAAAAATACCTGGTATGTGTTGTTTAAGGTATAACATTGTCCCCTTTTTCTAGGATCCCACACACGTATTGTACTATCATCACTGCCAGAACAAAGTTGAGTAAGGCCTCTCCTTGCACCAGAGACAGAATTAACAAAAGAAGTGTGACCCTTTAGTTTCTTGACTCTAGTTCCAGCAACTATGTCCCATAAACCTAGTGTCATGTCTGTGCTAGCAGTGTATAAATGACTGCCATCAGGACTAAAATGTAGTTCCATAATTGCACCACTGTGTCCAGTCATCACAGAGATGTTTTCACATTCTCCATAAACATTCCAAATAACTGTAAATTTATTGTTTTATATTTACTATCGATTTACAGGGTGACTGAATGCATACTCAAAATTTGTAACATACAGATTTGTCGATCGAATCCAGTGGAAGCAAGGTATTGTCCTTCTGGATGAAATTCAAGAGAAAAGATATCTCCCTGATGTCCCTCCAGAAGCATAATTGGTGCAAACAATGAAGATGTTCTGGGTGGACCCTGTAGAACACGAAATACATTGTTAAGGGTAAAGTTTTCTGAAACGCTGAATTAAGGTTATGCTTACATTTTGTACGACTGCTTTTTCTCTGCTGCTGAAGACCACCTCATTTTTAGTCCTTTTCGAAGCAGGAACTAGTGCTAAAATGTCATCTCCTTTACGTTTATCTAAGATCGGCATTTTGCATTACTTTACACGTTACTTTATTTACAACGATCGTACACACACTGACAGAATAGCTTCATTAGATGGCGCTTCGAACGTCCCATCCTTTTGAAAAAGGATAGATGGCAACTTACATACATATTGTATTGTAAAATAAGACTAGTATTAAATTCGTAAGTTACAATTTATTAAATATGATATACGCATTTATAGTGTATTCGTATTTATTTACTATAAACATTTTGACACATTTTGTTTTTCTTTTCTCAGTGTTTTTTCCCTAACTAAGAAATTAATTCTGCGCTTAAATAGGAGGGCCATAATTACATCTCATAAATACACATATTTACAGGTGGCCACTACTATCGCAGGGGAGGGAGATTTTTGTGGTTTTTCTAGTAAATTTTCAGAAAAACGTCTTTTTAAAAGAATCGCAAAAAATTTAAAAACGGTAGATATACAGTTTCCGCTTCTACGCTGACTATTTGATCGTCAGCCACTTATTTTACATTCTGTGAAAAACCACATATGTAAATTTCTACATCGTGTAAAGAAATAATATTTGTTGCGATGTTCGTGACACGTTGGTCCAGAGTTTGGAAGACGCGTCGACCGGAAAGGAAAGATACTGTGCCCGCATAAAGCTTGGATCCTATCAAAAATCGTTAATTTGCAAATGCGTAAAGTAATTCAACACCGTACTATACACAAATATACAGGACATTCATCGTCACCTTTCGTACCTGAACAGAAGAACGTTTTTGTGTTTTTTCTTTTTCATGTATTTTGCGCTTACTCAAACTACGCCATTGAACACTTTAACGGTCGGACTTACTACAATAGCATGTTTGTGGGGTTCTCCATGAAGCTCTTAAAAGCAGCTAACCACTGGGCACCGACCGCACCATCCACGGTACGGTGGTCGCAGCTGGCAGTGACGGACATGTATTGGGCAGTTGTGAATCTACAATTGAAACAATTACAGAAAAAATAATTAAAAGGAATTTTAAAAACCAACTCTATCAGGAATGCTTACCCTTGCTCATTCTTGGCAGGTATTAATCTCGCTTCAGTAGTGCCCACAGCAAGGATTATGGACTGAGGCGGATTTATAATGGCGGAAAAGTTCTTAATACCGAACATTCCCAGATTAGACACCGTTATAGTTCCGCCCTGGAATTCTTGTGGTTGCAGTTTCCCTTCTCTTGCCTTCGCAGCCAACGCTTTCACGTCCTTACTAATTTGCACTATACCCTTCGTATCTGCGCTGAAGACTATTGGCGTAATCAAACCGTCTTCTGTGCTGACCGCCACACTTACATCGACGTTATTGTATCTACAAGAAGAAGAAGCATTATATTAGCACGAATGTTATATACATATTAGTGATAATACAGGAAAACTTACTGTCTAATGACGTCACCCATCCAAGCACTATTGCCCTCAGGTACCTTTTTGCTAGCCATCGCAATCGCTTTGATGATGATGTCGTTTACACTGACCTTTACCTTCTCCTTCTCCATCATTTTGTTAAATTGTTCTCGCATTGCTAATGCCGCGTCCATTTTTACATCTACTGATAAATAATAATGTGGGATAGCCTGTTTACTTTCTAGGAGACGTTTTGCGATTACTGCTCGGATATTAGACACGGGCACATCTATCCCTCCTGGAGCACCCATTGCCATTCCAGGTTGGATGCCAGCAATTGCTGGCCCAGCGCCCGCTAAATCTTTGGATGTAATAGAACCGTATAATCCAGATCCTTTTAGACCCTGCAAAGTGGACACGTAATTAACATACTGCCATTAAATGTAGCAGAAATATATATGAGCCAAGAAACTTTGCAAATCACCTGTAAACTGAGGCCTTTCTCAGCAGCAAGCCTCTTGGCCAATGGACTAGCATATATCCTCTCTCCAGAGACTGCAGGTAGTTTAGCAGCCATTGGTGACGGTGGTGCTGCAGGAGCTGAAGGTGGGGCGGATGGTGCAGGAGAGGGTGCTGCTGGCGCAGCAGCAGCAGCTGCTGGGGGTGGAGCAGCTGGAGAGTCATCTTTGAAGTCTTTGAAAGCAGCTACACTGCCTTCATCAGAAACAATTATACACACAAGTTTGCCAATTGGAACATTTTTTGTTCCTGCAGCCACAACAATTTTTGCCAGGTATCCTTCCTCAGGAGTCTCAAAACCCATTGTTGCCTTATCAGTTTCAATTTCTGCCAGCAAATCACCTTCATTCAGCTTGTCGCCTAAAATAAAATACAACAGATTATAAGAGATTATTGATTTAATACGATTAATTGTTTCTCTCACCCTCTTTCTTTTGCCAACTAATGATGGTGCCCGTCTCCATGGTAGGAGACAGTGCAGGCAGTTGTACTTTGACATGATCGGGGTAGTCAGCATAAAACCTGAACTGTTGCTTCCATGGTGCAACCGTGAGGCGTACATTATTGTGAACCTGAACCCTGAATATACACAAAAGACTGTTTTATCATAATGTTCATATAAATATATGTGGTTGTCTTTGGAACAGTAGTTACTAAAAATTATCTTATTCAATTAACATACACACACGAATGTATGATACAGTATAATATTATAATAGGTACAGTACCAATAGGAAATTGGAGCTCATTCAAGAACTCTTACTCATTTGTACGAGTAGAGTACGAATCAAATAGAGTGAACACTGCTCGTGCATACAGTGAAAGATGGCCTTGAGTGACCGCTTGATTCAATGTTAAGTTTAATCAGAATAGTATGATTCTTTGTAATGAAATGAAGCAGGATTCAATCGAGGGAGTGGCAGCGTTATTATCAGATATCAAGTGGAAAAGCGGGAAATGGTGTCCACGAGATAGTGTGCCTAAGTAGAATGAGACGATGGTCAGACGTGGTTGCAGAATGTAACCTTAAAGTCGAACAGCGACCGATACATAACTCGAGGAAGGTCAGAGCAATTCAAAGAACGATAAAATATGACGGTGACGTTAAAGAAAATACCTTTGAAGATGTTTTCTGTGAAGACATCGTATGACCACGGATCTTACGATGTTCGTCCGCACGGAACTTCGTAGTATAACGCGTGCCAATTCATTACGTAGACTGCTCGTGGTTCGTATCATAATCTCGGATGCTTCGTAGATCCTTTACTACTTTTTTCGTAGCAAGTCGATGGGAATTCGATGACGGAGATAGTGGAAATGGTTCGGTTTAACACCTCGCACGGCGACGTCCACGAGCGTGTCAACGGTGTGTTAGGTGTTATCACGAAACACGACTAGTAACGGACGATATGAGCACCAAATTAGAGGTCGTCTGCAAGGTCACGTGGCTTCGAGTTTAAAGGTGCTTTTTCAAAAGGGGGGATTCATCGTTGGCGGGGATTGAAACACGCACAAGGGAACACTGAAACGATTATCTATGGAAGTGATTTTGTGCCGCAAGAAAAAGTTCAGACGATGAATCCCGTTAAGGTTAGACGGCCTTATGACCGACAGTGTCATTGATAAAATAGAACGGACACTGCTACTTTCTGACGGAAGAGCCGCTTGATCTACGCGCGATCTAGCGTTAATGGTACAACGCCGGTCGGTGGAATTCGATACTTTTACCGATGATATCTTGAATTTTGAATTGTCGCCTTTAGTCGCGCGTTTTATGTTTGAAAAATATTTAAAAAGTTTTAAAAACTCATTCTCTATCGGAACATAAAATCGTGGATCTTCGAAATGGTGAATAAACGAGGCGGGAATTCAAAAAAAGGTGATACGAATAAAAAGAATCAAATAATATTCGGCAAGGGAAAATTCACATTTCCAAATAATGATACGTACAAAGGAGAGTATAAGGGCCATACAGGACAGTTCGCGATAGTTAAACAAGGTTATTAAAATATAAGCAACATTTTACATTAGTATTTTCATATTTTATATCATTTAAAATATTTGTATAATTATTATTTACATATGTCATAAGATTTAAAAGTTCTTATAATAATATTTGTATATATTATATCGCCTAAAAATATTTTATAATTGTCATTTATACATGCTATATTATTTAATATTTTTTGATCGTTATTATGAAACTTATTGATTAGGTAAAGGAGTATACACTACTGATAACTTTGACATATACGATGGTGAGTGGAACAACGATGCATTTAATGACGGTGTAATACACATTCGGTAAATATGATATAGTTATAAATTCGGGATAAAGATTATTAATTAGTGCTTCGTGATTTCAGTTATAATAATAAGGCCGAATATCGAGGTAACATTGACTCAAATGGGACCATGAATGGCTGGGGAACTTACGTGTTTCCTGATGGATCCTCTCTGGAAGCAATTTGGTTTTGTAATATACCGTTGACAGACATTATTTATAGAGAGCCTCTTGGGTACAAGTGGATACTTGAAGAATTGTCAAATCAGGTAATACAATTTTTGTAACATGCCCAAACTGATTTTCTACCATAAAAGGTAATACCATAATCTCGGTTGCAGACAATTACGTTGTCATCTGGAAACCATTTCTGGGACGACATGATGTTATACCTGAATACCACTGATTCTACCGAGACTGCATAACATTTTTTAATCCTCTTTCAACATCTGCGGAACCTCGTATCTATATGTTGCAGATTTATAGAGAGGATTTTGGTTCGAACTGAACACAGTTCTACTTTGTTCTAGTTGAAACTTTGCGAACTCCTGTCTGTCTTGTATAAACGTCCAAACTCTGAGCAATTAAATCATGGTCAATATACGCTCCGAAATTTTACTTTTATTTTTCTAATTTTATTTTAATAGATACTTGCCTCCAAATCATTACAACCATCATTCCGAGGACCACTATTGCCAAGGAAATGCAGCCGAACATCGCAGTTGCTTGTAACGGCCTACTGCATACCTGACAAATTTATAAAAAGAGCACAGTTAAACAAATGCGCGAATAGTTGATTTAATGGGAAGTAATTGCCAACCATTACCTTCTCTCCTATTTTCAGCAAGACGATATCGTTCGTCTGAAACTCGTACACGTACGGTATCGTGCATACCAGGTCCTCTTTAACAGTCCTCACAAAACAGTAATGTTCGTGACCTGTACAAATTTAGAAAAAATATTTCAAGCCTCGGAAATCGGACATTTTCTACTTTTCAGCTAGCAATGATCTCAAATTAAAGAAACATTTGAAAGTACTGTTTCTAGACATTTTGATCCGCTCATTGTGGATGGACGATGCTTTTAAAACATTTCATTAAAGCGTTCCCTGACGCAGTAAATCAAGAGTAGATCGTTCACTTGTTACCTCTATCCACGGAGCCTATTATCGTAGTGTTATAGTCAGTCTTATTTGTCCGACAATTTTCGTCGATTCTTTGCGGCTCTTCGATGGTAGCGTTCACACAGCCATTGTACAATGCACAGAGGCTATTCGGGACCGAGCTGATTGATAACTCGCAATACTTGCCCGAATAATCAACGTTGTTGACGGACTTGCACCTAGAGATACACGCTTGTATTATTCATCGTGGAGAATTGGTATACAAATGATCAAATACGAACCGACACTCGCCACAATCGCAGTCTCCGTTACCAGAGCAGATGTGTTCGCTCCCTGGAGCCATACAAAGCTCGCTCATCGTTGGACATTCACAGGTGTCACCTTTCCAGCCTGGCAAACAACTACAGGTGCCGCAGTCGCATATCCCTTTTCCACCACATTCCAAGCCATCGGACTAACATCGAAAAGGTTGTTAAAGACGTGAACAAAGGTGGCTCATTTCTGTTTGATTTGCGAGCTTTAGATTTACCTGCTCGCATGGGCTGCATTCGCAAAACCGTCCCGAGTATTCTTCATCGCAGATACAGCTGCCACAAATGCATTCCCCTCGATTCGAACAAATGGTCGTAGCAGTGGGAGCGATACATTGCTGTTCATTATCTACCGGGCTGATTTGATTGCAGTCGCAATACTCTCCTGAGAAATTGTCGTTCATCGATAATATAACACCGTTAATTGTAATATTAATATATTAATGAATTTCTCACCGGACCATCCGAAATGGCATTTGCAGAAGCCACACTCATCGGAACCGTGCACGCAACGCGAATAAACGGAGTCCTTGCACTTGCACCCGCATAAGAGTTCAACGTCGATCACGATTTTAGAGGCTTCGGATGCTAGCGCGTCCTCGATCACGATTCTTTGTTGCTGAAAAATAATTAATTCAAATAAACTGCCCGAAACGTACTGGACAACGCTGGCTGGGTCATCTGGATGATGGTCCCTATCAAGGGATACTATTTACAAAATTGCAGCAATCAAGGAGCAAATTGTTCAGATGATTGTAGTCCACGAGGGGCACTGACTCCTGCGGTTACAATCACCAGGGAACACTGCTCACGTGGTTGCTGTGGCTAAAGGGTCACCATGTAAACCATCACAACTTATAATTGAAGACTTTGATGCTTGTGAATCTTTTCACAGCATAAAAATCTTCAATCTCACTTACCAATGCACTTTCGTTCCTTGGACATTCGTCAAAGGAAAGTACCAACGAAAAGTCATACACTTTGCCCTCTTCTATCCCTCTGCACTCCGATGTGCTAATTTTCTCTTCATCTGTCCTTCCGCAATTTGAAAAGTACTCCACGCGAAGCGGACTTGTCGAATTGTCCCGTAGCACAACTTTCGTGATCAGTTCGTGATAAGCGTTGTTGATGATCTGCAGGATGTTCGAGCTGTTCTGAGCCAACGTGGCGACTCGCGCCTTCTCTTGCAACAAGTCAACCATTAACTCGTACTCCAAACGCCGGTCTTCCGTCACAGCGAATATCAGATTGACCTTATTGTCCCTCAGCAGCCTCGACACCTCTGCCAGAGATGGGTAATCGAATTTCTCCGACATGGTGTACATTCCGTTCTCGTCCAGATGACACTGGAAATCCGAACGGTCCACCGTGCCCGTCAGCTGAAAACGATCTTCATTCGACTCGAATCTCGAAATGTTTCGCAACAAAGTCGTCTAACCCTTTATGGTACCTTGCCGTCCCCGGCGAAATGCAGCAACCCGTCGGTGGCCATCAGAATGATTTTTCGCGATTGATAACCCCAGCCGATCTTCTCCGCGCAGACTATAGCCTGAGCCACGGCATCCATTCCTGCCTCCAGATTGTCCACGTTTCCGGTAATACGGCTGTCCTCGATCTAAAATCAGAAACTAGTTGGTTTTGACGAAACTCGACGCATGAAAATCGTGGACCTTTTCGATGAACTGCTGAATGTCACTGGTCAGGCTCAGTCGATGTCGGAACGCATAGAGCGGCTCGCAATCTTTGTACGCGCTCTTGCAAGGATTGTCCTGGTGTCCCGAAAACACCAGAGGCATCAACGGTTTGTCAGCGTAGCTGCCGAACCCGAGACGATAGTTCTCGGTGAACATCCGCAGCGTGTGCGTTATGTTCCAGGCCAGTCTCACCAGCGTGATTTGATCGTCCTGCATCGTAAGTGTCAGGTCCATCAAATAGTACAGATCGAGAGGATAGTTCCTGTAAAAAATGACCATTTGTAGAAAGTCTAGCCGATGGACAGAGTACTAAACACACATCGAGACGCACTTAGCTAGTCTATAATGCAGAGGAATTGATATCTTCGTGCGCGGCTGGATCCTCACTTCGATCTTCTGCGGTTTTAGCTGCACGGGTGCCTGATCGGACCCTATGACGTTTTGGAAGTCGTGGTTCTCCAGCACCTTCTTCGAGCCTTTCGAAGCTCTGCGAATCTCTTCGCGATTGCAGCCGAACGCCTCCAGGCTTTCCGGCAAGTTGCATCTCGGTTTACCCATCGTGTAGTTCGAGTACGACTGGGAAAATAGGTGAAACGACATTTTGATAGCTACCTCGTAGCAGTCATGACTGGGTCCATTCGCATCCTTGCGTGTTCATTTCCCTTTGCTCGGTTTTTAACCAGCTTGTTTTTTTGCATTTCTGTTCGAAACCTATAATTTACGAGTTTACTTTTTCCGTTTTTTAAGACTTGTAAATTATAAGTTTACTTTGCCCGTTTCTTATTATTTAAGGCTTTTAACTTGCAAGAGCCACGTGGAGCTAATAAAATCGCTGATAGATTCTATATATTTATTATCTTGTTGTTTATTATTGTTTTTTATCAGTTGGTAAATGAATCAGAATTAATTTATCCGAGTTTAAGGGCAAATAATATTGCGGTATTTCTCCATAGATGCGGAGATAGGAATTATTCTTTACGTGTTTCAATTACGTTAAAAGCTTTACCCAGTCGCTGCACCATGCACAATACGAATTGGTCTCTAAACAACTCTCGCAGGTTTTCTTGGACACACAGATTTTCATCAGCTTCGTGTCCAGGGCGTCGAGGTGGTTCCATCCAAGTGCCAGTACAACCACAAATAGCTGCATTCCGAAAATCCTCATTTTTGCGGATTGCAATGCGGATAAAAATGATCAGAACGAAGAAAAGGAAATGTTCTCTTAGTTTCGTGTTACTGGTACGAGATTTAATATGGAACTATCGCAATTGGCACTAGTATCGGTGCTAACGTATCTGCTATCTGCGTTTATTGATAACGATAAACGACGATTTCGTTCGAAAACTAGATGTCGGTGGTGTGTACCTCTGGTGGCACACCTTACAATATTTACAAATCACCAACCGATTTTATCTATCCTGCGATTTCGAGCCGCTCAGAAACGGCTTGGAATTATTATTGGCTCGTGTTACCTTAGCTATTAATGGTAAGACATGTTTATCGAAAATTGTAGTCGATTTTAAGAATCAACGTTTTACTGTCAGCAATGTACTGACGGTGTCTACTGCATTTTTTGCACAGAGCAGATACATCGTGTCAACTTCTTTGTAGATAGGATGAAAATTTAGTGAAAATAAATGTAACGTACACTGGTTGAAAAGATAATAATGTACGGTCTATTATGTAAGTAGGGCTAGTAGAATAAATGTAATTGGAAAACTTGTTGTACCTTTCTTCTCTTTTATACAAGATTTCAACCTCGATTCTCCTTTTTATCGAATTTAATAGAAAATGTGGAACTAGTATACAGCCAAAGGAACCTGCAAATGTACTTTTAATGCGATCGAAACGATGATTACTTCTCATTTGAGAATGACAGGCACTTGTGCAACGGCGGCTCGTGCGTGACTCCATTATCACTACATTTCGTTGACATAGCAATCGAGAGCAATAAAAGCTTACAGCTGAGTGCATTGTCCCATTAGCGGTACCGTTTTACACGTCACCACTAGACTGCAGGTTTTTGTAAAAAAAAACTTGTATTCGCCAGCTAAAACATCCGCACTAAAATTCCAGTTCGGTAAAAATTCCAGTTTTATTTCTCGTTTTGACAAATCGATCGCCTCGCGACCATCTACATCCACAAGATAAATTACAGTAGTTCCTCTGCGAACGGTCGGTTAGTCATTACAAATAGAAAAGTCTTAGTCTACCCTTACTAGCTAGAACAACGAACGTTTAACGTATCACACATCGTCGCCGATTATTGGTAAAAATGGTCCCCTTTGCTCGGACCAGCTCCGAAAGGTCCTGCCACAGGTAACTCTCCTCATCTTACAAATTAAATAACGTCGAAACGAGCGAATTCTGTGTTTACACGTTCTCGAGTAACCGCGTCCAACGCTTTCACTCCTCTAATCGCGTCATCGTTTCTTTTGTTAACGCCGAAAAGGAAAGCAACAGTTCCTCCTATACTCGATCCTACGTTTCACGAAAAAAAAATTCTGCTCGTCGATCGCTGAACGTTACATACGAAACAATTCTGTCTGCGTTCGTCGCCGGAAGGGAACCTGTTTCCGAGCATTTTTTGCGCAACGACAGACTCTGGGGAACGAATGCTATAAAATCCTAACATGTACACGCGTGACCAGCCTTGTAATGCGACACGGAATTCTACGAGCGTTATCAATGTATCGTGAATCGTATTCTGGGATTCCATTGTTCGATTTTTACGAACAAGTGAATCCGATTTCGGTGCATTTCTAGGCGTGTGACTGTGTCCAGAGACGGTTATGGCTTCCTCTCGGAACTGGCCACGCGTCTGGACAACTGATCCTGGATGTTCGTACCGTTTTGGAGTTTCGTTATCACTTCGGCCATCGGTTCCGTCTTTTTCGGTATTGTTTTGGGCTTGTACTTGGTGGATGGGCAGGTGATGACGATTCCTCGGATGAGCATCTTTACGCAGGACCATGGAAAGATACTGAAAACGACAACAAAAATAGAATTATTTAAGTAAAACTTGATTTTCTTGGCGAACATAGTTTGGGAATGTTAATAATATAATTGGAACAGTGAATCTACCATTTCAAAGCGAGTAAAAACTGGATGTAGCCAGGCACCACAGCTATTTTTTCGTTGCACCTCATGGCCAGCACAATTCGATCTGCCACTTCATTGGGGCTAAGTCTCCGCATAAATCTAAATAACATCGACAGACAGGTCCATTAGACTCGGATACTATCACTGAGATATTAATGAGAGCTATTTAATAGACAGTGAGAGAAATTTGTTTATACCTAGTTTTAATGTCCTCAAACATGCCGGTACTACGAATGAAAAATGGACATACGACAGTGGTATTGATTTTATAGCCATCAGCCTAGAAGATACAACAAGCAGAATGTAAAAAAAACGATGTGGTCGGTGAACAGCGGAAGTTCCATCACGCGCGAACGTTAGACGGAAAACCGTGCGCGAGACTTGATTAAAATGGTAATTAGGAAACCGAATTGGTACCGCGAGTTCCATGTGCAAAGCCTCTTCGAATCCGACTGCCGCAAATTTCGAGGTACAATAGTCGACCAACGTTGGCACTCCCGCGTGGCCAGCCAAGCTAGCTATGCTGACTATGTGGCCCTTGTTGTCCTCCATCATGGACGGCAGAAACGCCTTCGTCGTCTAAAGAACGGAAAAGAAATTAGATTAGATCAGTCTATTTTGTTTTCGATTTTACCTGGGACAATCCGTATTCTTATTTATTCATTTATAGCTATATTTGTCACTAATGAACATAAATTGTGAACTAAGTTAAAAGGGCTAGGTAAAAATGGACCCAAGCGTTGTCATACGGGGTTAACAGAGATTAATCGAATTGGTTGCAATGTTTAAGCTTCGTTAATCTTTGTTGGAGTCTCCGTTGCAATTATTGTCTTTACGAAAAACATCCGAACCTTAAACGATGCATTTTAATGAATAAAAAAATGCTTCCTGCGTCGTAACGGATTCAATATTCAGCAAGTGCTAAAGAACCGTGATCCCTGTGGCACTTAATTGATCTTAAACAATTTGCTACGAATTCTTGTCTAACTATACTAGATCTCTGGAGGTTTAGTATAAGGGGTTACGTGAGGGGAGGGTACAGAAGTCAAACATGCGACAAATCTGAGAGCCTCGTGACGGATTTCACAAAAGCGTGTTTTTGCGGCTCGGAATGGACATTGGAAAGTGGACGACAGGATCTCGAAACGACCGTGACTTCGGATGCAGCAAGAGGTCCATACGGTTGACGATCCCTTTACCCGCCAATTAACCTACTTTTTCGGCTAGCCTCTTCTAGTTCTCACTTTTGAAAGTAAAATCGGCAACGCGCGAAATCCGAATGGCCGCTCGGACAGAGTTTCACCGGTCGATTACGACTGCTGATTATTTTTCTGATTATCACGTTGAGTGTTGCATGTGTCGGACACATATGTGCGGTTCACGCTAATTTGTAACTAGGTTTTAAAAACCTAGATGAACCTTTCGATGAACGAATTTCATTTTCGTGAACAAAGCCGATGAAGGGGCAGCATTTTATAAATACGGAAACGGAGTGAATAAAATTCGTTCGACGGCTATTAATTGGCCTCGCAATGATTACAGGGCGCGCAAACACGTTTCAGGTGATCGCCGGTTTTCAAACGCGGCGCAACACCGGCAGACCTTGTCCCTCCTAACGATTTTTCTTCCATCGCGGCTATTTCTTTCGTCCTTTCTTTCTTTTTCCTGTTTGTTGTTACCGTAACACACGGACATCTCAATTACCGTTAAATCGATGCCGGCGGTGTGATGTAACCGCGAAATCGGTATTCTCGGCCGCGCCACGCGGTACAATTTTCGTTGTTCGTGCTCTGAATCCGCGCGTCGACGAGCGCTATTCGCTATCGGCGATGCTCCTCAGCACCGGACGCGTGCACTTTCACTCTACATCCAGTTAGAATCTTTCTGCGAGCTGCGATTTCCTTTGGAAATATCAGAAGATTCGACGTTGCCGCTCCGGGCACGAGGGTGTCGCGAAAATTCCGGGCCTCGACCTCTTTGGCCAACGACATTTTATTTTCTGCTCGATGGTCGCAATTATTTCCGCATGTAAACGCAAATATCGAGATTACGGCTAGTCAAAAAATCGCGAAATGCTGTTTGAGGAAGAAGCGGCGTTTCAATTTCGACCATTCTCTGATTAACAAATTTTTGAGATATTTCTGCTCGACATTTTTCATCGTTTTTGCTCATCGATATGCTTATAAATATCGTGTAAACAGTTTCCAAAATAATTCTAAATATTAAATACAATAATATAAATATAATATATATGTATATATATAAAATATAAATATAATATATATGTATATATAAAATATAAATATAATATATATAATATATATAATAAATATAATATATACATATAATATAATATATAAATATAATTCTAAATATTCAAAGAGAAGATTGTATCCACGATCGTTCCACAATTTTCTAATGTACGAACGATTTAGGAAAGAGAATTGCGAGCGAGATGAAAATTTGCTCTGAATTTTCGGGAACGAAATTCGCTTTTGTTGTCAACGAATCATCGGGATTGGTGTTGCGAAGATCGAGGAACAGAACACGCCGATCTAGTCGGGGGACTTTTCGCGAAGGAGGTTGCGTTTTAATATCAGCAGGTGTGCTCCTTTCGCCGGCAATTCCCGGGAGGTGCCTCGTGTGTATGTATGTTTCTCTCGAATATTTCAGCAATGCGCATTTTGTAGGAGGTTATTGGCGAAGCAATTAACGAAAACAGCGAACGGTTAAGAAACCCGCGAGGCGGCTCGCTGCATCGCGGCTCTGGCTTTCCGTGGCGTTCTAGTATTGCGCGAAAGCACCGAGCCAGCCTGGTGTAGGCATTTCGTATCGAGGAACTACGTTTGGCAAGCGTGTGGCCTCTCTCGTGGGTGTCGCAACTTGCCGAGACACGAGTGTACTGCAACTGCACGGCCCACTGGCTCTATCTATCCGACCGGTTTTCTCACCTGACCCACGGCAACGGTCCTAAACAGAGGGTACGCGAGGACAGGAATGCCTCTCACTCCTTGTCTCTGAAATTACCGTGGCAAGATATTCGCACGCGTGCAATTCCTCATCGTCCTGCCTTCGACTTCGATTTTTAAACAACGAGCCCGCAGCGACGTTCCCCTCTTCGCGGCTCTTCGAGCAAATTGTCTCCTATTTTCGCTCTAAAATACAAAGGCAGCGACGTCATTTTTTTCTTGGAGCTGCGAAACGTTCGTTTCAAAGAGCGAGAACGTGTCTTTGTTCTCCAACATGCTAAGATAGCGATAACATTCTTTCTTGAAACACTAAACCGCCTGTTCCAGAGAACAATTTCCTATCACGGTTCTGAAACGCTAAGAAGCGATTAAGTTCCTCGTAAAAGCGAATGATTCATAAAAATATTCGTCGCAGTTGTTGGACATGATAGTAACATCGGCGTCGTGCAATTTTTCAGTATCCTGTCTCAAATTTGAATTATAAGCTGCTCGAATAGAAACGAAATTCTTATTCGAACCATCATCGGTTATGTCAAAACGATTATTTTACAGAGCAGCATGAACAAACGACGATGAAATGATATTGAATAATCGTGGCAAGGCAGGCAAAGAGATAGCCATTAAATCCATGTAAACGTTTAAGGAGATTCCGGTTTATCGCATCTTGAAAAAATGCTCGAAGTTCAAACATATCATCTAAGTACGTGATATGTTCTTTTAAATATTGAAATATGGATCGGCGTTGGATAAAGGCAATCGATAAGCCGTAAACTCCGTGGCGTACAAGAATTTCTTGCTATCTGGAAATTGTTTGTGAAAAATGTTTCCTCGGCGAAAGATCGATCGAAACGTCGAGAACGACTCGTAATCGTAATCAATCAGGTTTGAAGTCGTAAGCTGTGACTCCGAACTGTTCCGATTCCGATCGGTAGACTTTACGGCGGCTATAGTTGTCCGCGAAGTTGCGTATATAGTCAGATATGTGCACCCGTTTCATGGACTACCTACGCAAAAATCGATTTCGTCACCTGTCGTTTTATCTTGCTGCCGCACGGTACGAGTCGTTGATAAATTGCAAACGATTTTACCGCGGTTCAAGTTTACTCAAGGTCCACGATAATCGAGTCCTCGAGGGCATTCGGTCGAGCCTCGAATTAATTGCTGTCGCTACTAGAGCAGAATGCACTCTCTCTGGCGCACACGCGAGACCTTTATGCGAATGGTTTCTAGCTCGGAGTTGTGCAAAACGAGGAAATCGCGGATACGAAAGGCTTTCACGCTTCCAACGCGATCAGGCTGCTCTCGCCACGCATTGAAATCACCAGAGCTATTCTGGCGCTGCCACGTTGCTGCGCTAGAATCGAATAACTTGTCTAGAAAAGTTAGCAGTCGCATCTTTTGATATAACGCGCCAAGGGCTTCGCTTCCATTCCGAATATTTCGGCGTCGATCGTTTTCGCAGATCGTCGCAGATCATTCTGACAGCCACTTTTTTCTCAAGCTGAGAAGCAAATTTTCCATTTATACTATCAATATATTGCGGCTAAATGTGTCTCGCTAAAAAGTGTCGATATAAGTTCTGGAATATTTTCTCTGGAATTTCGGTAATCGTTTTGTTGGATCGCCGCCAAGCTGCTTCGTCAAACTTTGACGAAAAGAGCTTGAAGGCTTAACGATCGATAAATCGGATACAATAGAAAGTTCGTTCCATTTTTTTCGATTAAATGACAAGTGAAACGCCGAGAAAACGAAGCATTCTTTCAAGTTGTACCTTGATGCAGTGAAAATGAACTTAAAAAACGAGGGTCAATGCGATCGTGAATTCCCGTGAACGTAGAAAAACGAAACGTCCGTGTAACACGGAGCTCATCCGTCAAAGTTGATTCGAAGTTTCACAGAAGATTCAACGTTTTACGATTATTCGAAAAGAAACTGCTCGGAAGAAGCGCACGTACCCAGAAATGGCTCATCACGTTCACGTCCATGGTGCGGATAATGAGTTTGTCCGGGGTGTCCAGAAATTTCATCCCGCTGACCACGCCGGCGTTGTTTATCAGTATTGTCACCTGCAAAGGTCCGCGAGCACGCGGACCGGATACCATTAATTACCTCGATCCTCGTGACGAAACACTTTCGCCGCGTTGAACGACGGATAAAGTACAAGATCGAGAAACTTCGGGGAAATATTGGCGATCGGGCAACGCCATTAAAAATTGCAGAGGCGCGAAATTCTTTCGGGCCTCCGACTCCGAAGCAGATCGACGGCGACGCGCGCGTGCTTGTATGTGTAAATACTGCAACGTGTTCTCTGACATAACCGACGGTTGTTTCATAATTTCGTCCACCGGAGCTACCTCGGACGCAACACGTGTTCACGATAATAACCAGAAATTCCCTAATTCACCTCGCCGAATCGGAATTTATGTAATCAACGAACATCGCGCGAGATAATGTAAGTAACACGCAGCGTACGTGTGCAGTTCAATGTCATCTCCGGAGGATATTTCGAATCGCGTTCCAATTATCTTTTACTTGTCTGCTCCGGAGTACTTACTTCCGGAAGGATTGTACACGTTTTGTACTATTTTATTCGATTACGAAATATCGGCAAGAATGGCGTGAAAAGTGTCTACGAGTGGGAGATCGAACGTGATGCAACGTCATCTTGGCAATGTAGTTTTCCAGCGGAACTCTCGATTGTTGTCTCAAGTAACTAGCACGGTCGACTAGTTTCGACTAGTTATAACCGTGCCACAAATAATGGAATACAGAGAAATTCGAGCGCTTCAACTTTTGCAGACCTTTTAGACGGTCATTAACACTTTCCCTGTCGGAGGTCTATTATTATTAGGCTCTTGAGTCTGTGCCATTTTTAAACGAGTTAATAGCTTTGAATAAACATGTTGCTTGGGAGCATGGGAGCTCTGCTTGCTGCTCGAAGCTCGTTCGTTAACCGACTCTCGAACACTTTTCTACGCTGCGAATGCTCGAACTTCCGCAATCCGGTTACCAGTATGTTAATCCAGGACCAAATCGGGCGTGGACTTTCCTTTGTCGAGCTACCGAGGGACAGAATGGCTAAAGATCGCGTCGTCCAGAGGCTGCCGAGCAAGCTCAGGTATCCGACGGATTATACAATCCTCACCTTTCCCACTTCCGCTCTGACCAGCGCTGCTTTCTTGTAAACATCCTCCCGGTCGCAGAGATCGCAGACGTAACCGTAGCAGCTTCCACCGGCGGCTTGCACGAGCTTCACAGCTTCCTCCGTGGCTGAAACACAGACCATAGAATCGAGAATCAGCGAGGATGGAAGATCAATGTCTCAGGGATCGATGAACTTTCGAAACAGATTCTCGATCGTATAATCCGTGGCACCGAATCATAAAACGATCATCCGAATCATCCGATCGCCAGGATATCTTATACCTGTCTTTTGTGGTCACGCTACAATGGCTAGGCCGAATTCCGCAGCCAGTCGTCCAAGCATAAAATCCTATGGTAACGACGCGATAAACAATTTCGCACTTTTATTTGCAGGACTCGTCGCGAACTCGTTTCATAATTCCACGTAATATGCAAACGAGACGAGTCGCTCGTTACGCGTCCCCTGATCCTCTCCACCATTAAAAACATCACAGGAATCCTCTATGGTCGCTGTTCTGTAGTATACAGGGTGGATCACCAAATATTGCAATCTAGATTTACGTCGTTATTATTACGCGCGGTGAAAAACGTTTCAGATAGAATTAAATGGTTTCGAGAGGGGCACATTCCGATGATACTAGTTTTCTGGTAGGTGGTCCTGTAGAAGACATATGAAGATCATTAACGTTTTCTTAAATGGAATCATATATTTTTTATCACATCGATTGATGCATCTTAATATTCTTTACAAAAAAGTATTAACCTATTTATATTAAGAAGTCATTAGATCAGGAGATATTTTAATTTTAACGTCAGACATATCGATAATCAACATCGATGGACTGTAAACATATAATATAATAACCATACTTTATCGAAGGATTACTGACCGGACCAAAATATGCACATTTTTTGACAAATACTCTATGGGCATTTTTACATGATTTACCATTGCATACACGACAAATAATGTGGATAAAACCGGATGGTTGTCCTGCCCATTATGCAAGAATAGCGAAGGATGCATTAAATCGAATCTTCCCAAATCGTTGGATAGGACGAGGTGACCCCATTTATTTTCCAGTAAGACCACCTGGTCTAACGTCCCCCGACTTTTTCTATTTAAAAAAGTAAGGTGTACGCTGAGCCTCCGACTGCAATGATCAATATGAGAGATCGCATCATCACTGAGTGTAATAAAATAACACCAGATCCATTACATAACGTGAGTGAATCATTAATCTATTGATTCAGAAAATGTCGTGACGTAAATGGTTGTCACATTGAACCTTTCCTGTAAATAAAATCATTACAACATTAACGAATGAGTCGTGATTTCCTAACAACATTAAAATTAAAATATCTTCTAAACTGATGATTTTTTAACGTAAATAGCTTATTACTTTTTTGTAAGAAATATTAAGATGCATCAACCGATGTAATAAAAAATATATGATTCCGTTTAAAAAAAAACGTTGACGATCTTTATATGTCTTCGACAAGTCCAAAAAACTAGTATCATCAGAATGTGCCCCTCTCGAAACCATTCAACTTTATTTGAAACGTTTCTTGGCCTCGCGTAATAATAATGACGTAAGTCTAGATAGCAATATTTGGTGACCCACCCTGTACATCACGTGATCAGACTACACTCATTTTATCGCCAGGAATTTCCTCAATCGCGTAAACGAATTCCACCGGGGAAATATTGGAAGTTTCTGGGAGGAACCTCTATTTAAACTCTTGGAGATGTCTACACGTATAACTTTTTAGCTTCCTCGTGCAGATCCAGTTTTTAGCGTTGAGATTGAAAAGATAATACTGCGAGATGAAAACATCAATAGCGGTGGCAAGTAAACAATTGCTGTTAATTGCGCTGTTTGCGTCCGACTTTTATGCAAATGCGCCGAGAGGAAAATCACGCGAGAAAAATAAAATCGTTCGGGGTCCGGTCACGGCTGCTCCCAGAACATGGATGGGACACGAATGCGGGGCGGCCAAACAGGATACATATACTGTGTTTTCGCAATTACATCTTTCATATTCTACGTGAGCACACGTACCACTTGGCCAAGAAGCGAAACAGCCGCTCGCTGGGCTTACGACTTTCTACATAAAAGTGTGCGCGGCCGCGAAAACCGTCTGTCGGATGATCGACGCTCGGGTTCGAGTTGTTACGGCGAAATGTCACGAGCGAACGGCAAGCTGAATTGCCTCGACCTCTCTAGACCAGGTACGAGAAGGAGGATATTAATCGCTCGCAGCAACAGGTGGACTGACGGACGACCTGGAATCCGCTCGTTTCTGGCCTTTTGTCGGGCAATTCTTCGCGTCCCAGCTCGATGAAAGCTCGCAACGCCAACAATTCTTCCGCTGGCCCCTCGGGAAACATGATCTTAGGTCTTTGTTGTGGCCGGGCTATTATTCCGCCGTGTTTCACTACATCGCAACGCACGGCCAAATAAATATAAACATTTCCAAGCATCGTTGCGAGTAATTAATTTTTTACTAATCGGTACATAGAGATCCTAATTCGTAACTATCTCTGGCTGGTATTTTGTTCAATTTATCATTTTACAAGACGCGAAATAGTTCGAGAGTAGTATGTCACACTCTGATAGGCGGCCAGCAGACATCTTCTTGCGTGAAGTACCACGAAATGTCGGCGACTTTTCGACCGTTCAAGGCTCAAGATTTAATGGTGTCGACGAGCCCAAAGAATTTCGGCAGTCTATTAATAACTTTCGTGAAAGGTAAAACCGGCAGCTGGTTTACGACGAACTTCTGGGACAGATAAAAATGTTTCATCGATCGGTGACAGCTGGCCCAGACCAGAAAAGAGAAGAATTTATGCGCGTCGCGAACCCACCGAAACGAGACACGACGAGACCCGACGCCGGAACGGCCCGCACCAAATTACGTTTTTTACCCGTAAGCGTCAACCAGTTTACTAGGACGATCGAGCAGATCTACTTGCTCGCGTCCTTGAATACGCGACGACCACGTGAAGGTTGCAAAACGAGTGAAACTTCTTGCTCACCGGTCTTCCAATCTTCGCGTTGTTCTCCGAACTACGCCGGTTTTGTCCGCCGAGTCGACTATCGTACTTCTAGATGGAATAATCGGTAGTTGATCGAATTTCGAATCGTCTGAGTCGAGTCTAGAAGAAAACTTGCATGCTCATTGAACGTAATTACATTGTTCGACAACATCATTCAATTTGCATTATATCAAATGATACAGGGGAACTAGATAAAGCTGTTTAGCAGCTTAGCAGCCGCGCGAACTGTTCGGTGCAATTAAGGCGAGATCAAACAAGCACACGACACGCAACTTGCTCGCCTTCGATCTAGATTCGATGTGGTTGTTCTGGATCATAGCGCGCGGTGTGAGATTTTGGTAACTGCCGTCTAATTTGCGATAATATTCTTCTTCGTGTTTAGTTAGAGTTACATTTAATCTAATTCAATTTATATATATGTTTTATTTATATTTAATTTAATTTTTATTTATATTTATAATTTATATATATATTATATATATTATTATATATTATATTTATTTATATTTAAATTCTATACATATTTATTTATTTATTAATTTCTTTTTTATATTTTTATTTACATTTATTAATTTTATTTATAATTTATGAATAAATAAAATATATATTTTATATATATGTATATATATATAAATTATAAATATAAATATGTATACAAATTAAACTGAATATAAATAAAATATATATAAATTGAATTAGATTAAATGTAACTCTATACCCATTTTTACAATAAATGAATAATATTAATATTAATACAGAATCTGCGATTCGGCGTTTTAGACGAACGGTTTATGCAAACTCGTTTTGAATTTTGTGATGTTGGTTGTAAATATGTCTAATTCGTCGCTGTTGCGATTAACAATTCGAGGTATTCTCTAAAAAGGGCCAGTTGCAATAAATCTCATTTATGGGACCTGTTGCTGAAACAAAGAGAAATCCTGGTCTAACGAAATCCACTTAATGGACCGCCACAGTGTCCCGAAATCTTGCGTCACAAGTTCACGGGGCAAGTTGCCGAGCAAGTAGGTGTCCCAATTACGAGATAAACACCGGATCGCTTGCTATATACCTTCTCGTTTTCGGCGACGACGCGTGTTCCGATTGCAAACAATAAACTATACTAATGCTCTCGTCGGCGGTGCAGCCGTATTCAATCGCTATTCCGGCTGCGACCGTCGACTGGCCACTTAAAATTCATTCCGCGGCGGTGCTTCCTTTGCCCGTGAACCCGAAACGTCTTCCCTTCGTGCAGCAATTAATCTCCCGGCGATTTTTACCGGATTTGTTACCATATGCCTCGTTGCTCAACACCTCGGCATTACCTCGCCGACGTAATCGTTCGCCTCGACCGTTTGAAATACGGCGAATCTTACGATTCCGGCACGCCCCCCCCCCCCCAAGTGTCCTTTGATCTAGATCCTTCGATCTTCGTCGATTTCAGATTGTGTTCTTACCCCCTTGGTATACAAATAAAACGGAGTTTGATGCGTCAGAAAAATGCTATTTAATATGAAAGAGATTGTTTTATTTTGAAATTTGAATGACTGATTTATGGATGCAACTTTGTTATTGAACATTGAGACTCAGAGCGAAGCAACTGAGTAATCTGATAATATAGGTAAGTGTAGGTATTATTGCTGTTTTTCAATGAAAGCGAACTTTGACGGAGAAAATAAGGCCTTTTACGCCAATAAATTGACAACTCGAGCTATATCTATTATTCTTTAACTTGAATATTTACTTTTTTCGAAATATTGCATCTCTGAAAGCGCAAATTTCATTAAAAAGCATAATGTAAAGAAACCATACGTGTGCATATATTATTACGTTTATGTATCTATTACTGCGAGCCAAATACTGCGGACGTTTCGATTACTGTGTGTCAAAGTGGCATAACCCATTTTCTTTTAAATGTACACACACAGCTATAATTCCTAGGATCAAGATATTCTCACTGTAGCACTTTACAAATTAGGTATAGGTACTCTACGATCAAGCGTCTTCGCACTGGCCCATCGAGAACTGCACTGTATAGGTTAAGGTACGCAGTTCAGTAATGTACACACATAATAAAAGAACTATGCGCCATATACTGTGTTAGTAAATAATATTTGAGGATAAATGATGGTGACAGTGTGTGTCGATTTCTTATCAAACTAATGATTGCTTTATCTAAAAATAACGCTAAAATGAATAGTTTATTATTAATTACCAAGATATAAATGCCTTTCGAATCAGCGTTCACAGTTGCTTTACGAGTATTTCATAAGACTCGACGTTTTCATAAGCTTCCGAATATCGAAAGTCAATAAATGCATTAAAACTGCAATTGTTGCTACTTGTATGCCATAAATTATCAATATTAAACATATAAAAAATGATGAGATTCATTTTTAGAAGATTACACGCTATAAAATCTTAGNACTTTTTTCGAAATATTGCATCTCTGAAAGCGCAAATTTCATTAAAAAGCATAATGTAAAGAAACCATACGTGTGCATATATTATTACGTTTATGTATCTATTACTGCGAGCCAAATACTGCGGACGTTTCGATTACTGTGTGTCAAAGTGGCATAACCCATTTTCTTTTAAATGTACACACACAGCTATAATTCCTAGGATCAAGATATTCTCACTGTAGCACTTTACAAATTAGGTATAGGTACTCTACGATCAAGCGTCTTCGCACTGGCCCATCGAGAACTGCACTGTATAGGTTAAGGTACGCAGTTCAGTAATGTACACACATAATAAAAGAACTATGCGCCATATACTGTGTTAGTAAATAATATTTGAGGATAAATGATGGTGACAGTGTGTGTCGATTTCTTATCAAACTAATGATTGCTTTATCTAAAAATAACGCTAAAATGAATAGTTTATTATTAATTACCAAGATATAAATGCCTTTCGAATCAGCGTTCACAGTTGCTTTACGAGTATTTCATAAGACTCGACGTTTTCATAAGCTTCCGAATATCGAAAGTCAATAAATGCATTAAAACTGCAATTGTTGCTACTTGTATGCCATAAATTATCAATATTAAACATATAAAAAATGATGAGATTCATTTTTAGAAGATTACACGCTATAAAATCTTAGATTTTACTACTTTTATAAAATGCCGCAGTATTTGGGGCGTCCGCCGAAAACATCTCTTGACAAGTTAGACTCGTCAAAGTCTACAGTGGTACATGAAATGAATGACGACCTCAACAATGTTCAATTCGTCCACGTTGCATACGAATGCCATTGCATTGGTAGATGATTGCTCTTTTAGCTGCTGCGAGTATGGGAACTTCGATCTCCGCCGCCGCGATTGTTCTTTCGGGAAGAAACGAGATCGTTTGTTTGCCTAATAATTCGCATAAATAATTCGCGGACTTATCTATCCAGCGTATTAACCGGGCCATGTCCTCTAAGAAATCAGCTCGCAGCAACGATTTTGAGCTTAGTGTTACGGTAGAAAGTTTCTCGTAATTAGAAACTAAGCGACTCGCATTTCCAGCTTGTTACGACGATGCAAATAATTTGTACGAGCATGCACTATCGGCCAATCGACTCGGTGCATAGCGCCTGCGGAATCACTGTGGAACCATTGCCGAGATGCAGGTGGTGTGGCTCGAAGGTCGATCATCAAAAGTATTATATTATTTCCCGGTAGCGAAGGTCATGAACATGGTGATTCGACGAAAGGCCGGTCAGCCGCGCGGCGCGGCGCGAGACGCTTATCGAGAGGCCGCCCACGAGCACTCGAGCTCTTCTCGATTAGTATGCGAAGCGAATCTCCATCAAATACAGAAACTATTTACACGCGGCCACTTCGCTGGGCCTGAGACATCATCGTTCGATGGCAGCAAATGGCGAAAGATGAATGCGGGTTCTACTTGAATTCTAAGCTCGTGCTGCATCAGACTGCGCCGTCGATTGGAGGAAATACGGTCGCAAGCCAATGTAACGCTAAGGATCTAGGCAATTATTCGAGGCGATAAATGTATAATTAACAAGATCGTATTATACACTTATGATTAGTATTATCGCCATATCGATCTATGCAAACATTTGCGAGTCGAGTATATACTGATGTAGTTTATAAACAACTTACAATTTCAGAACAGTTTGAACGTGTAATTATTAGCCAGTGGATTTTCATTGACATAGGAGCTATCAGCAAAAATTAATAATACAGTCATTTCTGCCTAATTCGTTCAGATTGTGCACAAAAATGGACAATTTGGAAAGAGGAGATACAATTATTCGATTATTTTATAGTTACCGATTGCCGACAACTATAAAAACGAGACGCAAGGTTCGAATAATCGTATCTTCTCTTCCAAAATTGTCCATTTTTGTGCGCAATCTGAGCGCGAGTTAGCGAGAAATTACTGCATCATTATCTCACTTTCGCCGTAGGCGATCGTTCAATTAACAAAAGAACTTCATTTGTGTAATCGAATTCAAGCGTGCACGAAAAATATTCGCGTCCAGTGTAACGAATATGGTTTTCTCGGAAAAACGGAAATAAAAAACAACGCTCGATCGTGGTTGACAACGAACCGCAACCGCGGTCGTTACATAAAACAGGAAACCTTCTGACGCGATAACTGCGCTAATCCGTTTAAGGCGAAGTTCGAGCAACCAGCCAGAAGCCCGCGGGCACCGTTGTCGTGTCGATCGTGAAACTGATTCGATTAGGAACTGGTACGCGGCTAAATATTTTCCAATTTCGTAGACGCGGCGGCGTTGATCTGGTTCGCTGACCGGATCGGCTTAATTATCGAGTTTCCTGGTTGAGTCACGAAGCGGACAGAAATTTCTAGCGAGCGAAACTGAAAAATTGGTCGATTCGTGAACGACGCGACAACCACAACTACGCCGATAACCGCATCTGTTGAGGATTGTTTGCACCGATAGTTGTACCGATAGTTGTAATTGCAGAAAAACCGGAAATTCCGGAAAATCGTTATCATATTTCTGATCTTCATATCAGAAATCATACTTTTAAATAAGGAAGAACGATCGAACAAAGCTCGGCATCGTCCAACTGAAGTATGGAGAATTTTCGATCGTATCGTGGTCGAGGCACGACAAGAACACGAACACACAAAAACACGCTGGAATAATTGCGTGCGTGAAACATCGCGCGGACCCGGCGCGATTGATGATCGTCCAATATTCATGGTCATTCGAGACCTGTTTCGACTTCCAATTCGCAGGAGTCGATCCTTGAACCATTCGATTTTTAAATATCAAAGTTGTCCTCCTTCTTGTAAACAATTTCAATCACGGTCAACCGCTTCATTTAGCGACAAAGAAGATTGACGTATCGCGTGAAAAGGTTGTACGCAACGTTAATTGCTGGATAATTAGACGTTCAACCCCTCCAGAGTAATTTCTCGTTTCAAATAGAAATCGAAAGTCCGCTCGCCTGTTTCGTTTTCCTCGCGCGTTTCCTCGATCCGCGTACTCGTTTCTCGCTCGCGGCGAGCCGCGTCGCATCCGCGCGAATTGCGTCGTCGAATTAGTAATTAATAACCCCGAGAGACGGAAGCACCGAATGCTGCAACGTGGACGCCTACTCTGGATCACGTACCGTAACATAACACCGACATTACGGCCGAGTAAATTCGCGGCTTGTTTGGCCATTCTGCAATTATCCTGTCCGATTATGCGAGCTAAGGTGGAGCTCCAGCGATCGTTTCGGAGGCAACTATCGCTCGGCTGTACACAGCCGTGGAATGACGCAAAATTCTGTTCCGCCAATCCGACAGAATTGCTACACCCACTTAATGGCAAACCACGTATTTATTAGCCTCGGATCGAGCCCCGAGATCGTGCAATGCGCAGAATTCGCTGGCCACGCGTAACCGTTCACTTTTGAGCCTTCTCGATCCGAAATAATAACTTGATTGACAACGATAGAAACTAGTTCTCGATGCTGGCTTTAGATTTCCGAGACACGACTTGGTTCCTTGAAATGTTTGTCATCGGATAATTATTAGTCTCTTCCAGAGCCTGTTCATTGACGTCAAGGTACATATAGCGTTTTTCGTTCGCATTATCGTTCATTAGTACGATTCCGCGATGTTTTCCTTAAAGATTCAAGTCGGCGTAGCTAAATCGCTTTAATTTGATTTTGAATTCAATTTTATTCGAAATCGTTTCACGTCAGTTTTTGATGAAATCGTTTCAAGACAATTTTGAATGATTCAACTAAATGATTCGTTTCAACTAAATTCTAGATCAAATTGTTACAATTCAGTCGCGGAACAAATCGTATCAATTCGATGTTCAATCAGATTGTATCAATTCAATTTAAAATCGGATCGTTTCAATTCAATTTACAATCGGACCGTTTCGATTCAATTTCGAATCGAATCGTTTCAATTAAATTTCGAATGAAATTGTTTGAATTTAATGCTCCAACATCGATTTCATGGACACAATGAACAATTTCGCCGCAGATATTTGATCCTGGATAAATGAATATTTTGATATAGTTAATACAGGCGTGGTTCTCTGACCTGCTTTGTCAACGTCCCAGATGACAACGGTGGCGCCCAAGTTGGCAAGCCTAAGTGCAATCAGTCTTCCCAAGCCGCCCCCGCCGCCGGTCACAAGTGCGATCTCGCCGTCGATGCTCTTCATCTTGTACTTCGTGGGGATGCACGCTTTCACAATGCTCTCGACGATCGCGATCACAGTCAGGATCAAGAAAGCGATCACATCGCGCACGGCTCGCAGGAAAGACATGGTCTCCAGGATTTCGGGCTCGTTTCCGCTGGAATCGTGATTCTATCTTCGCCTTTTTATCTTCCGTTTCTCGTCGACGATCCTTTTCAGGCCCGTAGATCGATGTTCATAGCTCGATGATCCAACGGGATGAGGACCGCTGGACTTCCGGTCCAGGCTGGCACGGATTTTCGGCGTCGACTTCCGGTCGTCTGGAAGAAAGGACCATTTAATCGATCAGTTGACACCTCATTGATACAGTTTCCCATCGCTTCGGAAAAAGTGTCGACCGCACTTCGCTTTAATCTTATCTCATCTTGCCACAGATTCTCATTCTCACAGAGGGAATTTTCAAATTTAGTTATCCTCTTATTCTATGGTTTTCAAAAAAGTAGAACAATTCAGTCCCTCGACATGCTAGTCTTCGAACAGATCTATGCATGTGATTTTCTATTCTGTCACCTCGCGGGAAAAACTGATTTTCCACCCAAATGTTTAATACATTGCGCTTCCAGCGAAAAAGAGAGAATTGAAAAAGATGGGCCGACGATAGAAATTATTTCCATACCATAAATGCGGAAATATTCGACCAAGTGACGTTTCATAAAAATCTATTTCATTCGATTGATCGTCCGAGAATTAAAATCATTTCTACACCAAAACTTGGTCGGTATTTTTTAATAGATGTTTACAGATGTATTACGTAGCGCAGACCATAAACGATAATTGCGCCGAGCATGTTTATGAGCATTCGTGACTCAAGATGACAATTAATGGAAAACAGATTGGCAAATACTTGAATTCCTCGGTGAGACACTTAACGTCTGCGTGAACGCTTAACTTTATTTACCGTCTAATAAGATTTTAAATGTATGCATACGAAGTGTATACCTAATTCTAGTTTTTCTAAACAACTGGGTGACTGGTTGAGTATTCAATTAGAATTCAGAAACATTTCCAATTAAATAAGGATTTGATGATCCGGAATGAATTAGGCTGTTATGAGATTTTCTTAGGCGTCAATTATCGTCACAGTCTATTCGAATTCAAATAGTTTTTCAAGTTTCTTGACATTAATGCGGCAACGGCTCGCTTACAGCTTACAGCGTATTTGTAATTAATTTCCGTTCAACGATTATCCAGCGCTGAACTGCACCTTCAGCCTGATCAATTATTTCGCACAGAAATCGTCCCGGATCTAGAACACTGCGAAACGGATCGATGAGACGGTGCGATCTCGTCTCGATCGGTTCGCGGCAATTGCATAATTTTTATCAATCCGGCATAACGACCACTTGAGCCCGTTATCGATCGGCTCGATATCGGTGAAAATGTTCGCTTATCCGCGAATTTATAGAATCGTTAATCTCCTTTAACTCGCGTGACTGATCATGGTTGCCGTAGAAACTAGTGTACGCTTTCTCCGAATTTCGCATCACTTTCTTCTCTAGGTAAGAAGTGGACAATCGTGAGAGATCCTCGAGCATTTCCAAAAAGGACTTACGAGAAAAGGATATCGGCTTCAGAAAATAAACAATTCCGTCGAGAATGTTAATTAGAATCAATAAATTATTCCGATAAACAATTACTTGCTAGATCAGTATAAAAAGATTAATTTTCCATACAATCAACTTCGTTCAAATTGAATCTGATATTTTAATGTCACACGATAATTTCATCGAACACGTTCTCGCAGTTGTTGTTCTGCGAAAGAAGCATCGCGACGTCTCGTTTTTATTAATCGCCCGTTAAAATGAACGAAGATAACCACATAATCATACCTCGAAAAAACGTGATAAAGCGGTCATCTCTGATGGAAAATAGGCATTTATCTAACAATTTATGTACGACTTGCTAAGAGGTTTTTTTTCCCCTCTGAATAAATAGTTGTTTTTGGCATGGAATTGGCTAGGCTGTTGCCTGTGCCGTGACACGATTGATCCGGTAAAATTCTCTGTAAGTCCGAGGAAGGATGACGGGTAGGAAGAGAGTGAGAGGGAAACGGGGCCCATTAACATATATGTGTATCGTAACAGTGTAATTTTCCCGGCGCGGCGCGGCGCGGCACGGCGTCCCGGCGTTACGCGTTTCGAACGAACCGCGAATATCTCATCGGCGGGCAATTCGCTTTCTAATGAGACGCGAAATTCACTTTCAATTTTCAGCCGAAGAACTCCAGGCGCAATCAATTTCCGGCTCTGCATTCGGCTTCGCCATTGTCAACGGGATTCGCGACGGTCGAACGCGGACGACGATAAATCGCGTGGATCCACGAAATCGTGGAAAATCTAGAAAAGGGGACCACTTATTTGAAGAACGTTTAAAGTACAAAAAACGTTGCGTGCGCGAATCATCTTTCGATCGGAGATTAGAGCCGATTGATTTCGAGAATAGTGAAAAGTGCAAACAACAAAGCGTGCGCGATTAATTGCTGCTAAAACGACGCGTCTTCGTCAAATGTCCTAACGTGAAAGTTTTTGAGTCATTTCGAACTGAAGAACAACGGATACGTTTGCATTTACGAGGACTAGATTCTCCTCACGCATTTGCAACAATTCATGGTTTGTTGCGAGCACAAAAAGATCTATTCCGCGAAAGAAGTTCATATATTGTTCAAATTTTCACAGACTAAACGTATGAAAATAACGATTTGCCGAGGGCTCTTCAGGCTAATGCCAGCGATTAGAAAGTTATTTTTTACCAATAACTGTGTCGAACGCAGATCGAACCGCGCCGATCATTTCCATCTCCGCAAACTAAATAATCACGTCACTTCAGATGTCGGTAATTTCGAAAGAACTGTGCGACAATGATTACGCGGAAAACGGACGAGTTTTTTTAACGTGGAACTGTTGCATGCAAATCGGAGGAAGAAGATGAATTGTGTAAACATCGTTTGGAAAAAACGAGAATCGTGTTCTGCGAATGGAAAAATAGCAAATACTCGAGAGAAAGAAAGCGAAGAGAAATATGAAGCGAAAACAACGATTCGGTATCTTTATTTGCTCAGCGCCGGATCACTTTCGCAATTAGCGAAACATTAATAATTGCGGTGATATTAGAATCGCAGGAAGAAAAAATAGATAACTTTAATGAACGATTTTAGTAAATATTTTTTACTTAGCAATTTTTCCTCCTGCTATCAATTTTAAAAATTTTCCTAGTTTCTCTCTCTCTCTTTATAAGATAAAATAAACTCGTACTAGATTAATTTATCTATTATACGTTATAGAAAATAATTCCCCCCAGAAATAAGTGGTTCTAATAAAAAAATTGTGTTCTACAATGTTTCTAAACATTCCAAGTATCGCGAAACGATAAAATTGTATTCTAACAACCGCTAACAGTTGTTTCGCGAGTTCCACATTTCTCAAGAGCTCCGGAGAACTAAAAGCTGTGTCTGAATTTTCAAAAACGCTCGCGGAGTCGCGAAATGCGAAGATCGATCGAATTTTGATTCGAATTTGTGATTCGACGAGAAGCTGCCGCGTTTTTCGTCGCAGCTCGGAAGTTATGGTACCGGCGGCTAGCAGAGCGAACGGAAAACACCGTGACACGTTAAACAGTGTCTTCGGACACGAGTGAGCTCGCGCGACATGAAAATTGCCACCGGTAATTGTCCATGACTCTGGACACGACCCGTCAGATTCACGAGCGATCTAAGATAATTACGGGCATTTTCGTTCTCCGCTCGGCTCCGCTCAGCCATCCCGATCGTTAAACATCGCTTAATCGAGTAAATGCGCTGTCTTTCCGTTCCTGTTGACAAAGTTTTGCGTGAACATTCGATGATGCCGACAGACTTCTGCAACCGACGCAGCAGACGCGGCCCACTGTTTCTGGAACGTGGACTCTACAACTTCGCAGGCTATGGCTAAATTGATTGACTTTCACTGCGCTCTAACCTGCCGTGTCCTTGGCGAATCGATCTTCTCGAACGTCGAGAGATCACGGCGGTACACGTACCGCTGGTAAATTCGTAATTCGGTTGCAGTCCGGGCTACGATCGTTCTTGCGAACGTTTAACACGCCGCAACACTTCGCCCGCAAATGCGAAATACGGAGACAGCAAACGATAAATTCGCTGTTCTCCATTTTTCCGTTCGCTGTTTATCGGGCCCCGCGAGAACTTGTTTTTCGCGTGTCTGGGCTCTTGCTAATTGTTGTTTTGGACAGTGGCGAAGCGCTTTGTCAGCTGCAAGTACAACTCAAGGCTGAACGAGAGCTACAGTAATGTCTCCCTAATTGACACTCGGATATGATTATTCGATCCTTGCGGTTCATTTTTATAGTTACGAATTGTCAACAGCTGCAAAAATGAGCTGCAAGGTTCGAACAATCGTATCTCCTCTTCCCAAATTGTCCATTTTTGTGCACAATCCGAGCGTCAGTTAGGGAGACATTACTGTATTTCGTTGATCTGAATTTTGTATGCTTCGAAAACTTACTCGAACGTTTCTTACCGTAAGTTTTAAACGTCTGTGGAAGCGGTTTCATTGTTAAAGATATTTTAATAGCGAAGTTTCACGGAGATTTGCTCGCACGTCGATAAGCAGTGATTGGAGACGATTAATTCCATCGATCCTCTAACAAAGTAGCAGCGATGATCGTTCGCCGATTGCGAAATCGTCGCTATCAAATGACGCTTTAACGTTCGCCGGCTACCGACGCCAATTATGGAACGTGTTCTCGCAGTTCTCCTCGGTTCTCTCTCGCTTCTTCGGGAATATTTGGGCGTTATCTTTCAAATGAGTGTCGCGCATCGGCACCGATTTTGGCGGACACTTTCTCGAGGATCGATCGAGGGAGGCTCGATGTGAAATCCGAGGACCACTTTCCGAGCCGTTCGAGACGCATCCGAGTGGACCACGATGTTTTATAAAAGTTTGGACGCGTCTAGACTTTAATTTCCGCGGAGGAAACAAATTGGACACGATCGGCTCGGAAACGAGTTAACAAAAAATAGAATCAATTTCATCGTTCAAGGCATCGCTCGTAAAGACCGACTTGAGTCTTCAAGAATTTCTCTTTGGAATAACAAGAGATATCAGATGTTTTTTCTAACTAGAACGCTCCGTAGTCTATAAATTAAATGAAGAATACATAAAGGTTGCCTTTCGATAACTAGATGATTCAATATAATTAAGAATGAAAGTGCACCGTTCAAGTAGTAACAATTAAATGCAATACTTTGATAGGAAACTTTTACTTGCGAATATTCTCATGTAGCTGTTAATATTATTATCAAATGTTTCGATGGTTTTAACACTAGATTTATGGAACCCGTTAAAATGACGAGTCACTAATTTTTTAACTTACGATTATTCACGTCGTGAAGATACATTTATGAGTTATTTATTGAATTTATATGTTACTTACCGCAAATGTTGCAATAACACTTGTACAAAATCAGAAAAAATGTCTTATTGTTACTTTTAGATGCTAATATAAAACAGCCGGTTTTTATGTTCCGTAAAATTTTGAAAATAGTCGCTTATATCGATTCTAGCCTGTTAAGTTCCGATTTGGGCTAGCTCTGCGCATGCTCGGGCTCGTGGCATTAATACGCGAATTCAATTTGCGAGCACTTCGCAAGTCTTCCTCTACGGTGTGCCGAACGAAGAAGACGCGATATTCCGGTGTCGTTTCGTTTTTACATATATTATTCTCAACATCGCGCGAATTTATTCGATCTCGTCCCATTAATCGGAAATCGATAAATAGGACGAAACCAATCGATTCAAGCTCCCAGCGACTATTTCCCTTAGGCATCAGGAAATACCGCGAACGTTACCGGCGAATAGGCGAACAAGGAAACTGGTCGGCAGTTTACCAAATACCACCGGGGAAAAGTTACCATTTCACAAACAACTACGAGCATGAAAGCAGGGAGTTCGACTTTCTTGGGAGTTCGACTTTCTTGCATAACCCGATGGAAACCTTAAACCCCGGCCAAATAAGAGTGAAACTAAAACGTGTCGCGGGAAAATCGTTGACCGCAAACGAATCCCAACAATCCCGTCGTTATCGACGCGTTTCGAACACGGTGCTTCTTCCGTCACAGTTGCAACGACTCATCGAAAACTTGTTGCAGCCAGGCGATACAACGAATTCCAGACGGAACCATACGAATAGAGAGCGAAGTTCCCTCTCAACCGGAAAAAAAAAATCCAGCAAACTGCAAATGATCCCTGCAAGGTATCATTTACGAACGAAAGCGGTCCCTCGGGAACAGCGACAACAATTCAACCAAAACGTCCGCAGCCGCGAGAAACGACGAACGAAACGGACAAAGGCACCTCGGAGGAATGGAAACGTTGTCGCAGAGCGAAGAAAGCGGTCCCTCGAAATGTACGATTTCACGAGAACGATCTAAAACGATTTACGTAGAATCTCTCGCAGCTAGGTGGGACAACGACGTTGGCGAACTCGTTGGAAAGTCGGCCGTGTGGGAGATCGAAATGATAAAATGTAAGGAATCTTACTGGTTATGTCGTAAAATCCCTTGGAGCGTTTACCGGAGCAAGGTCACTCTCTGTGTCTTGGTCCGAAATTCCGTGGGAACGACGGGAAAAGGCGGTCTGCGCGCACTGCACGGCCAGGTGTACACGAAAGTGTGCACCTATGCGAAAGTCGTCCGCGGATCGAGGTACCCGTCTCACCGGCAGTCGTAGGTATACTGAATGAAACGGCCGCTCGGTACGCCTTTACCCTCTCGACGATCTTCGTAACAGCCGCGCGCATCAGTCGGCAGCCGACGGTCGACCGTCGACCGTCGACAAACACGCTCAAACAGCGTTGTACGGCCGGCCGCGGTAATCGCACGTGCATCGATCAACCACTCGTCCCGCCGCGCCGCGCCACGCCGGTTCTCCGCCGGTTCTCCATCGTTGTTCTTCGACCTTCTGCATCATCTTCCGCTATTTCGAGTGCTGATCGTCTTTCTGTCCGCCAAATTGTCCTACGGTACACCACCATGACCTATGGTGCCATGCGACACGCTTTTTAGCGACCACAAATTCAACTTTTCTATTTGAAACCATCGCTGTCGTGTGTTGACTCTAAGACGCCGTTAAACGTTTTTGTATCACCTTTCAAAATTTATTTCAACATTTGTTTAGAGGTTTAAAAAACTCTTGAAGGTGTAACTATTGCACGAGTCACGTGGTTCAATTTCATAGGTATAAAATGCACCAGGTTATATGACATGGAAATACTATGGGTCAGAAAAACTATTTTGGATTTCGAGTTAAGATGACTTCGACTCCGAAGTGTTAATCCATTGTTTTCCAATTACAATAATTCGTACCGACTACAAATTCCACTTTTCTATTTTAGCTCATTGCAGTCGAGTGCTGACTTTAAGGCGCTGTTAAACATTTTTATACCACGTTTCGAAATTTCAACATTATCAGATTTGCTTATGTTTAAAAAAATTGTTAAAACTAGCTAACTATTGCCCGAGTCATGTAATTCAATTTCATAGATATAAAATGCATCAGGTTACACGACATGGAAATACTGAAGGTCAGAAAAACCATTTTGGATTTCGAGTTAAAATGGCTTCGGCTGCAAGGGTTAATCCATTACCAGTAGATGTTTTCCGATTACAATAATTTCTCGGAAAAGAAAGAAAGATATTTATTACATGCATTTTTTATTTCACGTGCACATTTGTTTCTTCAATGCGTAAACATTGTCGACAAGGAGACAGAATCTTATTCCGACTTCGAAGTAACTTAGCATAATTAACCCCTTGACATACAATGACGAGTTGGGGTCGTTATTCATTTCACTTACCACTCTAGAGTTTAACTCGCTGTTTTCGGCGAACGCCGTGCAGTATTATCATTAGATTGCTCAGTTGCTTCACTCGTGCGTCGATTCTGGTTTGTTTACAATGTTCGAGATGATCCACTCCCCCATCTTTTCGACAGTACCAATAACACAGTTGCATCCATAAACCAGTAATCCAATTCTCAAAATAAAACATGCTCTTTCTCAGCTTGCACATAACTATTCAATCGAGCCAGATTAAATAGTATCTTTTACTTAGTCAAATTAAATAAAATTTAGCATCAAATTCTGTTTTATTTGTATGTCGAGGATTTGAAAGGATCACGGTCTCTTTTTCTGCACGGTTAAGTCGGACACTTGTCGGACACACTCAACTATTCAGTTGAGCCAAATTAAAAATAGTATCTTTTTTATTTAGACAAATTAAATAAAATTTAGCATCAAATTCTGTTTTATTTGTATGTCGAGGATTTGAAAGGATCACGGTCTCTTTTTCTGCACGGTTAAGTCGGACACACTCAACTATTCAGTTGAGCCAAATTAAATAGTATCTTTATAATTTAGACAAATTAAATAAAATTTAGCATCAAATTCTGTTTTATTTGTATGTCGAGGATTTGAAAGGATCACGGTCTCTTTTTCTCCGCGGTTAAGTCTGACACTTGTTCTGCATTAATTCGTACGTCTTCCTTCCTATCTGCGAAAGGAATTAATGGCTGTGATTGTGACACTAGTGGAACACGTAATCTTGCGCGTGAAAACTTCTAATTGAGGAGTATAGGTCGACCATGGCCAGCCAGTCATTGATCCGGCCGGTTCTCCTTCGATCCATTGTCCTTCTCTGCTGACCTGTTCTTCATTTCTTTATTTCAATACTTGCATCGTTGTATCGCTACATTATTCATCGAATACGATGGAACCTTCTTCATCCTATAGACAACTGTATCCTTGCGCCGACGATTGTCACTTTTTACGTTATGTAAGAAATTTGAATTGATCGTTTCTTTGAAATCATTGAGACAATGTGATGAGAATATGGATCTAGAACAATTTCAAGATCTTTGAATCTGAAAAGTCCCTCAAACGTACATTAACACGTTCCGTGCCAAGCCATTTTTGCCTAACTTGTCGTTCAGGCCATTTGATGTTTTGACTAAAGATTGATACATTATCACATAATATTTCATTATATCATCAGTAGATAAGTAGTGATTGCCCGAATCAACCGTTTTTATGCAGCTCTTGCTTTAAAAAAGTCAAACATTGTAATTAATAGTTATTGTGTATATAACGATTAAACAAATTTATGTGCTTTGTTCTATACAGCATTTTTTACAATGCCTCTCATCCTTTTGGTGGAAATATATTTTATACAATCAAATTTGTCACAAAATGTATGTCTTCAGCGCTTTAAATAAATATGTCCGCGTGTACCATTTATGGTACACGTGGCCTGATGGTCAAGTTTAACGTGTACCATTTATGGTACACGTGGCACGGAACGTGTTAAAAGCGCGTTCACTGCTTATTACGAGTACCAGAAATGCACAGAAATGCATACACACAGTTCTATTCAAAACTATTTCGTTTTTTAAATTCTTTATGTTTCTTTTTTCATGTACTAGTATCATTCACGTCCGTTTCTATTATTCTTGAATTGTTATCATTGAAGGTAGAAGATCTCCCATCGATCGTTCAAGTCGACGAATGAGCTGAAACTAATTTTATAAAATGCGTGGAACGAATTTGCAATAACCGAGTGTGCGAAAATCATGAATAATCGTCGACAAAGGCTCCGAAAATATATTAACCCTTTACACTCGAGAGAGGTGGCTCTAAGGCACCACTAATAATTGTTTCGACGCGTCCCAAAATAATTTGCAAATCACCGAAATTGTTTATATTTGAAGAGCTGCCGAAAGTGTTGTATGTATCGCAAGACTCAATTTTATTTGCACAAATTGCGCTAATTATGAATCGCGGGAAATGAAAATACTGTACTTTAGAAAAACCATTTTGGATTTAGAGTTAAAATGTCTCCGAGTGCAAAGGGTTGAAAAAGCAGAAGGAGCAAATTTTGAACAGTTGATGTAAAATTTATTGTTTACTTTTGCGATTAATATGCTTGTTAAAGTGGTAAAATGTATAGAATATTAAATTGAAGTGACCTTTGAGGTGCTATAGGTGCTATAGAACAGGGGTGTCAAACTCAAAAGCTAACTTGGGCCAAATAAACGATGCTTAACTTTAGGAGGGCCGCAAAAAAAAATCAATGTTCATAGAAACAAATATTTTTATTTTGACTAGTACATTGTAATAAACACATATATAAAGTTAAATTATTGTTTACGTCCTGATACTTGACATCAAAAATGTTCATCTCGGGCCGCGAGTTTGACACCCCTGCTATAGAACGATAATTAATTAACCCTAGAAAGATAACCATATGACAACATACGTAAAAGATAACCATACGCTTCAGAAGCGCATGCTTTTCTAAGGCGTCAATTTTATACTAACAATGGATATTTATTTAAGTTAATCTAGTCATTTTAAAGGTTTGGCATTATTGTAAAAATAAAATGCATTTATATTATATTTTTTTATATTTTAAGTAATTTTAAACTTAAATCACTAGACCTCTATGAAAAATTAACAAAAATCAACAGTCTTCGCAGGCGTCTCTGCGACGTAGGTTATCTTTCTCGGGTTAAATAATCCTATCCACTCTCTATTTCTATAACAGTAAGTTTCTTAACAGCAAAATACTTTAAAAATATGTAAAGTACGAGATTAGACTCGAAGTCACGCGAATTGTCGTCGCGGTAAACTCGTCAGAGCGGTAAACTCCGAAGCCTTCGGAGTTCGGAGGGCTACTTATTCCTGTTCTTAGAAAAGGAAAGAATGTCTTGTTAGACGAGGACAACCGAATGTCCGTGGAAAACATTCAGCGGGGAAACGTCGACAGTGTCTAGTCGCGACTGCGAGGGGCCGGTTATCAGGAATGTACACACATGCACCTGAGGTAGTCGTACTCTTCTCGAACCAAGGACACACGCTGGCGAAAACGGTACCGACATGGGTGAGCCTGGCTGCCACATGAGGCAAACCCCATTATAAAGCAGCGCGCACCGTGTCGGGGTAAAAAACTACAGAATATGCATTGAAACGCTTTGAAACGCTGTTTTTTTCCGGCAGCCACCTGAATCCTACACCTTATTTCTAAGGCAACTAAATATTAGGTCGAGACATAAATAACTTTCAATTCAGCTAGGTAGAATCTAAAAATAAATACGTGTCACCGGGACAAACGAATTTTTGCTTCCACTAAATAGATGAAGGTCCAAAGTAAATAAAATAAAAATAAAAACAAAAAATAAATTTAAGAAAAAACACAATAAATGTCTGATAAAAAAGCTGTTGAAAATGTCGTATGTGTCACAAGACTCAATTTAATCTGCATAAATTGCGCTAATTATAAATCATGGAAAATGGAAACATCAGAAAAATCGTTTTGAATTTAGAGTTAAAATGTCTCCGAATGCAACTGACTCGAGCTAATATAAATATACAGATATAGGGACAGAATTTTGCAAATGCAGCAGCTGAGCAACAATAACAGAGCAACAATCACAAAAAAGTTCGAACGAATCCCCTCGGATATTAATCCATAGATTCAAATAGTTACAAAACCGATTTCCCAAGATCAACTAATATCCGCGAGCATTTCCTGTATAATTACAATTCTAAGTACGATGATATCATTGTTTTGCAGCAGCAATATTCCTACAGCGAGCCTTTATTTTCACTTTCACCAGCTTATCGGGCAGTAACATACGTCTAAAAAACAAACGCTCGAACCCGATCACTTCCTGATGCATTTATAGACGGTTGCTTGAGTTTTGTTACGATTGGATTATGAAAAAGAGGCAAGGCTGTACATACCATGTACATAATCCGTTTTTAAGCGTCATCGAATCAGAAAACTACTCGACGTTTACGAATAGAAGAATTTGTTGTTTCATGTTATCGTTTGGATTCGTTACAATGTTGCGCTAACTATTTCTATTTTTAGATATATTTAGATTTTTATTACTATTTTAGATTACTATTACACAGATTTTCAACGGTAGTAATTTTTTCCAATGCTTTCTACGCCTTTCGATGAATATAATTGATATTTTTAGATTATATGTTTAAGACCACTTGAAAAACGGTATAACTTTTTTAAAAAACTGGACTAAATGACTCGAATTTTTTGACGATGATAGCAGGATCAGTCTACTAGACAATGACTCTAATTCCTTGTTTAAATTTTGCTATTACTTGGAATGAGAAAAAAAGTAAAAAGCTCGTGTTTTTCAACTTTTTAATCTGACTCTATAACGAAAATTTAAAAAATGCATTTTATAGATCTCGGTAAGTTACATGCATGCTGAAAATTTCATCGATATTGAGTGACCTTGACAGGAGCTGTAAGAAATTGAAGATCGCAAAAATAGCAGTTTTGTTCCGAATTTTGACACTTTCGACCAATAAGTGTGAGAAATCTGTAGTTTTAAAAATCTTTTGACGCTTGTAACTTGACTTTGCCAATTAACCAATTTCGATGAAATTTTCAGCATGCATGTAACTTAACAAGATCTACGCAATGCATTTCTTAAATTTTCGTTACAGGCTCAGATAAGAAATTGGAAAATATGAGATTTTTAATCTTTTTGTCATTCCAAGTAATCGTAAAATTTAGAAGAAGTATTAGAGTCATTGTCTAGTAGACTAGTTCCTCTATCATCTAAAAAAAATTCAAGTCGTTTAGTACAGTTTTAAAGAAGTTATATTGTTTTTTATGTAGTCTTAAATATATATCCGCTACTGTATACTGTTCCAGATGTGCAAGTCGCAAATTCCAAAGATCGGCAAAGGATTGCAACGAGGATTTCGAGCGACAAAAGTCTCTGAATTCCTGGCCTACATACTGTGCAACAAGTTGGGCTTCGTGCTCGCCCACTGCCATCCAGAATCATTAGAGCTCGTTGTTTCTGCAATTTACGATCTAGAACGCGGGGCGCGCCGATACAAAACGACCGGCGGTCATGCTCGACGGAGAGAGTAGATTTCCAAGCGGAATATTAATAGTTGGAGCTTTTCGCGGATTATTCTTGCCCCGACTCTCGCTGTCAAACCATCGGGAAGAAGACGGTGAAATTTAATGTATCACTTAATCTTGTAATCTGATCGAGAGCTTAACAGAGAGATCTTAGATCGAGAGCTTAATATTTTTTACACCCTTTTCGGTTCATAGACAATTGACTTAGAAACTGTCCAAGCAGCATCCTAATACGCTAATTTCTCCCTAATTCGCGCTCAGATTGCGCGATTGCGCAATTGAACAGTTTGGGAAGAGGAGATACGATCATTCGAGCCTTGCGACTCGATTCTATAGTTACCGATAGTCAACAACTATAAAAACGAGATGCAATGCACGAATAATCGTGTCTCCTCTTCCCAAATTGTCCATTTTTCTGCGCAATCCGTGAGCGAATTAGGGAGAAATTATTGTACATGCGTACAATTTTTCGACAGGCGAAGCATTCTAGGAAAATTCGAATAGCTCGTGCAGCGCATAAAATGAAACCGCATCTACCTTTTTAATAAATCTCGCGGCGGTAAATTTACGTTAACGCGAGCAATTACCAAAGTTTAATGAACGTCGCAGAAATGACTTTTTAACGGGTCGGGCAAGCTGCAACTTCCAATAAATCACGCTCTAATTAACTCCGGCTCGAGTCAATTTCGTACAAGTTCCCGTCAATTTTCGATCCTGCCGCCGGTTTCTGAGATATTATGAAATATGGCAAAATATTGCTGACAGTTTTCGAGCAACGCTCGTGAAACCAAGCGACCGATACGGCACTACAGAAAAGCGTAACCTGAAAATGGCTTTGCATAAGCTTTGCATAGCGATACAGAAGTACCTAATCACCATTCGCAACCTGTTCTGGTTGCAAGACAAATTTCTCGGCTAGATATTCCCGGCACGTGCGTCGGCGTTCGCAATCGCGTACCGCGAATTCCGCGTTTGAAAAATATATCCGTACACAAAGATAATTGCGCTCGCATCGTTTCACCGAAGAGATCCGAGTGCAGCGCGCGAGGATCCCAGGATTTGCACTGGTAAAAGGCACCGGCTCGCCTCGAATGAATCGCAGGCTGATCGAGATCCGAAAACCGAGATCACCAAAACCGGTTCCTGCTGCGTTCGAAACCTTGCAACAATTTCCGTCCTTTATTTGCTACGAACGCCCGCGCCGTGTCCTTGGAAACCCACCGTCTCGGAGACGTTATTCGATCCGCGATTATGACCGTTCGATCTACGAGGTGCGGATACGTTTAGGCGTGTTTCGAGCATCGAAAATTCGGAGGAGATCGAAAGTCGCGGAACCGGTGAACTTGAACACGAGAAATCTCACTTGTGGCGATTCGAGCGGCCTGGCAGTGCTACAGGCTGTCTCCCCATGGCATCGGCAGCTTTCCAGGACAGCTCTATGAGTGAAAGTGAGCCGGACCATTCAAATCGTTCGATCGCCTGTGGTCCTGACAGCTGATATCGCGCCGGATCCCAAATCGGACGCCCTTCCTCCTTTGACGTTGAGTGGCAAAAAATCAGAAGAAATAGACGAGATTTCGCAATAACCTACTAGCAATTAGAAAGTTTTCCCTTTCTGTCTGTTATTGTGGCTGCGATCATGTTCTTGTTCCCTGCTTGCCGATCGAATGTTTATTGCCGAATGCGCCGCGTGCCGCATCCGTGCTATCAGAACGATTCGCTCAAATTCACCGCGCGGAATTTAACGCAGAACATAGCAAACCGGTCAAAATGACCGATCTCACATTTTGAATTTTAAAATTGCTTCAATTTTGAATCAATTTTTTGATCCGAGTATTCATTGTAATCAAAATTTGTTGAAAGTCTAGGTAAATTCAGTCTTGTCATTTTTACAGAGCAACGCGCATTCGTCACTTTAAATGCTCGGCGGATGCAGTGTTAAGGGCTGTCCATTGAAATTTAATTTCAAATTCGAGTTCAAACGTTGCGACTTGAATTTCACGGTTACGTTTTGAATTTCAACGCGATCGTTGTCATTCAAACGGACGGCTAAGCGGCGCAAATTGAGGTTTGACGGTCAAAATTTCGCCTCAAACTTGACCATTGACACCCGAATGTAAATTCGATGCTAAGAGCATGAAGCCGCGACGAAGGATAACGGGAGCGAAGAGTATTCGTCGTGAAATTGATTACAGATTTTCGGTAGGAAACGATCCTCGAGGAAAAAACAGCGAATGTTTAAAAAATGACGAAATAATTGTCGGCGTTCGTGCATCTTCGTTGAAGGAACTCGCGTTGGCCGAAGTCGAGTAGCATGGTCCTCAACTTTTTTGCTCCGCTAGACTGGTTGCTAAATATGCAAATACGTAAACGTACAGATGTTTACATTGCCGGGCCTCCTATCCCGCCTGTCCAACTCTCACTGACCGTGTTGCCAAACTTCTAAGCTTATTGATTAATCGTGCGCGTCATTTTTATATTCGTCGCCTATTTAGGCTCGAATTCCGGCATCATAAAGTTGAATTCGAATTACGAGTCAAAGATGATCGCGGAGATTGTCGCGGGAATCTCTGCTATAAATAAGATTCTCCAGAATTCGAATTCGATTGCTAAAATTTCGATTGTTCTGCATCAAATTCTTCGCGTGACAAATTTGAAACAACTATGTCGGTACAGTCGCAACGTTTGCGTTTTTCCGACAGATGGAGCTACCGGTATCGAAAGCCCGATTGTCGCGCGTTTTGCAAACATCGGTCATTGAAATTACGCACGTGCTTGAAATTACTTGAAATTACAGTAAATTCTCCCTGATTGACGCTCAACTCGTTCACAAAAATGGACAATTTGGGAAGAGAGGATACGATTATTCTATCCTTGCGGCTCGTTTTCATAGTTACCGATTGTCAACAATTATGAAAATAAGCCTCTTCCCAAATTCTCCATTTTTGTGTAAAAATAATCACTTCTTGTTTCTAACTACTCGATTCACTCTGAGATATTCTGCACATAAAAGTGCACGCATAAAGAGTAGAAGCTTCAAGCTTTAGCACTAGATTTACACGAAACTCGTCAAAATGACTAATTTTTTAAGTTACGATTGTTCATATCGTACGTTACGGCAAATGTTACAATAACACTTGTTAAAAGTCAGAACAAATGTCTTATTGTTACTTTTATAAACTAATATAAAACAGCTGTATTTTTTTGTACTTCGTAAATCTAGTGTTAATAAGATACCTTAAAAATAGTCTAATAAGAAGCTCCGAAATAAATTAGTTCCTTGAGGTGTCCCAAGATAAGTCAATCTAATGGAATTCTCCAAAATATATATACCTGTTAAAAGTCAGAACAAATGTCTTGTTGTTATTTTATAAACTAATATAAAACAGCTGGCTTTTTTGTGCTTCGTAAATCTAGTGTTAATAAGATGCCTTAAAAATGGTCTAACAAGAAGCTCCGAAATAAATTAGTTCCTTGAGTTGTCCCAAGACAAATCAGTCTAATGGAATTCTCCAAAATATATATACTTGTTAAAAGTCAGAACAAATGTCTTATTGTTACTTTTGTAAAGTAATATAAAACAGCTGGGTTTTTTGTGCTTCGTAAATCTAGTGTTAATAAGATGCCTTAAAAATGGTCTAACAAGAAGCTCCGAAATAAATTAGTTCCTTGAGTTGTTCCAAGATAAGTCAGTCTAATGGAATTCTCCAAAATATATATACTTGTTAAAAGTCAGAACAAATGTCTTATTGTTACTTTTATAAATTAATATAAAACAGCTGTTTTTTTGTGCTTCGTAAATCTAGTGTTAATAAGATGCCTTAAAATTAGTCTAACAAGAAGCTCCGAAATAAATTAGTTCCTTGAGGTGTGTTCCAAGATAAATCAGTCTAATGGAATTCTCCAAAATATATCAGTCTAATACAATGCTTCAAAATGAAACTCTAAAGTAAACCAATCATAGTGACATGCTTCAAAACAAACAAATTTAACCAGAAGCTTTTAAATAAATTAGTCTACTGAGATGCCTTCAAATAAATTAATCCAGTGGGATGCTCGAAAAATAAATGGTGTTTGTTGAAGTTGAACTCAAATAAATTAATCCAGCAAGGAGCTCCCAAATAAATTAGTCCATCGCGGTACTTCAAGATAACGCTGTTTTTTGTAAATCTAGTGTTAAAATCGATCCAGGTGCAGTAATTTTTCCCTAATTCGCGCTCAAATTGCGCATAAAAATGGACAATTTAGGAAGACGAAATACGATTATTCCCAAATTATCCATTTTTGTTTCCAAGCTGAGCGTCAATTAAAGAGAATTCACTGTATTCTCATTAATAGCGCGTTCTCGATTGCGCCGCTCGATCTCGCTAGATAACAATAATGCCGCAACGTTGATCTCTTGCTTGGACACATCAAAGTTACACAATGCCGCTTTCACCGTTTGCATAATTGTTAACGGTCCCTTTTTTTATTCGATTCAACACCGACGACAGAAGATGGAAATTACGCGCGCGGTGTGTTGTAAGCAAGCGGCGCAAAGTCTAGCCGATTAATTTTTAACGATTCCTTCTCGGTCTCAGCGAAATTTTGCAAGGAATCGGCACGAACCCTAACAGAAAGAATCGCTCGGCTAGCACCCGGGACTCCGACGTCACCTTGATTTTCAATAATTCCTTTTTACTTTCACGGGAGCCATAGAAGGAAATTACGTGACAGTATGCCTCGCGAATAATCCAGCGTCGAATATAGCCGAACCGATCACCTAGCATTCAGGAAACGGACATCTGCTGATAGGATACTCATTAAAGACTCGACCCACGTGGATCCTTGAACGCCGAAAACGACAGCGACATTTATCAGTCCTGTCGACTCGAAAGGACTCCGATAAAGTACGCTTATCTTTCATTTATTCATCGATTCAGCCGCGATTCATTGCGGGGAGCGACGGGACGCATGTCTAATGAAACGATCCGCGGACTCATCGATGCAACGTGTCATTCCGAAGGCCTCGTCCCCGGCTAGCATCGATAACGTCGCATGCCCGCTGATAAAACGAGGACTCGCGAATCCGTCCAATTCCGATAGGACGTCTTCTTGGCCATTAAGTGTTGCGAAAGAACGTGGAAGGCGCGACGTTACATGGCGCAGAAGCCTCTTTCTCTCTCTCTTCGGGAATTAGAAATCAAGCACGGAGTAGAAATGCCTGCGCGATACTTTTGTTTCGGGAGTACTTCTGGTTGTTCGCAAGGGAAGAGTGTCACCGACCTAGATCTTGAACCTCATCCTTTCACCGAGCTGCTGATCACTTCATCTCCTGCGATCTAGCCGGCGTCCCGAACTCGAAATCCTCGATTTCCACGGAATTTCAGGCAAAGGATGTTCGCCTAACTTTTGAACAGCACTCTCAAACTTGTGCTACCTGGATTGGACTGCTGCCGAGATTGCTATTATATCGAATAGTCCAACAATTAGGCCCCAACCAACTTATGATCGTGAACGAAGCTGTTGACAATAGTCGCGCGCCGCTTGCACCGCGAGCAATCGAACGAACCGCAAGAGAATGATGTTGGGATTCGAAGGTAAACTGAAATGATGCGTGTAGAAAGTGTCGCGAGGGGAGATCACGGTTTTCAATAATCTTCTATACGCGGAAATTCAGCCGGCACGGGGTCGGCGAATAAATTTCCGTTACAGTTGCGCAAGATGAAACAATGAAACAGCGTATTGGTATTGCACACGCGCGCAAACGCAAGGGGATCCGCTGGATCTCGTAACTTTCTACCTAAAAGAACCGCAGCGGTCACCGATGGATTGCGAATCAATGACCTCGCGTACAATTTTCCGTAATGCCGAGCCATCCTGCATTTACGGATTTGTCAATACCGAGGGAAGGAATTTTAATCAGTAAACCACGACGGAGACACGACTGTGCGACAAAGAAGTTTCGTTCAATCGAGGTGATTAGATCGACTTCGTCCTTGAACCCTCGCAATGATTCTAACTCGGACGTCACAGCGTCAAAACCTTGTCCGTTGAAACGTTCGATCGGCAAGATTTAAATTTCAACGTAATCGATGAGATCTCGATTATAGTGTAGTCATTAAAATTCGAATTTATATTTCATAGCAAAGATTCAAATTTCACTGTAGCCGCTGAAATTTAAACGTGGCGGCTGAGATTTGAATATGAGAGATATTCACTCGATTCAAATCACTAAAATTCGAATTTACATTTCATCGCGAAGACTTGAATTTCACTGTAGCCGTTGGAATTTGAACGTAGCTGGTGAAATTTAAACGTTGGTCGCTAAGATTTGAATATGAATGTCTCCGTTGAGATATTCACTCGATTCAAATCACTAAAATTCGAATTTATATTTCATCGCGAAGATACAAATTTCACTGTAGCCGTTGAAATTTTAACGTGGCGGCTGAGATTTGAATATGAATGTTTCCGTTGAGATATTCGCTCGAATTTAACCACTAAGATTCGAATTTACATTTCATCGCGAAGACTTGAATCTCACTGTAGCCGTTGGAATTTGAACGTAGCCGGTGAAATTTAAACGTTGGCCGCTAAGATTTGAATGTGAATGTCTCCGTTGAGATATTCACTCGAATCTAACCACTAAAATTCGAATTTACATTTCACCGTGAAATGTCAATTTTCACTGTAGCCGTTGACATTTAAACGTGGCCGTTAAGATTTGAATATGAATGTCTCCGTTGAGATATTCGCTCGAATCAAATTACTAAATTTGAATTTATATTTCATCGCGAAGATTCAAATTTCACTGTAGCCGTTGAAATTTAAACGTGGCGACTGAGATTTGAATATGAATGTTTCCGTTGAGATATTCACTCGAATTTAACCACTAAGATTCGAATTTATATTTCATCGCGAAGATTCAAATTTCACTGTAGCCGTTGGAATTTGAACGTAGCCGGTGAAATTTAAACGTTGGCCGCTAAGATTTGAATATGAATGTCTCCGTTAAGATTTTCACTCGAATCCAAGCGTTAAAATTCGAATTCCAATGTAAACCTAAGGATCATTCACACGAATGAAACCGGTAAAGGTTTGAATTCGAATGCGAATTTGCCCGTTAAAATTTTCGATTTGAATAAGACCGTTGGAATTTGAATTTCACAGTCAAGATTCAAACTTCGATGCAACTGTCAGGACTTAAATCGGCGATCAGCATAACTTATGCTCGAATAGAACAGTTCGGAAACTAATCTGAAACGTGAAGGACTTCGATCAATTGTTTTTCAAGGCTCCCCCGGTCTATGTGAATCATAGTAAAGCACCTGCATTTTCCTCTTAGCATCATGTTCTATTGAAAATCTATGTTATCCACATTGCAGATTCGATAATAAAATAAGAGAGCACAAAGGAGATTGTAGGAGAATGGCAAGGAAACTTTCACCATGAAATGGTACAGGTCTTTTCTAGGGTATCAGGTACCAGCCTCAAGTTCTCGATGCGCCTTACACTATAGTTGGCTATAGTAAATTCAGGGATGTATTCACGATGGGCACTAATGGTTCTATCGACGGAAAACTCGAGAATTGCCGACACAGCGCCATAAGCCATCATTTTCGGCAAGCGGCACACTCGTAACGAAATACATAAAACCGACTGCATAATCATGTGAACATGATCTGATATTCTCGGGTTACTTTGTCATCGCTGTCGAAGTCAAGATTAACAGAGCGCGGCGAACGACTTTACAAAGTAACTTACAATTAAGCGTAATATCGAACGAATTTCTCTCGCGAGACCTAAGACAGCATTTCTCGTGTACGTCACTGTGCCAATGGTCGAAGTTAGGCGGCAAAACACCGTCCGGACTTGCATTTCGAACGCATAGCCGAGGTTCAGTGTCAGTCAACACCGGCCTTTGAACAGGTACGCGACCGTCCGGGAACTGTTTCGCCAACCTCAACCTGCTTCTAGCTCCATAAACAACGACCAATTCAGTTTTCTGACACAGTTCAACGGGCTGATTACCAGGTAACGAATAATAGCGGTTCTCGGCGACGAGTCGTCCGCGTACGGTGTCGATAAGCGGTGTTTTAGTGATCGGACAGTAATTAACGATTCGCCGCGAACGCTCTTGTGCGACCAGTGCTTCGATTAATCGCATCTACGCTCATAATTTACCGTTAAAAACTGAGTCCGTGCTTTACCGTTGCAAACTGCAGGTCGCCGTTACAGGACGAATTCGAGTTTTACCGCTGCGATTTCAATTCAAAATTCCAATTAAAAACGGGCGATAACTGTAATTAAACGGTGTCGAAACAAAGCGTAGTTACACGGTTTCGAGTACGTATCTCTCAAATAAAACTTTCCATATTCGTGGCGGCTTTCACCTGTTACAACAAGTTGTCGATGTTATCTCTAAGCTCCACTTTACGGTATATCACGCGCCTGTACGAGATAATGTGCAAGATCTTTTTTTTTGGAAAACCGTTTGAAAGTTCTGTCGACGGAAGTCAAAGGAAATGGCAGCGTCTGCATTTCGACTGGCGAGTTCTATGAACCGTCCCGGAAGGATGTTCTTCGCTAATGATAGACACGATAAATATTCAATCTGACGTGTCCCGGGAACGAGCGTGGAATAAATTCTACAGTCGCTGCATCCGTGGCTGCACCGACGCGAAGGGTCGCTTGGTGCATCGACCGTGGTTAATAACACCGGCAACCGCAAATCTGTGGCTCGATCGTAGACCGGTGCAACCACTTCTGTCCGCGTACCGTAATCCCGACAATTTGTATCTACCGTTGAAAGTCGCCGTAGCGGTCGTTTCTATCTTTTGTAAATGGAGAAACAAAAGAGCGGTCACTCTTCCTTAAAACCGTCCGCGGCGGCAGCCGTTCTCTCAATATTTTCTCATCAACGTCGTGGGAAAATACGTGTCGGCTTCCGCATAAACGGAGAAAACGCACTGGCCGGACTTGCTTTGAATCTAAAATTGGATCGCGAAGACTCGAATTTGAATCGCTTTGGATTTTAATTTGAATCGAGTTTATTATATTTGAATTTAAATCGGACCGTTAACATTTGTTGTTAGATTAGACGTTTAGATCAGAATTTTTATCGAGTCTTTGAGATATTTATTTCAATCGAAAGGTTGAAATTTGAATTTGCAGAGAATCGTTTCGATATTAATTTGGATTAGTCGAGATTTGTGTACGTGTTTGAGCATTTCGAATTTAAATGAACCGAGTAAAATTTGAGTTCGATGATCTTCAACTTGGAGGTAGATTTTATATAATCGAAATTACGGTCCCGCAGCTCAGAGTGACAAATGGCGCTTCCGGAATGGGCAATCTTAACGTACGACCTGCTACAATTCGCGGGGATGACGATCGTTTACATAATCGAGGCAATTTTGCTGACATTCGTCCCTCGACGCTTCCGTGCGAAGTCTGTGAAAGGGGAGGTCGCCCTTATTACCGGGGGTGCAGGTGGCGTCGGAAGCCTAATTGCAAAGAACCTGGCCAAACTAGGAGCTCACGTGGTTATCTGGGACATCAACACTTCCGGCAAGTTCGAAACCGATTTCTACCAGTGGTCTTCAAACTTTGTCGACGAAATTACCACGGATCAGCTATTTTGGGATCACTGTCATAAAATGACTGATATTTCTGTGCGCAGCTATGAACGACACGGTTCGAGAAATAAGAGAGGCTGGTGGAAAATGTTGGGGCTACCATTGCGACATCGCGGACAGAGAGGTGGTGTACAAAACTGCGAAGACGGTGCAAGTTGAAGTGGGCTCCGTAAGTTACCAAAAGTCCCGCACAATTTAATCTTCCATCCTTATTATTTACATCCTCTGCGACTCTACATTATTCAACAGGTGACCCTGCTGGTAAACAATGCCGGTTACGTATGGGGAAAAACGCTGCTGAACCTGCCCGACCAAGAAATTGAGCGTACCTACAGAATCAACATACTTGCACATTATTGGGTAGATACAATGGAACATTGTTTCATTATAAATAACGTATGCAGCGAATTTAATATTTCCTATTCGACAGATTACCAAAGCGTTCTTGAAGGACATGATGAAGAACAATTATGGCCATATAGTGACTATCGCAAGCGTGGCAGGACTTCTGGGAACTTACAGGTGTACCGATTATTCCGCTACCAAATTTGCGGCTATCGGATACCACGAGAGCCTGTACACCGAACTCAAAGTAAGGATAATTTTCGAACGTTAATTCGACTGTTGAACTCGATGATACGCAACAAATATTGCCCAGGTTCACGGCTACGATGGGATTCACGCGACCCTGGTGTGTCCCTCTTACATTAACACCGGCATGTTTGAAGGAGTGAAACCTAGGTAACTATTAGCTAAACTGAAACCAAATTTGCCGGCCCCCTTGTAAATATTTGTGATTTGCAGAATAACGCAAATGTTGGAGCCCGAATACGTGGCTGAGAAAGTTGTGTCTGGGATATTAGTAAATCAAACAGTCGTTGTAATACCAGAGGCAGTTAGGTTCCTGCTGCCGCTTAAATTGTAAGGTTCATTGCTCGTAACATGGTTCGATATACTTGTTCGATATACTGATATTTCTTTTTTCATGATAGTTTACTGCCTGCGAAGTCGTGTTGGGCTCTGATGTACAACATTTTGGGCGGACCGCAGTCTATGATGACGATGAAAGAGAAAGGACGGCAAGAGATAACGAAGAACAATAATAACAACATGATAATATCTAATGGAGCGTGTATAAAGTAGTGTGAAGACGTTAGAGACTTTTAAATCTTAGCATGATTATTAAGGGTGGAGCCCGGTTTGCCGACTTCAAAAAATTCTTTTCTACAAATATTTTTTAATGAAAAAATTGGTTCATATTCTAGAAGTTTACCAAAAAGAACCGCTTCACAGTTTCTTAAGAAAACGCTGTCAATATCACCGAATTTTTAGCGTCCTGAACCGGGCTCCTCCTCGAGGTATTTAAATTATTAGAGAGACTGACTGTAACAATGGTATTTGGTAACCGCCGTTGTATTTGTTTAATCTCATGTATATTTCTGTTGAATATAAAAATATTTATAACAAGTCATAAAAATAATTCAGTCCCTGACCGAGCTCCCAAATCGATACACCTGTGCCCAACTCTGCGGCAAGATCCAGTCGTTGCATAATCGAATATAACGTGGGATAAAAGACAATTCCACTGACCCCTGATGACCTGAAACGATTCCAGCCTGAGCCAAAGTAGCCTTGCCAATAGTACTAGTTTATCCATGCTTCTGATTCTAAATCAGGATGAAATGATCTGTGTTCTTACTTTGTCTCGAAAAAGTGCTCTTTGCTGTTGTCATCCCACTGAATTTTCCCTTTATAGGATTCGAGAAGTTTGAGATAATCTGACCCTAATATGGCTCCGCCGCCCTCAGGAGTGTAATTGTATCCGTAGAAATTAAGACCTAGCAATATCTGTGCCCGTTTTGGACCCTTTTCGGGCACCAACAATTCCACACACTCTGTTGCCCAATCGATAGGACTGTTAGGTCCTGGTCTTTGAACGCTCGAATAGTCGTAAGTCATTAACGAGAAAGCTTGCAAGTATGGAGATAGTTGGTCAAACTGATCCTTGTTGAACAATTGAACTTTTGCACTGCAAGGTCAGAAAGCCTCACTCACACCGATTCACCAGTGCAACAAAAGCTGCAATGAGAAATGAAAAAAATAGACTCACCCTCTCGATGGTGGCACAGCCAGGATTGTGTCAAAATTGTTCTCCTTGAGCTTTTGAGCAACCGACTGAATTATCGACACCACAATCTGAGCTTCCACACCTGTTAGTACAAATTGGTTCCACATTTCCAATACATAGCCATCAAAGTGAAAAGCCTGGAACAGAATAATGCATTTGTTAGGACAATTTTTTGAATATTTATTTTGGTATATTCACCTTGGCAGTGTCCACAAGAGAAGATATTAGATCTATCTGTTTGTGAGTGTCACTGTACAGTCCAATGATGTCATCAATTGACCAGTGCTCAAACAGTACTCTTGGCAAGACTAAAACAAAATAAGGACTGTAGAAAAAATGTATTATATTATTGTCATTTTAACGTATCTTACTTTTCACTTGATGTTTTGCATTATTGGCTGCTCTCATTTCTTTCATCCATCTCTTCTGGACATCATGAGTTGACAACTTATAGCTAGCTGCATTACCTTCAGGATATGCCAACCATACTGGCGATACCATTGTAAGCTTTCCATGGAATATTTTAGAAACATCAAGTCCATTGTTGTTCCACTGAAAAAGGTACAAATTTTCTGAATATTGTCTAATAAAATCAAGGCAGTGACAATGACATTTGTCCATTAACCATGCTTAACTCTTAAGTGGACTATTGGAGCCATCATGCATTTGAACTCCATTTGGACAGACCACTTAAGGGTTAATATTGAAGTATAAGTGACTATTTTAAAACTCGTAATTGACCACTTCCGCGTATAATTTCAATAAATAAATATAATAAACATACCGGTGTGATGTATCCCAAAACGTCACCGGTAAATCGTCTGTTGGTTGTGTTGGAACAGTAAACTCCAGATTCTCGTATAATATCGTTAGCCTTAGGGTTCTTCACCACTAATGATCGACTGAAAACATCTTGTTCACCAGGGCCTTTCTGTAAATCTAATTGGTTAATAAAACGAAGTCTAAGTAGTCTATGAACAATTTTAATAATTCAATTTCCTGTACCTTGCTCTCAATCTTTCCTTTACTCTTTTTGCTACCCTTTCCCTTCGGCGGTGACAATGTACATTGTGATAATTGAATAATCAATAACAAGTTGATTGTTATTGCATAAATGTTCATATTAATTATTTATCTTTACTATCAACTAATTAAAAACATTACTGAATGACGTACATACGTGGCTGCGGTATGTATGCACATATGTACTGTACCATTCAAAGGACTTTAACAGAACCGTTAACAGAGCGCGCTGCTATCAATTTTTGCATTAAGGTTACTTTCCATTTATTTTTTTAATTTATAAAGTACATTGTAAACAATTCGAATTAACGGCGAATGTAATTTAAACACTAGTCACAAATTAATAAATGACAGATTAATATCGTAATAAATGTTCGATGAATAAACTTTAATGGAAACTTTTATGTTCGTTTAATTTAAAAAAAATTTTAAATTCAAGGATTTTATCTTCTTATCGGCTGAAGAAATTGATGAAAGACGAATTCGTTGAAACAAAGCGATACATTCCGAAAAAAATAAATCTTAATGAAAACAGCTTTAATAATTTTTTTAAGGCTCTTTTACCACGTGATGCAGTCACATGACATATGTTTTGATGTAACATGGCGCCTTTAATTGTCAGAGTGTAACAAAACTTCTAGAAGAATGTACAATTTTTCGAAGTATTGAACTTGGAACCCAACACAGAATGCCAGTTGATATAAATCGATTGACAGAAGGTTGGCTAGAATTGGAAAGTGACCCAGGTATGAAATAATTACCACATAAATGTATTTCAATTATCACTATTATTGAAGTACCAGAACGAGTTGCGGGAACATATAAGTTTAAGTTAACATATTTAAGAAAGCCACATTGTGAACACCAAATTCCCATATCTCAAATTACAGTAAACATAAATACTTTGACATTCCTCTTGAATATATTACTGTATTTGTATACAGACACCATATACATGTTATCCTCACAAAAAATAAACTATTTATGTCTTTTTTTGTCGCTAGATGTTTTTAGGTACAATTTCACAGTTCACTTTATTTATATATATTTTTACTTAATTTTTTATAAGACCTGAATCTATTCGTTTTACTGTTTTTTATACGTTACATTTACATTAATATGATTTCTATTACAGGTTTGTTTACACTATTGCTAGAAGATTTTGGAGTGAAAGGTGTACAGGTAGAGGAAATATATGACTTGCAGAAATCATTGGAGGGTCCAGTATATGGATTTATATTTTTGTTTCGCTGGATAGAGGAGAGAAGGTCCAGGCGTAAAGTTGTAGAGCAAGATGAGAGCTTTGTAAAAGATGAGGAGATCGTTAACAATATATTCTTTGCGCAACAGGTGTGATATTTACACTAATACGGTGCACAAAATTTCTAAACCATTAATATTTTACAGGTTGTGCCCAATAGCTGTGCAACTCATGCACTGTTGTCAGTGTTACTTAATTGCCCAAATATTCATTTGGGTACAACTCTATCCAGATTGAAAATGCACACATCAGGTATGTGTCCAGAGAACAAAGGTTGGGCAATTGGAAACACCCCTGAATTAGCGTGTGCTCATAATTCGCATGCAATGCCCCAAGCCAAGAGACGCCAAGACAAAAATACTGGAGTGTCCACTGGTAGATTCACTGGGGAAGCTTTCCATTTTGTTAGTTACGTACCAATCAATGGCAGACTGTTCGAATTAGATGGCTTGAAGCCGTATCCTATGGATCATGGCCCATGGAAAGAACACGAGGAGTGGACTGAACAATTTAGGCGTGTGATAACCGATCGTTTAGGGATGGCAACAGGGGAGCAATTACAGGACATAAGATTTAATTTAATGGCAGTTGTTCCTGACCGTCGGTTGGCTATATCTCATAAATTAACTATGTTAAAGACTAATAGACAAATAGTACTAGAGGCATTACAACAACTTGTTAAGTTAAGTCATCAAGACGGGTCCGAAAAGAACGTAAACGACTCTGATAAGTCGGATAAGCACTACGAGAAAAAGAGCAAAACCGACGACGATAATGTTTTACCTAATAAATCAGAAATCGACGACTCCTCCGTGCCAGCTATTACTGTTGAAAGAAATGATGCTGCAGGGGACATGGAGGAATCAGGGTCGGGCATAACTTCTGGCAAGACAGAATCAAAGTAAAAATTAATTTAATATTTGATTTACTCAGGCTTACAGTTAAATTATTTGTAAATAAAAAAATAGTAAGGTAAAAGATATTCTAATGTTACAGCGGTATGGAAAAGGTAGTAATGTGTGCATTGGACTATGCAACTCCACTTCGAATTCAAACTTCACCAGCCCACAGCTCTTCCAGTACCGACACATCTTCAGAGATCGGGTCCGCGTTTAATTCTCCAACTCAAGGTACCCTATATCCCCTTGCAGAGTCGTCTGATTGTACAAACTTTTTTATGTTGACAAAATATCAAACTGTTTGGACATGCCATTCGTACAGATTTCAAATCATTAGAGTTATTCGAAGGGGAATAACAAATGTAATAATGGGACTCGGACGTCATATCTTTTATTTTTCCATGCTCTGTACACACCTTATTTGAAGCTTTAACTTCGGCTCTGTTGTCACTGTCTACATTGTTCTTATCTTGATTGTTCTTCAAGCACTTGGTGTAGCTTTCTCTATCGCAAACCCTGGTATATTTATTAAATCCCGTGTGAGGTGGACACGAATGCTCGATTATGGAGATTGTTTCCGGTTTGCACATGTAATACTTAGCGCAGTCGGTTTCGTTCGGCATACGGACGTTTCCCACACATGGGATTATTTGAATAAACTTAGAATCCACACGATAGCCGAGCGATTTATATTTTTCAACTGTGAAATACTGCCTGTCTCCAGTATTAGATGTAATTAAAATTAATTTGTCAGCGTTCTCTGGATCGTTAAGCAGGTTCTCTAATGTATCGTTTAATGTTTGCACTTTCTGCATTGACTTCTCTTCGCTTTTTACAGGATATTCAACTACATCTTGCTGTGTTGCATTAGTTGTGATACCATTTTCTAATTTGGTTTGTTGAATACGATTCTGTATGAAGTAACTCATTAACACACTCTGCTGACTGGCTTTAGAAAATTCTGTCTTGGCTGAAGTCTCAGTTGTAACTTTTGGAGATGTAGATAATGAAGCCAAAAGTTCTAGGGGAATGGTTATTTCCTTGTGAATCGATAAATGCTGCATTAAACGATTTAACATCAAATATTCCTTCTTGTAATGATTTTGTAGATTATATATCATTTTTTCTTGTTGGTTTCCCATTGGCTCTTGGATCTGAATTAGCGGGTATGGCGTCATCATTTCATTTTTCGATTCATCAACATTATCACTAGCATAGGACGAATCAATGAGCTCAGAAAAATTCGGAGGATCCTCCGTTGAGCCCATGTAACTAGTCTCGTTTGGATCAATCAACTCAGGTGTGTCATACCTGTTTGTTATAACAGAGCCTGTTGATAATGTATCACAGGACCAAGAGTCACCAGGCAGAATGCACATTCGTAGATATGGTTGAAACACCTGCAAACAAAACATATAAGTTAATCTAAAATTATTAACCATTACGTAAACGATAAATCGTCTTACCAAGCCTTCTGTGCACTTTCTGGGCACCCAGACGTATCCACTGTCAGGTAAATTCACACAATTGTAAAACACAGTACAACTAGTAGGATGAGGTTTCCTTGGTTCAGGACATTTTGATGATTCAACAGCGATCAGAAGGGAACAGAAAATAAACAGCATCACACTCATTTTGAAGTGTTCTATCTACGATTCTACAGTAGACTGAACTTTAAGCGTCTTCTTGATGAGCTATTTGCGTTTCACACGTTCCCCCACATAATCTTTGACACCTTTCGGATACAGTTAGTCGACCTACAGCATTTATGTATTTTGACCATGTTACGGCAACACTTTGCGACATTTTAGAACTGAAAATTCTGATTTTTTACTTATAGCATGGGGGTGGAATTCTGGCCAAAGCAGTCCCACGTCCACGAAAGACTTCAAAAAATTTGTGGTGATTAGGGTAGCTGGGGATGAGAAGCACGAGGCTGGTTTGAGTACGTACATGTCCTTTACAATGTATTTTAATTAATTGCATTTTAATAACGTAAAAAATATTTTTCTAGGTCGATCTCTGGGAAACATCAATATAAATGGTAAAAGACTAGTTTCCGACAGTGGTCACCTGCATAAAAAGGTCTGTTTATCTGGAGAAGTTAGGATACCTCATGCTAGAGTAAAGACCAGCAATGGTGACACAGTTACCGAGGAGAAAAAAGTTGAAAAAATAGATCCAAAATTATGTTCGAAGTATCCGGAATTGTTTGAACCTCACACGTTCGCACCTAAAGATCTTTTAGCGTTGTTGAAGAACCTGGAGCACGAAATAAGTATCTGCGAGACTAGTTTGAAAGACGAAAACGACAAAAGGAACAAATACAAGGTTGTCACCGTAAAATCGCATAATCGTTTGTTTTTCCAAAGATTAATTATGCATAATATTGTTTTTCATAGATCGACGATTGCCGCAGAACACACAATTACGACGAGTTCATTTGTACCTTCCTTTCGATGCTTGCTCAACAAGGTAAATTAGCGGAACTGGTTCAACAGCACTTGACCTTAAAGAAGCACACTTCTGTGTCGGTGAACAGGGTTCACAGGTAACCAATCCGCTTTAATTGGGCATGGAAACGTCATGCTTGATGATTGCTATGTTCGCAGATCTTCAAAGAAGACGGACACGCGTCCGAACTCTTCTCGCAGACGACGAGGAAGAACCAAATGCAAGAAACGAAAATAATGAATATTAAGACGGAGAATCGAAGGCGTCCCACTCATGGAATTGTCAATATTGAAAATTATTGAAGAAGAATCGCTGCAAGCGCATAGTTTTACAAAGATAAAATATAAAAGGAAGATCGTACGATTGTTAAAGCGACTTAGTTGCACTCGATGCTACTTACCTGTTGCATTAATGATGCCGGACGATCATTTCTTCGTTTTCTTTCACACGATTCAGAAATTCCTAACGAAAAATGAAGTCTTCTCCGAGACAATCGTAGTAGATTCGTCGGCTGTGCTGGCCACGCACCTTTCGTTCTCAAACTCTTCGGACCCCTTGCACGAACGACAGTTATACTTTGTAACTGTACGAACCATCTTTACGGTATATTTTTTATATTTTTCCTCGTATTAACGCGCGATGCCGTTTACCGGCACACGCATATTTATGGAAATTGCGAGCCCACTGGGTACCCTTTTTGGGTACCCATCAATAAGTTTTATCTTTACATTTTGTTTTCATATGAAATATATGGTTTCCTAGATACCAACGCTTTGTCTCTTTCAACCCTCGTGTTTGCCAAAGGAAGTTCGCTAATTCAATAAGGCCCGAGTGGTCGATTGTTATCTAATGGTTGTCACAAATAGCGAGGGTGTACAGCAAAGAACGAAGACGGGCGGTTATTGTCAAAAACATTGAAAATATTTATTTCGGTAATCATATACAAGTACACTACACGCTGTGGATATGTCCCTTAGATCTAAATACTTATGTCTCCGTGCAGCCGGAGAGAGGAGGATCAGGAAACACGTGATTGGAATCATGTTTACCGTGGATGCAGCGGCCGATTCGCCGCGCCGTATTTAAGTTGTATTAGGAACTGTATTCGTAACGTCCTCGAAAGAAGCTATTATCCAAGGGTAACTGGATAGATGAAGGGAATGGGAGGTGATGAAACGAAGGGTATCAAAGAAGTTCCTTCTCCGGCCGATGCTCTCACACGCCTTTTTTTCGTCGACATCCGCGCCCCGTTCATCGGCACGAGCGGTTCTCTGACAAAGGTGCAAAGTTTCGTTTTGTATGTACAAGTTATCGATCGCCAAAATGTTCAGGGGAACGTCGAAGGGCTCGCCCAACGCTATTTACAAGACGACACAGTCTCCCGGTCCCTTCGAAACTGTCCAACATCGACTTCTCGAGGCTGGGGCCAGATTCGTTTCGTCGTGAACTTCGTCGTTATAGGCACTCGTGGTTGCGAGACGGCGAATCAACTGCGGAACAACGCGACGATTCGTAGAAATCGAAACGAAGGATACGAGCGTTTTCGTAAGCAAAACAGACCGAGAAGCTAGATCGGAAGAGAATCGTTGCCAGGTTGATCCAAGAGAAAGAACATACATCATCGCGGATAACTTTTAACTGATTGTGTATTTCTGTACATTTACAAAAGATAGAGGATTCGAAACGAAGCGTCGACGGGTCTCGCCTTTTCATCGTCACTACGCGTTCCGTGATCCTTTTCATAATGATACCCTCGTTCACTCTGAGCGAGCCGCGATCCATCTCGGCTGTCGTTCGCAGAACATTGTTTCCATGCGACAATCGTAATAATAATAATAATATAAACATGCCGTATAAAATATAGAAAATTCACGCGCGGGGTGTAACGTAAAAAATACGAGCTGGGAATAGGGGAGTCGGGGGAGGGGTGTCGGGGCTCGGTTGGGTCAGATAATAACACGGACGAGATCCTTCCGCGAAGAACGCCGATTAATAAAACAGTCTTGTAATGTGTCTTCGTTAAGATACCTCAATCGGATGAAGGCTCAGAATTTCTTGGATCCTCTGGATCATTATAAAACACCACGAAAAGGTAGTGAACGCTGAATCATCATTTCATGCTCGGGTCCCGATCGTTCATCGTTCGCGCAGCTGTTTCCCGTGACATAGTAGTGGAATCTGCGGGAAACGGTGTCTCCGTCAATTACAATCGAAGACACTGCTTCCCGAGGCTCCTTGTAGGCGATTAACAATAATAAATAAAGGTATAATGATTTACAAATAGAGCGGCGTTCGGTTAACGCTTGGAGCCTGGCGGTTGCGCTCTTATCACGCGTTAAAGTCACTTGAAAATTCACAAAATTGATGATACGCTGACAAATTTGGGGGGAAAGAAAGTTATCTGAGTAGTAAATCTGATTCTTCTGAACATTAACTGGTAATTTTTACGAGTTTAAAAGGTCTGTTTTCGAAAATGATAGAGAATAACGTGTCGCGGCTGGTGTTTCATGGGTCCGCCATGTTGGATCGTTCGAGTTCCGCGTCAGGCTCTCAGGGTTAACCTAAGTCGGCTTATCACACTTACAGGGGGACGTTGTCGAGCGCGCAGATCGAAACGACATCCGGCTTTCCCTTCTCTCGCCCTTATAAATACATAACAACGCGTTAAATCACAACAACGCCGCCTCGGATCGGAGAGCGGCTCGTCGCTTTGGTTCTGTCTCGTTCGCCTACTCGGACGACGATCGATCGACGCGTTCGTTAATTAAAAACGCCGCGAAAAGAGCGTTACTTCCTCTTGGCTCGCGCGACGATCAAGATTGCTCTCTCCTTTCCAACTGGTTCTCTCTCCGGTTTCTTCGATCGGGTTCTCTCGTATGACACTGAAACGTTCCCGCTCGCGCGTTCTCTCTCGCAAACACACGCGCACTCGCACGCACACACACACACATACACACGATATCGAAAAATACATTAATTTGAAAATATATATATATGTATATACCGTACATATACGTATATTTATACATATGTATATTTCTTGCATATGTGCACTATGTATAGTAAAGTTACACCCATAGGCTTGCTTAATACTTGGATGCTGCGCGTTTCCGGTGTGTCCGACCAAGTCTCCGCTTCTCTCAGAGGGTCTCTCAGTATCAAAAAAAAAAAAAAAATGAAAAAAAAAGACGAAAAGAAGAAAAACGAATAGAAATCTGAATGTGATCGCTGCATCAACACACGCATCCTCCTCGCTTGCTACATACATATGTACACTACGCAGTCACGTAAAAGTAGTAAAAGTATAAAAACAAAGGAAGAGAAGGTAGAAAGTAATGGTAGGGTCGCGGGGTCGCGAGGATGAACCCTGTGGAGGATTCGTGGGGGGGAGTGAGGAGGTCCGAGAGTACGCTATTTACAAAGAAGATCAGCTTTCGACGCGACTATCACAAAACGCTCGGCTCCGCTGGATTCTTTGCTCGAAGAATAGGAAACGGCGTGCCGCGCGAGGAATACGACCGAGTAATAAGGACCGACAGGGACGGGCTTATTGCTTTGCGCCTGCAAGGTATTCAAATCGATAATGATCAACTGGCGGTAGTGAAATTAGCCGGTTGCGCGATGACCAATTGTGAGGGTGGTCCGATGGGAGTCGGAAGCTCGGCGCGGCTCGCTGACCCGAAGATCTTCGAAGTCATCGTCCGACGTTTCCTCGATCTCTGATTGCGATTAGGTCCCGGGTTAAATTAGCAGGAGTCGTCCGAAGATCTTCGAGTCGACGGGGCGCCGAGGCTAGTCCCGCGACAACGTCGCGTTCTTACAAATCGCAGGTCCGGCGTACGATCGATTTCGCTCGAATCAACGATAATGATGGAAGTAGCATTCAACGAAATAACCTAAGAGAGTCTTACAGCGTTAAGTTACTTACACCCTAGACGCAATCTTATCACCTAGATCATCGTCACGATAGGGCGTGGACAGTGGGAGAGACCCGTGTTTTGGCTTGCGACGCACTCGACTCGACCGATCCCCTTTCGCGCTTCCATTCGTCGGCCAGCTCTCTGCCCACGACGTCCGATCGATTCTCCGTGTACAAAAGAAAAGAAGCAGGCTTCGAGCTGGCCGATCGCAAGCAGACACCCAGGGCCAGGTGTCCGACACCTATCTACCTTACCTAACTTATCTGACTGTGATCTAGCTTATCCCATCGATAAGGTTCTGCTGCACGCGATATTGGTCGATGCCAAGGCGGCTCCAATACTGCAAGGTCTGGTAGCAAAACACGTACGGACTGCTACGCACCCTGCGATAACGATCGTCGTCCACGCCGGAAGTCTTCCTGGTCTCTCTGTGATCAGCCCAGGGATAGTCGTGGTCATCGTGGCCGTCTGAGTCGGCGCTGGCGCCGCGTCCAATGCAGCTCGGGGTTCTTTGGATCGGTCCTCGGATCGCAAAGACGGCCGCGCACGGCGCGATCGATAGAAAGAACAGTTCCTCGCTGGTCCACTCGATAGCGAAGGAGAGGACGATCAATCTGGTCTCACGGGCCGCTGACGCCGGCGTTCGCCGGCAGCGAATGGTGAGCCGGTACCAAACTCTCCGTCGGTGGTTTACCAAGACGAAGTATCGACTGGAGGGAGGCTACCTCGGAGGCTAGGCGGTCCAGCCTGGACTTGACCTCTCTCTCGCTTTCGGGCACGGCGGTGACCGTGGGCCCGGTCCACTCGGCGCCCAGGGAGATGCCGGAGTCGCGTTCGTCGCTGGACCCTTCGTTGTCCCAGGGCGGCGACGCCCTCGGGCCGGGTTCCTGCTTGATGCCTTGCAGGGCCAGCAACGCGCTGGCCGCGTCTTTGTCGCCGATGCGCGACTTGTGCCTCAGCTTGTGCGGCAGGCTGTTGTTGGCTGCTGGGTTCTGGGAGCTGACCACCAGCTGCGGCCCCTCGTCCCCGCTGCCGGATGATAGTTCGAACGGCGACTGTGCTCGTCTGCCCCGGGACAGATTCAGCGCGCTCGTCGTGTCCAGGTGCATCGCGGGGTGTGGATAAGCGTACTGGAAGCTCTCCGACTCGGGGTACGCCGAGGTCTCCGGCACGTAGAGCTGTGCCGGGGACCTGGGCGATCTGGCACCGCTGACCGGTTGATGGATCACCGACGTGTGCACTGGACTGGGTGTCCTCGCGTAGAGGAGCGCCGCTGATGCCGGCAACTTCGCTCTCTTGACGCTGATTGGTGGCTCCGCGGGCAACGCCGCCAGCACATGTTCGGTGCTGATCACCGACTCGCCGCTGATGCCGAATTTGTCGCGGATCGCCTCGAGCTGTGCCTTCAGAATGTGATTCTCCTTGCTGAGCTCCATCACGCGCTGCTCGAGGACCATGTCGTTGAAACGCCGCTTCTCGCGGGACCGCTTCGCTGCCTCGTTGTTACGCCGCCTGCGGTCCCAGTAGCTGTCGTCCTTCTTGTTGTCCGGGATGAACTCTCTTTGCTTGCGCTGAGAAAATAGCTCTTTTCTGATGTCGAAGTTCGGGGGGAAATTTTCGGGATGTATCACCTGTTGGGCGTCGTGATGATGGTGCTGTTGCTGCTGCTGTTGCTGCTGCTGCTGCTGCTGCGCCGTCTGCTGCTGCTGCTGCTGCTGCTGCTGCTGAGGCTGAGGCTGATGGTGGTGGTGGTGGTGGTGCTGCGGCTGTTGCTGCTGCGGGGGCGGCGGCTGTTGCTGCGGGTGCTGGTGTTGCTGTTGCATCGGGCCCGCGTGGTGCGCCGGGTGCGTCAACGGCGGCAACGGACCGTGGGCGTCGTGGCCGCCGTGGGCACCGTGTCCGGCGTGCGCCATCGTGTGGGTGGCCGGCATGTTGCCGTTCAGACATGCGGTCTCACCGTTGATAGGTGATCCACTCTGACGGGTGACAAACTCTGCCACCATAATTTGTCTTCTTAGTACATCTGCAAGCAAACGAGAAACCGCGAATTAGAGCGACGACGGACATAGACCGTAACAGTGTGCGCACGTAGTTGGTAGAGGATCGGGGCGTTATCGAACCGGTCGGATAACGACCGGGAATTAATGGTCGATCGTGTTTTATCCCGTTGGCTAACATGTCGGGCAACGACGGCGAACAATCCGCGGGACGAGTTTATTAACGGCGGTGACCGGCCGCGCCGCTTGCCAAACGATTACGACGACGAACGCAACGAGTTCTCGGCGACGCGATCCGCCGAGAGACTGGATCAAAGATCGCGTATGAAATTTACGTCGATGACGACGATCTGCTCCTTTCTGCCCCCCGCCCCCCCAAAAGGACCGCATTGTAACCGCGCGTGTTTCCTACGACAAGGTCCTTCGAACTTCTAAATGCGAACATTTATTAGCCAGAACTCGCACGAAGCACCAGTTCCAGGGAGCTTATTCACGCAGTCCTTGTACGGCTCGGTCACGCGAACGTCGAATGACGGACCATTACGATGGAAGGTCGACCGACACGGAATCAGGAAGAAAAGAGAGTCAGCCGGACACCCGGACGACCTCCCAGGATCGCCATTTTTCCCGTGCCATTGCGCGGCTGGATCTCGGATTACGATCCGCATCGACCGCTCCATCGTCGCGGTGTCTTTCTGAATTCTAATCGCGAGAGGCTTGAGGACTCCTCGGGATGAGTCAACGCAATCATTCCATGGTGGTGACGAGACGCGCAACAATTATAACATGGGCCCATCTCTGAACTGTAATCAAAGACATCGCTGATAATTCGCCGCGCCGGTGACGCATCATTATGAAAACTGTGCGTCATACCTGGCGCAGGACGTCAAACAACGTTAATTGGACATTCCTGGAACGATGGTTCATTCATCGCGGTAATTATCCTCGTTGCGTGCGGCGAACTACGGAACGTGACCGGCGATGTTTGCACTCTAATTGCTTATTCTAATCCCTTTCGCGTGATTGGCGATGGAATCGACGACCCTAGACCAACGACAGTACGAAGACGATCTCCCCCGAAGAATCTAGGAGGAAGGCGATAAGATGCTAAAGCGTCGGCTGTGGGGACAGGTCTCGTTAGCTCTCGCAACCGTTATGCCCGAGAGTGGCACCCATGGCCAAAGGTGAAGCATTCCGAGGGATTGAAAGACGTGCCCGCACTGCCAACAATACTAGCTCCGAGCAACAGCAAGAGAAGTCGCAAAATAGCCTTGGGTAAGGTCGTGCCACTCAAGGCCGAAGGTGTCAGCGAACCCAGCGACCGTTGCCAGTACGAAACGTTAGCGGACATCGTCGAACAAGCACGGATCTTCTCGACGTAATTGTGTTTGAGCACCTATTAAACCAACCTGCCGAGTCTCTCTCGAGACTGTCTCTGTGTTTCTTATATATTTACAAGTCGGCAGCCTCGGGACTTGGCTTCCGAAGCCAGCCTCGTTCGTCGCATCACACTTTTTCTCCCGTTTGGTAACTCCCACGGAAGCAAATCTGGGGAATCGTTGTGCTTCCGATCCCAAGGTAAACGTACGGTGAACACGCTCCGTTGTCGCGGAAGGCAACGTCATCCTAAGTCATCCGGAGCGATCCTATCTCAGGGAAGACAGGCGGCAGAGATATATCGCCGGTGTAAAAATGATGAACGCGGACGCGTCTCCGCGAGCAAGCTCGCAATTATGTAAACGCTCGTGCAGCCGTTTCCGCAAATCGGTGATGCGCTTGTTACATGGTAATTGGCAGTGATAATTGTTCGGGACGATAACGTCGGATTTAGTAACTTTGTTACGATTTACAAGCGGAAGCCGCGAGGCGCGCGTGTCTTCCGCCGATACGATGATCGAATTAACCCGCGACGATGGGTTTCGGTTATCTAGACGCGATCCGTTGATTAGACTACGGTAATTGGGAAGTAATTTGCCGTTGCGCCGATCGCAGAAAAAAAGAGCAAGAACGTGTGAACGTTAATCGGAGGCGAATGGTTGCATAAGGGAGCACGTGTATTCACGGAAAACGTGACACGGGCTGCGACGTCGCTTTCTGCAGTTTTTGCCATTGGCGTACCGCATCATGAGAATATTCGTTTATTCCAGCCTACGGCGTTTGCAACGAACAAACCAATAGAACGCGTGCGCGCCGCACGTGCGGCACGTTCCCGTTTTCGCGAACGACTCTAAAATCGATCTATCGGTGCATTTTTGGCCTGGTGCTTAATGAGCGTCGGGCGGCATCGGGTCGGTGTCATGTTCACGGTAAATGCCGGCTGCAGACGAAAATTTTCCGTCGGTAATGCTACAGCAATCAGAAGCGTCATGTTCTATAAACCCCGTCAAGTTCTATAAATAGTAGAGTATTGCACGTTTTTCCCAATTATTCACGCTTCCGGCCCGCCTTCGTTGAATCCTCCATACGAGAATTTATATCCTCGAATTTGTCAGCTTGCCATCTCAGCTACATCCGAAAACTTTGTACTTGGAAAAATAACGCAACACCGGTAATAATCTTATGATACATAATCCCGAGAAATCTAACCGTCGTAATCTTACTGTATTGGCTATTCGGCCAGATCCGTGGGCTAATTTTTCTTTAACTTCTTCTGTAAGCGAACGGAATGAAAAATACGATAATCTAAATATTTAAACCCTTGACATACCGTCTTCTTCGCAGTTACTGTAACTAGAAATTTTTCGATTGCAATAATTTCTTAGAAGGGAAAGAAAATTGATGCTTATTGTGTGTGTCTAAATTTACTCGAATGTTTAAATATTGATGACAAGAGATTAGAATTTTATTCCAATTTCAAAGGACAGAATAACATCTATACTCAATTAATTATTATCAGAAATTTTCATGACGAGTCGGACTCGTCAAAATACGGCAAGGGGTTAAATTGAAATTCAAATAGCCGTCGCGTGGCGGCGTCGACGGCAGCGGCGCGAACTAATTTTGAATTGGAACTTGAAAAATTTGAATGAGCTTGCGTCGAAATGAGCGGCGGTTGTTACCACACCTAACGAATACGTGTGGCAAGGGTATCGAACCTGAACACGCTAGACGAAGCTCGCGCAAAACAGAGAGAGAGAGAGAGAAAGAGAGAGAAAGAGGGAGGAGCCGAAAGAACGTGAATTAACCGTTGAAGCACGCGGACCGAACGTTACGTAACAGTCTGGTTGCATTGTGTGCGCGTGCGTCGCAACCATCCACGTGCTGCTAGGCGGCTGTTAGACGCGAATGTCAGCCGTTTATATCACGGAAGCCGTCGACGGTAAATGTATCGACGTACGTGAATCTCTTCTAATCACGTACTCCTTCCGAGCGAGCAACGTGCCGTCGCGGCCTCGCGACTCGCAGTTTTACGATCGTTCGAGGCTGCCGTGTGTCCTTCCTCGTCATCGATTATGTATTTTGTACCTTAATTTATCCCCGGTGGAAACGGTGCGTCACACTCTAAACGGAAACTGTTCCGCTCGACATTTCCGTGAAACGCAATCGGTATTGATGATTTTCCCATGCGGAAACAGTACCGGGAACTTCGTAATCGTGATAGTTCGATGCAGGTCGCTAGAGGGCACTGCGACGCAACGTGCTGAAAGTGTCAATTTCTATCTATGACGATACTTTACGACTTGCGGGAAGAGTAGGACGCGTTGCCTCGTTCGAAGGAATCAAATTTAATATTTTTGTTCGAGATACAACAACGCGATGGCCCAAATCGTAAGTTTGAGTTCCTCGAAATCCGCCGATTCAATAAGAGTTCGTTGCATTTAGTATTAAATTTGTGGCCTCAGTTAGTATATATACAGACTTCGTCCTTCCTACCGATATCCCAATGTCTAAGGCAAGGGCCCGCTAGGATAGATGAGTCCTCTAGCGGGCCCCCAGACGAAACGTCATCCCCTCTCCTTTAGTCCCTAACAGCAGTTAGATCACAATCGCCAAAAATTGTTTCTTGTGCCGCTTTGTCATGGTTTTCGAAATGCAATGTCCTACTAGAAGCCGATACTATGGAACAGTCATATTTTGAACTTGTTCAGTTTAGCATAATTTTCGATAAACGAACAGAATAACAGAGCATACAAACAACATTTAATTGATTAATAATTGTATGTACACACTGAATATTATTATTATTATTATTATTATTATTATTATTATTATTACGAATCGTGTTTGCGACATGGAAAAATTCACCTAGATGGGAAACTACTTGTGCGCAGTGTTTTCGATCTTGGCTAATGGGCGCCTGATTCATTAGATCGCCACGAGGTGCGCGATCAGGACACGAATCCAGCTCTCGAAATTGAGCAATCACCTGGAATTTCAGTCGCGGATTACGTGTACACGAGGTTCGCGTGACTCATGTCGCGGCTTGTACCGAGTTCTATCGATCCGATGATTTTTCCCAGAGCAGAAAACACGTCGCCCACGTGAGATATCTATTGTGACGAAATCGTCGCTCGTGCCAACAACCGTGTCACATCGCGGTGAGTCTTATTATTACAATATTACCAGAAATTCCATCTGCATCTTTGTTCCGTATCGTTTGTTGCTTCATTTATCCGGTTCACTGGCAAATTAATTATTGCCTGGATCACGAGCGATCAATTAACGGTACATATTTCCCTTGTCGGTTCGAGGAACCATCCGGCGCGTTACCGGTTGAGTCATATTTAGCCATTACACACGTCTCGCGTGTAGATCTCGTTGTCGGTGTACATACTTGTATACAGTAAATAACACGCGTGCACGCGGCCTGTACCAGGAACGCATCGAGAGAGGAGGTTGTCGGCCTTGTTCCCGTGAAACGCGAAAATTTATCAGGGGTAACGCGCGCGCAAGCTCCGGAAAGGCTTTACGGTCCATCGTAAACGGCAGAAACGATTCGTTAGCGGGTAATAGACGCCACCGCGGGTTCACGGGAAATTATCGAGCGAATAATTTAGCAACCTTAACGGACGGCACACGCGGTTTC